AGATTAGGGTTTGATCCTGTAGAGCAAGCTGGTAAAGTCGCTAACGCGTTGGCGCCGAATAGGATACGAGATCCTTAAGAACCCCCTTACGCACAGAGGAATATGTGAACAAGAGTGTTGATGGCTACGAGCTACCTAGAAATCAAACTCTTCTCTTCCGTATCGACTGCGACTCGATACACCTCTAAACCATTATGTTGAAGAACTCGACACCTACTACACTTAACAATGATGGCCAACCGTTTAGAGCCATAGGACGGACAGCAGCCATCGCCTAAACCGCTCTACCTACTAAGGACATACCGAACCGAATGGCAGTCCTCGAGACCTAGATGCTAGAGATTAAGGAGCTACTTACGACTCTAGTAGCAAGTCAGACAAGAACCCTACCTACACTAGAGGACACCCCTATACCTACGGAGCGATCTCCTACACAAAACACCCCTAAGACAGTTTAACTGCCGCCTCTTTAGAACACTCGCTCTCCATCGATTTCAAGGCTGCTGCGAATACCTACCGAAGACCCTCTAAACCACTATAAGAAATCTATAATCTCTAAGAGGATTACTCCGCTTAGCAATGGGATAGAACACACCTTCCTACAATGGAGCGCGTCGATTCGGGACCGTCTCATAGTTAATGAGGACTACTACCCTACTGACTTCTCTAGAAGAGCGTTGATTTAGGGAACTACAACCAGCCTTGCAAAAACCTACTTAGAGCCACAATACCTATCTGCTACGCATGGGTTCTAGAGTGCAGACGAGATGATGGACCTTCTAGGCTCATACTACCTTACTAGAAACGAGACGGAGCAGGCTCGGAACCTCTTCGACGACCTACATATGGGAGAGAAGGGACATATAGATGAGACCTTCCCTGAATTTAAAGCACGTTTCTAGGGTGCAGCTATTACAGGACAAGTAGCCTACTTAGAATGGTTTCGGTACATGTGGAACAAGTTGACCCCTCAATTCCGTAGCCGCGTAGCAGTTATCAAAAGTCAATGGAAGGGAGACTACTACACCATAGTCCGAGAACTTACTGCCTTTGATTAGGAGCAGCGCTAGAACAATGAGCTGGATCCTCCTCGCGTTCCTACTAAACAGACTACAACTACAGTCACACAGCCTCTAGATTCTATAGAGGCAGCGACTCCGAATCCCTTCTGAGGAGTATCTGCTACGACTACGAAGCCTTCGTTCTTCCCTAAGCCAACCCTCGAGCGCCCTCGAGCAACTAGCCTGCTTAATGCTACAGTTAGGTACCGTGACTGCAACGACCCCAACCTAGAACCAGATGAGCAATAGGAAGTGGCTATTTGATAGAACTTCGTGCATTGCGGACAAAGCACCTTCTAGGAGGGGGGTAGTGTAAGGATGTCTCGGAGCTGTTATAGAGCCACGTGCTAGGGACGTAGGGTTAGTATAGTCACGTGCTGCGTAACCTAGCGGAGTCGGACCTGTTTCGGATACTAGGGGGGAGCTGACACAACGGGTTCCTGTTTCTCCTTTATCTTTTTTATATCCTTCATAGTAGACCTATAGGATTGCACCGACTTCTATCCAACTCACACTCCTATATGCAACTTCTTGTGATACGGTGCCCTATGTCCTTACATCCTATATAGGACAGTTATATGCACCTAAAGTGCTAAAAAAGGTAGAGGATAGGGTAGGGACTCCTATGTAGTAGGAGGAAGGTAAATATAGATGTTAGCATCTATAAAGACCTTGCTTAGGTCTACTATAAAAACCTATCTAACAGTAGGCATCTTAGCTTGTATAGACTTGCTAATAAGAAGAGAGAAGTAGTATAGGGTATAGGGAGTTATAGGGTAGTATAGGGTAGGTAGGGTAGGTAGGGCAGATAGGGACAGAAGGTAGAAGGTAGGTAGGTAGGTAGACTAAAAGTGTAGATGACTAATATAGAAGAAAGATAGAGGATTACTAACTAAAGTTAACAACTTATGCCTAGTTAGTACTATATAAACTAGGCATAAGGTGTAAATCATTAGGCGTTAGTACGTCTCTTATAACTATTACTAGCCTAAGTATAACTACCCCTTTTCCTAAGCTTCTTATATTACATTTTAAGGCTTGTATAGGGATACATTAGGGGGTGTATTATAATAGTTATATAATCTTATATAATCTCTATATAGAATACTAGTAATTCCTAGTAGTAGATTACATAGTTAGTAATACATTAATTTTCTTACTTAATAAGGCAACGCTTCTTAATATCATATGCTATACTAAGCTTAAAGTAGCTATTAGAGGCTTTATGTATAACTAGGGATTACATAGGAAAATAGCTATATATCCTATATATAAGGACATAGGGCACTATATTATACGAAGTTGTATATAAGAGTATAAGTTAGATAGGAGTTAGTATAATCCTATAAGTCTACTATAAAGGATATAAAAAAGATAAAGATATAACCCTTTATAGCTGTCTCCTTAAATACCTAAAACTACTCTAACTTAGCTAACTCTCTATTTACCTAAGGCTTCCTTATACTATATACCTAAGGCTATTAGTTATAACTAGCCTATAATAGCCCTAAGTCTTAATAGTGCTATATAACAGCTATAACTAACCTAAGTAAGGGGGCATCCTTATAAGTAGCCTAAAATGACTATAGCTGTTATTAGATACTCCTAGCCCCTTTTATGTTTAGTTAGAAGGAGGTTTATACTACCTCTATATTTAATCTTAGAGTTGTTAAAGTAAAGAGAGGTAGAGAGAGATCTTATATCTTTAGAGATAGTAGAGTAAGCATTCTAGAGAGATTATAGTTACTTCTAATATCTACTAAAAATGTAGCTTCCTCTTAGCTACTACCTATTAACATAGGTAAGGATAATAAGGATAGAAATAGTAGAAGGTTAGCTTTTTAAAGATAAGTAGAGTCTTATGCCTAAGGTAGGATAACAACTATAATAAGGTTAATTTTAGTAATAAAGGAACTACTAGTAAGAAGTTTAAACGTTATTTACCTACTTTAGGAGATCTAGTTCCTTCTCTAAGTCTCTAAATCATATAAACTTTATAATATAGTTATAAACTTTAGCTACTTATAGTGTTAATATAGCACCTTAACATGTTTTAGGGCTTAATTTAGCTTAGATTTATAGCTTATAAATAGTAGATTATAGAAAATAAGAGCAAGGCACCTAAATAAGGTATATAAGCTAAAACAGCTACACTCTAGTACTATTATAAAATTAACGTAAGACTAACATGAAATTAATATAAAAACAGTATGTTACCTTACCCTACTTATCCTACTTACTCTACTTACGCCTTAGCTTACCCTACTTACCCTTACGTTAACCCTTAAGGCAGTAAGGGGCTTAGATTCCACGCTATGCCTATTAGCATGATTAAGAGCATTAGTCTACTGAATTACAAGCTTGTGTATGGCGGAGCAGACGGGATGCCTAATTCTCTTAAGTCTATGGTCGTATGTGATTGTTATATGTGTGTTGGGAACTAAATACTGATGTTCTGTGTGTGGAAGTAGATGGTTGCATACCTTAGAACTCTCAGGTTTGCTAGTGAGCTCCCTGAGCTTTTGACCAAGCGTCTTCTGGTCATCAACAGAGATGCCTTGGTTACGAAAAAAAAAAAAAAAAAAAAACACCCCGCGTTGAGAAACTATTAAGTAAACCAGTTAGAAACACTCTGTATGCACTGCCATTCTTTAATACGCACCCTGAATAGCCAAATCCCTAATCTTAACATCATTCTTCAAAATATCTACCAGCCTCACCTCCGGATATTCCCGTCCAATAACCGGAGTCACATCGAAGGACTTATATTCGTCCAAGCTGCCGCTGTAAACAAGTGGTTTGGATAAGGTTGAGACATGGGTCTCGGAACCTCCTAATACTACCCTCGGTTTGGATGGGGATGCTTGGTGCGGAGCTGCTGGAGCGGTGTCCACATCTGCGGATGGTGGGGCCATGGTGCTGAGGAGGTGGGATACTGTGTTCTTATTTTAAAATCACGGTTGGCGGAGAGAGAAAGGTTTGATCTGAAGTGTATTTATTTATGACGAATGTCTTATGTGGTAGATTCATATTGTCTCGCTGCCATCGACCAGTTCATAAATATGAATGCTTCTCACATCGTCATTTCTGATATCTACGAATTTAACATCCCTCATCACGTCCTCTTGATGTCGATATCGGTATCGGCGACTACAAACACCGATCTCACAAACCTCATGCTGATAAATAGAAACCGCTGTGGTGCCATTTACGCGCGCATGACAGTATCTCGAATATCAATATCACGTCATAGAACATCTCCGCGGAAACAGTGTGATGCTGAATTTCTCAAGACGTAATGTAATATCTCGCGAGTCCCTTCTTACAACTATCATTGTGATGTCCCTTAATGATTCTACGACAGATATATAGAAGATCTCACAATTGCTTCATCAAATTATGCGATTTCTTTTCGCCGACTCTCCGTGTTGCCCCGCTGACGACGAGGAGGTATTGACGACAGCTGGGGGATCAAAGGTGTGATTATGCTTGGTATCGGCCTTGGAGTTTATGTTGCCCGACATTTGTCGACCTGCTCCAATCATGTCTGTTCGGTTTATCAGTTGTATGGATTTGAGGATGTTATCATTGAGCGGAAACCTCACATCACGAAATTTGAAACGGAATTAAGTGGGATTTGGGATGTTCTCATCTGTATGATCGGAGCTTGGCATCTGGAGTTTCCGAGTCTTCAGCAGGCTCAGGAAACTCTAAGTTGACATATCCCCGGTGATGGCCAATTGGAGAGGTGTGATAGTAATCGTGGACCTCATGTTCTCTGTATACTTTACGTCCTTTGAATACTAAGAAGTTTTGGTAACAATGGAAGAATTGTGATATATCTAGCCCCCCCATCGAGGATTGGGTTCTGTACTCAAACATATTGCAAACAAATTTTGAATTAACTCCTATATTCTCTCAGACATAAATTAGTTTGAGATGGCAATCATCGTTTGGTCGAAGGGAAGGGCACCGTCACCTGATATAGGAGATGGTTCTCTCTCAGACTCGTTTTCCGGGACACCAACCGATAAGAAGGCAAATATATCCATTGAGACTCTTCCACTTGCCGAAACAGTCACGGTTCAAAAGTACTGGTGGTCAACGAAATCAAAGCTCGACCCCAATGCAATTGCAACCCAGCCATCCGTCTACGACGACCCAGCCGTTGCAAAACACTACCAACCAAGAGCTGACTATGAGAACCTACATCGGTTTGATCCAAGTGCAAGATGGACCTGGAAAGAAGAATGGGTTTGGAAAACCGTCAATCTATGTTTTAAGCATGCTGAAACTGCCTAGGCTGTGGTTCGAAAAGTCGACGTTAAGATTTTGATCTTTGCTTGTGTTGCGTTCATGGCTCTGGAGTTGGATCGTGCGAATCTTTCACAGGCGCTCACCGACAATTTTCTGAAGGACTTGCATATGAATACGAATGGTTGGTTATTTCTCTCTGGGGTCTGGTCGTGCTATATAGTAAAGATATGTGGTTGACGTGCCTTAGACTACAATCTGGGCAATACGGTGTTCAGACTGTCCTTCCTTTGCGCCGAATTGCCTTCTCAGTTGGTCTCTAAATGGTCAGTATTTCATTTCGATAAGTAGCTTGGTAACCTTGCTAATGTGTTGAAGGATTGGGCCCGATCGATGGATTCCAATGCAGATGATTCTTTGGAGTATCGTTGCCGCGGCTCAATATGGTCTTTCCGGCCGAACCAGTTTTCTAACTTGCAGAGCATTGCTGGCTATCTTGCAAGGAGGTTTCATTCCAGATGTCCGTTTTTCTCTAATGAAATTTCATATGGCCCCAACTAACATCTTCAGATGATACTCTACCTATCTTACTTCTACACCAGTCGCGAGCTTCCCATCCGCCTTTCCATCTGGTGGACTTTCATGTCCGTTGCCGATATACTGGCGTCGTTCATTGCCTTCGGCATTCTGCACATGCGCGGCATCAACGGGAAATCCGGGTGGAGATGGCTCTTTCTAATTGAGGGCATCTTCACAGGTGTTCTAGGCGTTGCCGCGTTTTTCTTGATGCCTCCCAGCCCGACACAGACCGCATCTAAGCTGCGTGGCAAAAAAGGTTGGTTTACTGAAAGAGAAGAAACCATTATCGTCACCCGCGCTCTACGCGATGACCCTTCCAAAGGTTCTATGCACAACCGCCAGCCAATAACTCCGAAACTGTTATATAAGTCACTTTCAGACTACCATCTATGGCCAATGTACTTGGTAGGATTGACGTTCCAGCTTCCAACGAGTAAGCATCTTAACCTATACCATAACCCCCAAAATATAAACTAATCCAACCATCCAGACCCCCCACACAGCTACCTCACTCTATCCCTCCGCAGCCTTGGCTTCGACACGTTCCAAACCAATCTTCTCGTCATTCCTTCCCAAGTCGGCCACATCATCACCATGCTCGGAATCACCCTTCTCTCCGATTACACCGGACAGCTTTCTCTCACGGCTGTGCTTGCACAGATATGGGTACTACCATTCCTCATCAGCCTCTATATAATCGACAGCACCACAGCGAGTAAGTGGACTATATGGATAATCACGACTATCCTCCTTTCCTACCCCAACATGCACGCAGTCCAAGTCGGCTGGATCTCGCAGAATTCCAATACCGTTAGATCGAGAACGGTTAGCGCCGCGATGTATAATATGTTTGTCCAAGCGCAAGGCATTATAGGGGCAAATGTGTATCGAGAGGATGATAAGCCGAGATACCGTAGGGGCAATAGAGCGTTGGTGGCGCTATGTAGTGCTAATATTGTGATCTATCTCGGGGTGCGTGTTTACTATAAGTGGGTGAATAAGAGAAGGGATGATATCTGGAATTCGTGGACGGATGAAGAGAAAGAGGCATATGTGCTCACGACGAAGGATGAAGGAAACAAAAGGTTGGATTTTAGATTTGTTTATTAAATAAATAAGGCCGTGATAATGTAGATGACGTATAGATCTCGAGCATCCAGTGCCCGGTTACTACGCCCCCTACTTTATGCCTGTCATTAATAATTATTCCCAGTCGCCGCGCCCCAAATATAAGCAACCCAACTCCCAAGTGACAGAGCACACAACGCTCCAAAACAACACAAACTGATTTTCCTGTTCTTCGCCCCATTTTCTCCAAGGAACCTCTCCTTCCTCTCAATAATCAGATGTCCATTCCTCAGTCTCTGCTTCCGGGTCCATTGCAGACGTCTGAGATCAATAGATATCGAAGACAGAACAATCAAGCCGATGGAGACGACTACAGATCCCGCCGCAAGGGCCACATAAACGATGACGACTCTGTCGTAACTGTCGTTATCTGCATCTTGGATACGGCCGGTGATAAGGTTGACGATGATGTTCATTCTGATATTTCGTTAGCATGATTCGGTGAGAAGAGAGGGGAGACCTTACGAATTATTCATCATGATTTTCATGGAGTACGCTGATCCAAAGACTTCCTGGTGCCACATCGAGGTGCGGATGCTGTCGATGATCACAGTAGGGCCGAATGAATAGGCAAATGCGTAGATTCCGAAGGCTGCTGCCGTCCCCTTTGTGGAGTTTGCCCAGTTTACCAGGGCCATTGAAACGAAGACTCCGATTCCACAGAAGGCCACTGAGAAATAGGGGTTAGCAAATTGCCACTTAACGAAATATCGTTGAGAAAACTTACTGAGTGAGATCCGATTTCCGAAAAGATCAATAAATATCCCAATTAGAGGCACGACGAAGAAACCAGCATATTGTAAGACGGAAGTGTACCATCCAGCAGTAATGCTGTCGGTATTGAAGCGATGTTCGGCGAGTTCGGTGGCATTCTGCGTGAAAACAAGCGCTGTACTCGTCTCCAGCAGCGAAAATGCGAGGACGGCCCAGAAAACCCATGGCATCTCTAGGACTTTCTTGACCTCGAACTTCTTGTTCTTCTCTGTCAGTTCTTCGCCGGTGGATGGGTCTCTGATGTTGGCAAATTTCTTGTTGGCGTATTTTGTGAAGAAGAAGAATGCTAAGGTGATGAGATTCGTGAAGATGTTCATGAATAAAGCGATCCAGAAAACCCATGAGAAATCACCAAGATTCTGGTTTGAATTAGTAAAGTCAAGTGATTTGCTTGCAATCCTTGGTACATACCTTCGAGATGATGTTCGCTGTCGACTTTCCAACAAACCCTCCAATCTTCCCAATAGCCAATTCAAACCCAAGCGTACTGGCAAATCCATTGTTCGGAGGGAACCAGCTGGAAAAGATCTTGTACTGTGCAGTCTGGGTAGCAACATCACCAAATGCTAGAACCACTCTCCCGAATATCATGAGTGGATAGTTCCGGACGGTAGTGGCTGCCGCAACAAAGATTGACCCGATAGTGTAGATGACATTGCCGTACAGGATTGCGCTTGCACCACCAATCCGATCCGTGATCATACCAGATATGAGAATGAGAAGTACTTTTATGAAATCCTCACTCGATTCCAGAAGTGCGAATTGAGTGTTGTTGATTTTGAGTTCCTGTCGGCAAAGTCAGTCAAGGCGGCCATTTATTTTGCCGGGTATTGAACTCACCTTTTTTAATGTCGACTTCATAGCTCCAGTCACTCCACTACTCCAACTTGACCCAAAGCCAATTCCAGCTACGAGAGCAACCGAAATAATCTTAAAGCTCAATGGCACCTGGCCACGGGTAGACGCCGGGCGTGGACTCTCCGCATCAGAGAGAGAGACAACTTCCTTCGTGTCCGGAGACTCGGGTGTGTGATCTCCCGACACCGCATCCGCGGGTATTAGCTTCGCCATAATGTCAAGGCCGAATAGACACCCAATGGAGCGGGAATGGAGGGTTAGGTGAAGCAGAGATGGAGGGGTAGGTATGTAGGTGATGAAGATAAAATAGAGAAGATCTAATCAGATCTAAATACTTCCCGCCCCAGCACTCGGGTTCTAAGAAAGACGGACGACATCGGAACGATAGATCTAAATTTTCCTGGCTATTGTTTCGATTATTACGTCGAATCTCGGGTTTATCCACCTTCAAAACGGATCCTTTACGGGTCTTCCCATTGATTTATGTCGTGAAAGTGGGAAGTGAGAAATGCCGAGACCGTTAAACCCATAAAATTGTCATCTGATAAGAGTAACCCCGCTTTTAGGGGTCTTGGCAGCCAACTATAGCCAATAATAATCATTATCTACGCATCTGATAAGATTTGCCCTACTTTTAGTAGCTTGGCAGCCACAACGTGGTCGTCACGTAAGGATCTGATAAGACGTTGCCTAAATTTGTCCACGAAAACGATCAACGATCAATCTTCCTTCAAACGGACTTATAGAACATAATTCTAGTTCCTGCTAAGATAGTATAAAAGTACAATCATCCTATCGGCCGATTATATCAATATACCCGAAGAAAATAAGTGCACCGGTCAGCTTGGTACCTTGGCGCAACTGCCGCTAAACAGGGCCAGATTTGTTGAGAGAGGCAGGTGGGTGGGGGGTAAGCGTCGAGCGCGTCGTATCCTCTGATCCAGACGCCAAGACGACTGGGATTACGCGGATTATAGCGAACAACGTGGAAAATAACGCAAATGCGCTCCTAATATGGAGATCAAGTATTGCGACGTTGACATGCCCATGGGGAGTTCGACCATATAGAGTTAGAATGCAAATATCCGTGTGTATATAGACGTATAAACACCCCCCCGTCGCCTTCCAAAGCAGCACAGCTACATCCCGCACGTCCCCTCTCGGCAGATATCACCGTGGCAGGACCGAAGTTCCATAACATCCTCCAAAGCCATGTCTTGACTGTTCGCTAACGCAGAATCGAACAATAACAGATAACCCAGCTCATGAGATGACCCTCAGCACTCATCACTTCCTCTCCGAAACCCACATCGGGATGCCATCCTTCCCCTTCGCCGCCGTAAACAAAACCTGATACGCCCTCCCACCAACCTTCTCCAACACCGGAAACTCCTTCGGAGTCCTCCCGAGCCTGCGATCCAACTCATCATACGCCTCTTTGAAATCGAATTTACGCAAGGTCAGGGCAAGCACAATACGCGTTTCCAGCATCGCCAGCTCCTGGCCGAGACAATCTCTCGGACCTTTCTCAAACGGGCGATACGCATTCTTATGGATGGGGCCAAATGGGGTTTGGTCGGGGATATGGCGTTCAGGGATAAACTCATACGGCGAGGGGAAGATGTTGGCGTCTTTCATCGTGCAGTTGTTCGCGGACCATATCATACAGTTGTCTGCTGGGTATGTTACGCCGTCCAGTCCTACGACCGTAGTTCTGTAATCGTTAGCATCGGCTTGTCGCCGTGATCGGGGTGGACAAACCCTTCTCTTGGCGATATTCGGACAGACCCCGCCGGGGTCCACAATCTCAGGGTCTCTTTGACGATAGCTGTTGTATATGGGAGCGCGTTGGCTAGTCTTGGGTCCTCTGTAATTCGCTCTCCGGCTTCGTTCGGATCGGAGCCGAGGACTGCGTCGTGCTCTTCGCGGGCTTTGCGGAGGCTTTTGGGGTGGCGTGAGAGCTCCCAGAGGGCATACTGAAGTGATCTATTAGCTAACTCCTAAGAAACTGTGGACAATACTAACGGTAATGATGGTGGATGTCGTATCATGACCGGCAAATATGAATGTTTTAACACTACGACGTTAGCTGAGCTCTACGCAAGCGCTTGGATATATCTGTACTTGTCTCGCATCAGCTCCAAGAAGTCTTTCGTCACACCAGTTTGAAGACTCCCCCCTCTCTTCATATACTTGGCCATGGCGATATCAAAGATGGCACCCGAAGAAGATGCCTTTTCCGGTGCTGTAGCAAGTTCAGTCCATCTCGCCGAAAGGATCTCCGTGATTTTAGTATTTGAAATGGCTTCATAGTATCTTAGTTTGAGATATCTCCAGGCATTCAGCTTCCTAATATCGAAGTTTGTGAAAGTCTTCACGAGATGGCTAGCTCGGACAACACTCGTGACCAAATCGTTCGACGTCGTCTGGGCGTTGAATTGGACGCCCAAGAGAGCTTGGCCAATAATATCAACCGTGACGGCGGCTGCTAGGGAATCCGTATTCTCGATGAATCCATCGCCGGCTGCAAGCTTAGATAGTCTGCTGACGAAGATGGTTGTTTCCTCAACCATCATAGGTACCATCGATAGGAGATTTGCCTGTGAGAACCCAGGGTTGAACATCGTCCGCAGCTCCTTCCACTGCTCGCCTTCCTGGCCAACCATCCCCTTTGGGCCAATAGCCCTCCCAAAGCTCTCATTTAGCACAGGGTGCTTGGGAAACTGTTCACCCTGGTTCTGTAGAACCTGTGCCGAAACATCTGGCGAGAGGATGACCATCAACGGCTCGCTCATGATCGGGTACGAATCAATGAAGAATAGCCCATGCTTCCGCAGATCGTACGTATCAGCAATGTGGGTCATGATAACATGATCATGGACGTCTCCCGGAAACTTCATCGTTTCTTTAGCCATTGTAGGGACATGGCCAAGGACAAAGCTGTGAGGCACGCTAGGCTGTATCAGTTAGCTTGTGAACTTCTGATGGCGAGGTCAGACTACCAATTGTCTGCATCTACGGCGCATCGCTACAAATCTGTAGCCGAAGGTGAGAAGCCATGGAACCAGCACACCAAGGACCGAATATTTGACGGTTGAGATGCCATCTTTCTGATACAGCGCCCGTTCGTGGTAGGCGGCTAGAAGAACGGCTGGGATGGCGAGAGATAGGTTTGTGACCTTCAGTCGCACCAGACCCAGGAATGCGACGACTATGATGACCCGTGCCGCCGTTACATGTCTTGGGAGATGCTGCAGCTCAATGAGGTTCTCCACGACGGAGCTGGCGACCCATGTAGAGTTCTGCATCGTGAATGAAGACTAGGTAGTCGCACTGCAGATCGAAAGACGCTGCTCTGTCTGCCCTACGTCTCATTCAGTGAGATAAAGTATGCTGGAAGTTCGTTTGTGACTTACCCCATGTTTTGTACGACTGAATCTTACGTGAGGGCTGACAGCTAATTTTAGTGATAAAACTCTTGGCATGTCTTATATTGTGTAATCTCCTCCTCGGACAATCAGCCCTATCACACTCCGTACATTACCTATAAGGCAGGCTACATCGAAAGCCACAGTGGAGAATTAGGCATATGTATTGGGCACCCTGCGAGTAACTTATCTCTAAATATAGCTGAGGGGCGGGTTTTTGACGACTGTACTCAATCTAATTGACTTCATATATGGATCAATTGGAAAATATACTTCAATTTCTACAGCTCATATTAGTTTTTAGGAGAAATCTACGGCGGGAATATTGCTATAGGTCACGATTTACGAGCGGAGGAGCGACGTTGGTGGTCCCAGCGAGTACAGTCAGCACTATTTCGAAACTAACGCAACTGTAGAAGCTACATTCCCTTAATTACGGAAAGCAAGGATATTTTGTACCAGAACTCCATCAAAAACCCGTTAATAGTGCTGAATCAAGTCCCACAAATTGCCATACAAATCCTTCCACACTGCCACTTTCCCATATGTCTCTATCTTCGGTGGTCGTACCCACTCCACGCCTGCGTCGGAAAACCGCTGATAGTCCCTGTCAAAATCATCCGTTGCAAGGAATAGAAACACCCGTCCTCCAGCCTGGTTTCCTATAAAGGCCTCTTGCTCTGCGTTGCTTGCGCGGGCGAGGAGAATAGTTGGACCCTGCGACGCGGCTATTGATGAGGTGCCTGACTGGGACTCGGGGAGCGGTGGCTGGATGAGAACCCATCTCTTCTGCTGCTCTGGGATGAAGGTGTCTTCCACAACTGTAAATCCCAACCGGGAGTAGAAGGCAATGGCTTCATCGTAGTCGCGCACAATGAGGGAGATGTGTGCTAAGTATGGCATTGTGATAACTCTCGTAGTCGACGTCGTATATATTGGTTTGAAAGGAGTTGAAAGGAGTACTGATCGCTGTTAGATGCACTGTACTTTATCGCAGCGATGTTAATTAGCTCCACCCCGCTTATCCCCCGCTTTGGGGCGGGAATATTAGCGTCTCGTCGTCGACCAGACCACTACAATCCCCTCCAACCACCATCGCAATCCACCCCGGCATTCCTCCCCTCCCGTCCTCTCTCGAGTTCACCTTCGGCAACGCGGTTAACTCACCGAACAGGGATCCTTCCGCATTGTCACGACTGAAAACGTCTCCTTCTGTACCCCCCTGCGCACCACGAGATTAGATTCTGTCCCAACAAGGAGAAGGGTAGTACGTGCAAGTTCACGATGGAACCGGCCAAGACCATAGAAGAACCCACGGCACGACCGCCGCCGTCACTCGAACTACAACCATACGTACAACTGAGCGATGCAGCGCTAGCAAAGAAGATCCTCCTAGTGGAGGATAACGCCGTCAACCAGAGACTAATATTGAGGACATTAAGTTGTTTCGGGCTTACGAGTGTCGATGTCGCTGTGAATGGGAAGGAAGGGGTTGATATGGTTAAGGCGGCACCGTCGGCCTATAGCCTCATTCTGATGGATATCTCCATGCCGATTATGGGCGGGGTGGAGGCTACAAAATTGATTCGCGAGATGGGACTTGATATTCCTATAATGGCTTTGACGGCACACGCGATGAAGGAGGATCGGGAATCATTCCTTACACGGGGGTTTGATGGTTATTTGTCGAAGCCTGTGCGGAAGCCGGATTTAGGGGTGATATTACCGAAGTGGCTTGATGTGAATCATGAGTCAGGGGTCGGCACTAAAAAAGACTGGGAATGATTAGAGGCTAGGAATTATACTGAGATTAATGAGACTACACAGCAGTAAAGTGAGTTTACGCTTGACGTTGTCCGGTGAGCGTCACTTCGCTCCGTTGCTACGACATGGTAAACAACAGCAGCAAGGGACGCCAAGACAGATCTAAGTGTGCCTGTGCGTCTTTTTTGAGCTCAAAAAATCCCAACAGCCACAAAGAGAATCTATATGTTCTCAACAGCATCAATCCTCATCTCACAAACAACCTTCGCGCCTTCACAAGCCAGACTGCTAGGTTCCCCGCGTTCATGAGGGTCCACTACCCCGCGTCCTCGGCTCTACGCGTTCCCCGCCTCCCGCACTGACCCCCATAAATTTGTTCCACATCCCTAGATTCACGGCAATCAAGCTATATACTATAGTAGCTCGCCTCAACTCAATTCAGTGGCACAATTTACCCAGAAATGCCAATCTAAGCTATACCACGACATACGACACTGCTCTGTCCATATCGACCATGAGCGCCCCATCCAGCCCTATCGCCGCGTTAGCCCCCCTGGCTACACCCCTCCCTCCAAGCCCAAACGGCACCCCATTCACCGACGCACAATGGGCTATTCTCATGTCCCTAATGGACGCCGTCATCCCGCGTATTGTGCGCGCCTCCGCCGCCACTGAGGGATCGCTCGACTACACCGTCTCCGACGCGGAGTACGCGTTTCTCTCCACACAGGCGGGCGCGAGCGCCCAGGCTAAGGATACAGAGACGCTGGATGCGTATCTGGCGGAGCGGCCGAGTGATAGCGCAGAGTTCCAGGATTTGATGATGAGGCAGCTTGTGTGTTACGCGACGGAGGAGCAGGTCAAGGGGTTGAAATTTATATTGGCGGCGCTGGGGTATGTTGGTCCTTGAGTTATAAGTGAAGAGTGGACATGGGCGCATGCTAACGAACTGGCAGTACGCGACCAGGCGCGCTGTTATTGACGGGCTATACTCGAACATTGGACACGCTAGATGCGCAGGCGCGTTCGGAGGTGCTGAAGGGCTGGCGAACGCATTACCTGTCGCCAATACGCGTGCTATATGGCTCCATCGTATCGCTGGCAAAAATCAACTACCTGCGCACTTCCAGGTTGTTCCCGACTCTTACGGGGTACAGCTCCACGCCGACGGGCTACGAACCTGGCCCAACGTTCGACTATAAGTTCTTGAAGTTCGAAGCGGCCGCTGAGCCAGCGACGCTCGAGTTCGATGTTGTTATTGTTGGCTCAGGTGTCGGCGGAGGCGTGTCGGCGAAGAATCTCGCAGAGGCAGGATTCTCAGTCCTCGTCGTCGATAAAGCATACTACCACCCGCCTAACCGCCTCCCCATGAATGAAGCAGCGGGATACGCGAACCTCTTCGAAAACGGCGGCGTTGATGCCAGCTATGACGCTTCTCTCACCTTCATCGCCGGCTCCAACTGGGGCGGTGGCGGCTCCATCAACTGGTCCGCGTCGCTGCAGCCGCAGTCATACGTCCGTCAAGAGTGGTCTCGGGACCGGAAATTACCGCTGTTCGAGACCACGGAGTTCCAAGACGCGCTGGATAGGGTGTGTGATCGCATGGGTGTTAGCACGGAGAATATCGAGCATAGCCATGGTAATAAGGTCCTGCTGGAGGGAGCGAGGAAGTTGGGGTATGAGGCAAAAGCGGTGCCGCAGAATACGGGGGGACACAAACATTCGTGTGGGCGCTGTGGGATGGGGTGTGGAGCGGCAGAGAAGCAGGGGCCGAATGTGTGTTGGTTACCTGATGCGGCGAGGGCGGGGGCGCAGTTTATGGAAGGGTATCAGGTTGAGCGAGTCTTGTTCGAGACGCGGGGCGGGAATAAGACCGCGGTGGGTGTCAAGGGCGTATGGACGAAGGATGGCGTGGAGAGAGAGGTTGTCGTCAAGGCGCAACGCGTTATTGTCTCCGCTGGATCCCTAAATTCTCCTGTCCTGCTCTTGAATAGCGGTCTAAAGGTATATTGTATCCCGCTCCTAACCCAACCCCCAACTAACCTCACAGAACCCCCACATCGGCCGAAACCTCTACATGCACCCCGCCAACATGGTCTCGGCCTTCTTCCCCGAAGACGTGCGCCCCTGGGAAGGCGCAATCCTAACCACAGTCTGCACCTCCTTCGAGAACCTCGATGGCCACGGCCACGGCGCCAAAATGGAAGCAACATGCATGATCCCCACCCTCTCCCTCTCCCAAATAAACTGGACCTCCGGCCCGGACTGGAAGCTCCTCGCTGCCAAATACCGCCATATGAATACCTATGCCAGCTTCGCGCGCGACCGCGATCCGGGACGCATCCTCGCTAACCCGAAACGAGTCGAGTACACACCCTCCGCCTTTGATCGTAGACACACCCTCATTGGTCTCCTTGAGATGATGAAGATCCTCCTTGTCGGCGGCGCCGCGGAGATCCATCCCCATCTATCTGGCGCCCCGCCCTTTATCGTCGATCCCTCTGCCGAGCGCTCGCCTGCTAACCCGGAGTTCAAGGAGTGGCTACGCAAGGTTGAGCTGGTGGGGAATGCGCCGCCGGGGGTGTCGTGCGGGAGCGCGCATCAGATGGGGTCGTGTCGGATGAGCGCGACGGAGGGGATGGGGGTTGTGGATCCGGAGGGACGGGTGTGGGAGACCAAGGGGCTGTATGTTGCGGATGCGAGTGTGTTTCCGTCGGCGAGTGGGGTTAATCCCATGGTGACGAATTTGGCGATTAGTGATGTGATTAGTAGGCGTGTGGCGGCGGGGTTGAAGAAGGAGAGGGGGGAGAGGTTGTGAGTGGCTGGGGACTGGTGGAGTTGGGATTTTGAGGTGAGGAGTTGCATAGATAGTGCTAGATACTGGGGGATGCTCATCACATCTCAGTTTGCGTTGTTTCTTTGCTGTTAGTGATTAGCTTTTACGTTGTAACAGTGGTCAATACTGTAGTGGGAATGTATTACAATGAAAAAAACCTCGTTGAAAAGACTATCTCACCTGATCCAAAAGAAGACGGTTGCCGACGAAAGGAAACCTGGAAACCTTGATCCGACACATATATAACAGTGCATTCTGGCTGTTGGGATGCTATTTCTTGTGCGCGACGACGTTTTTGTACAGGTAACAATGATCCTTTGGAGAGAATTGTTTGAATGGGGGCATGGTGAGGAAAACGACACAGAGGACCAAGAAGAGAGTTACACGGGCACTGCAGGTAGCCGTTAGGGGTATGAGGGAGAGGTACTGGGATTAGTTACTGTTGTGAGCTCCATCTGGATTCAGTGATTGAGGAGCACATAATTCATTTGTGTAAATAAAATGTCACAACTGCTTCAAATGCAATGTCCCATATCCACCAGAACCATTTAATATTCGCTATCGAAAGCTACCTCAATTGGCACTCAGGAGTCTCAATCCAAGTCCAGGATATGTTTTCAGTTGATACCAGCCTAGCATTTCCCGCATTCCTACTATAGTAATGCCAGCCAAAGGGGCCCAAGCCACCAGTTTTCTCATCCGCTCACCACAAAATCGATTCTTGGACTGCAGTCATACCCGGCGCTCGAGATATCAATCTAACATTTCCCGCACTGCCAGTAGTGCGAGCCACATTTGCCAAAGGCAGCCGTCTTCTTGCATGATACGCCACTCGGTCCATTGGGCTTGCAGTCGTATCCAGCGCCGGAGAGCCCTACCAGAAATTTGCCTTGGTTGTGCGATGCCGTAAAGTTGCATACATCAAAACAGGAGTATAGACAAGTACCCGCGGTGTCGCTAGATACGCTGCAGGCGGTATCACAAGCGTTGACCAAGGTAGCCAAAATGGCAACGGCGAGGACGAGGGGGGAGAAGTTAACCATTGTAATGGATTGAGATGGCTGTAGAATAATATCAGTAGCTGAAATGTGGGGCTTATGTAGTTGCACTGGATATATAGGATGTTGGAGGAGGCTTACGTTATTGGCTTGAGTCGAAGGTTCGAGTGCCTTGTTCTTGAGGTTTGTGTTGGACGTTGAAGAAACGATTGGGATTGTAGTCTGGCAGAGGAGGGAAATCGAACCCTTTTTATATCCAAGACGCAGGTCCTCCCCTCACTTTACTCTATCGCAAGGCAGATTTATCAACAGGATCGATCTTAGACATGGTCTCGAGAAACAAGGCCAACTCCGCACCGTTTCATTATCAAAGTCTTGGCTGTAATATCAGCTGCCCCTGTCCTGCGTAGATCTACAGAGACGACAGAACCAGGCCAAGGCCAGCGATGCCACCGCCCGATGCTGAACTGAGACATACAGTTGTGGAAGACACACGAAAACATTACACCGATTATTACTCAAAGATCAGCCCTCGAGATGCAAGAAGAGGACTCTGCGCTTGCCCATTGGCACGATTGAGATTTGTTTTACTCAGGTGATACTCAATACGCAGTCGCTGGTCTATCGATTCGAGTATACGAATTGCCTCAGCGGATGCGGTAGTAACCTCGGTGTCACCAAAGTAGGCGGTCATACATCAAAACCCACACACCACGGAAAAGGTATAAACTTGGAGCGGTGCCTACTACTGGATTCTCACTGTCTCCTATATAATTTTATATGCGAACTGTAAGGTCATGTTTCGGCCCAACTGTGAGTTGAAGGTAGCTTTATAGTATAATTTTTATGTAAAAGATACTTATATGCAAGATACTTACTCTATATGTTTATTACAACCTAAATTACTAGATAAAATACGACATATGCAGTAGAACCCCTGTTATAACGATGTGATTTAAACCAGATTTTTTTATCGTTATAATTGAAATGTTGGTATACTGGAACACGTGATGTTAATAACTGAAAACACGTGATGTAAATAACTGGAAACACGTGACGTTAATACTGGAAACACGTGATGTTAATACTGGAAACACGTGATGTTAATATGCCTCTAGCGTTAGTATCTAACCTCTTAAAGTGGTACTTAAAGACTTGCAGAGATTTTACACATACAAAATATAACGATTTTATTACATATTACAGAACGATATCGTAGTATCGTAAAGGCTTCAAAATCACATACAAAATGGTTGCGTGACCTCAAAATCGCTATGTAAGAATTATCGGCGATCGCTATAACAGAGGTTCTACTGTATAAGTAATAATTGACAATTTATAACTACGAGGATTACTACCAAGTTATACAACGTTAGAATAGTAGTATCATCATATGTATATTGCTGGTAGAAATAATAAGAAAGAAATCTATAAAGTAGTAGAAATAATAAAAAATAAATTTATGAGGCATAAATGATACATTTGAAGATAAGTAAGTACCTTTACATATAATTTGTACTATATAGCTACTTTGAGTTCATGGTTCCGTGGGGGCCCATTCGTGAACTGGCAAAACTCACGGGTAGGCCGGAACATACAAATTCTCACATCTCACAGACATTATATATGATCTACAACCCGAACCCTGCACGGATAATAGTCTTTCCAAGAGCCGTGGCAAAAACTAATATCGAGGAAGATAAAGAGAGCAGGCTGTATTAATTGAATTATTTGCGATTTTCAAGGTGGTGATTTGGTGGGTTAGTCCTGGTTTTTGGTAGGGGACGGTAAAATACCCCCTTAAGCCATGTAAACCGTTAGGCCACAACCAACATTTGCCAACTCGAGCAAGTTTTTCCAACATGTATGCTTTAGTGCATGCCACGACATGGCCACGAACATATTTTATCAAACATGCTCAGATATTTGGCTTCATTCGTCAAATCGTTTGATGGCGGGGCAGGCGTCGTAAACCTCCCACAAATCAACTATATACCACCGTATCTGTAATCATCCGGACTTAAATCTCGTCCGAGCCATGGCTTTACCCGGCCCAATTCATTGTTCTAGGCCCCGGCGAAAGACCGGGGAAAGGGCTTACGTGGCTTTACAGTGGGCTCTCCAAACAATATTATGGAGCCGAATACAAGAATCGGCTTTCGGCATTATAATCACGTGACATTAGTAACTTCCACCACTCCAACGACCACCCCTCAAAACACTCTCACATGCCCAGACGGCCGCTGGTCCGACGCCCCTCTCTTTATGTTTGCTACGACCAATAACGCGCGCAGGAGCACGCCCCCAGGAGCACGCCCCGAAGATCTTCACAGGGGGCATTAGAGTGCATTAGAGTAGTGGCCCTAGAAGCGCAGGGAGCGTAGGGCTGCAGCTGTCAAGATGCAGGCAGTTCCACTATGTGGCTAATTTGAAGTAAATTCTTTTACTAGATTCCTAATTTTTCATTATTTTTGTTCTTACTATCTATTTCTTTAAAACCTCTTCACAAAATAAGGTGTGGCCACGGCAAAAGGTACGGCAGACCCTGGAAACAGATGGGATGACAGCATCACCCGATATGACTTCATTTGGTCGCCTCCTCTCATCGTGATTTTCTGGTAATGAATCGCAAACACGGGACATCGGCTAGGAACAAAGACTCTGAGGACCACTGAGATCGTCGTATCTCAAACACGGGACATAGGCCAGGGACCATGACGCCACGGATGATTTTTGTCTCCGGGTTCCTGCTTCTCTAGTCATGTCCCGTTTTTCGCTTCTCCGCGGGTTCCTGCTTCTCTAGTCATGTCCCGTCTTTCGCTTCTTCCCGCATCCAGGAACCTGCCAACCAAATCCTCGAAGAGCGCCAAGACGATTAGCGTAGATGAAAGGCTTTGTTTGCTAGTGATGTCTTACTTTGGTGGCGCATAGAGCCTAGAAGGTTCTCTCCTCGGAGCCGTGGCCGGGGGAGGGGGAAGAGGGGGAGGATCACGACAAGCTCTTTGTTGGGGTACTCCATCACTCAATGTCAAAGGAAGCCGCCACATGGGCCCGGAAAAAAAGCTTGTGCTGGGCCCTGGCCTCTCAGATATAAATTCTCCCCTTTCCACCCCGATCCATCCTTCTTTTTTCTCTCTATCTTCTATCGTCTCTCTCTGGCAGAGCCTTCTATTACTTTCGACTTTTGTTTGTTTTTCTCAAACACTCCTTTCATCCTAGACGGATATTACCTTCCTTACTTCTTTCAAGTTTTACTTTACTACATCACACTCTCTTTCTGAGAAACAGTCCTATCTTTATATACCCTACCAACACACCCAACTACAAAAATGATGAAGGCACAAATCATCGCAGCAGCCGGGCTGCTCTTCTCCTCGCGCGCCTATGCGCAGCAGTCTCTCAATCAGGGCTCCGGATTCGGCACCTACTACTTCGATGTCGAGCAGATCGAAACCTGTGGCACCAGCTTTGCCGCCCAGAACCAGGGCGGAGTCATGTGCAGCCACATCACCAGCTTGCCCCTTACCGAGATCAACTCCAACTATGTTGTTGCCATGAACAACACCCTCCTCCGCGGGGATATGGCCAAGTACTGCGGCAAGAAGGTCGTTGTCTCTGTCAACGGCGTAGCCTCCAACCTACCACTCTTCATTGGTGACGGCTGTGAGCGCTGTGGCACCGGCCCATCCACCAGTGACACGTGGGAGGCCAACGGAGCCCCTGGACTCGACTTCAGCTACTCTGTCCTGAATGAGCTGTCCGGAAGCGCGTGCGCTGATGGACACATCGATATCAGCTGGGAAATCGTCGACGAGACGCTCTACAACTTCGACACCGACGGATCGGGTACCACTCAGGGACCCGCATCTGGAGGCAGCAGCAGTGGCAGCGGCAGCGCCGCGGCTAATGCTGCAACTACGGCCGCTTCTTCCTCTGCTTCCCAGGAGTCTTCCTCTGCTACCCAGGAGTCTACCTCTGCCACCCAGGAGTCTACCTCTGCCGCCCAGGAGTCTACCTCTGCCGCCCAGGAGTCTGCATCCAGTGCCGCCACCAGCGCAAGCTCCGCCAGCCAGGCCGTCAACTCCCCAGCCGACGTCGCACAAGCAGCCGTCCCAACCACGATGATCACTCAAACCGCCAAGGCCGCTTCCACCACCTCTGATGCTCCCACCACCAGCTACACCCCCACCGCCACCAGCGGCCTGGAGATCCTGGCCACTCCCACAACCAGCGAGCCCAGCGCGCCCTGCCCAACTGGTGTCTGGGAATGCAGCGGAGACGACCTCGTGCAATGCCTCGATGGCAAGTGGGTCACCCGTGCTACATGTGTTGATGGATTGAGCTGCCAGGGTGGCAACTCTCCTTACTGCGCGCCTCTCGGATTCGGCAAGGCTCTTGCTGGAAACTAAGCGTCTTTGCCATTTGATATGGAGATTTTTAAAGCAATATAGAATATAGAATATAGAATATATAGATCAATTGAATTTACGTCTATTCTTAAGTCTAGAGACTCACCCTGTCATGAGATGAATTTATGCTTGAGCAGACTGGATGAAACTAATCTGCCGATCTAAAGATTATTGCAGTGTTCCCCAAAATAGTATTAGTATTTGTGGTTTTCGAATAGTATTCGGCGCCGAGTAGTATTCGGGCAAAATTTGGGGTATTCGGCGAGTATTTGCCAAAGACTCGAATACTATTCGAGTCCTTGGCAAGCACGGCCCAGAACGCCAAGCAACGAAGATTTTTCCCTGCCCTCATAGATAGGTCCGTAGAAATAGATCCAAAGATAATATACCAATTGGTATTTCTACTAGAATGAGCGACTCTGAGCTATCAGCAATTCCAAGTGACGAAGATGAGGAAATTCAGCATCTACCACCCCCTTTTCAATTCGAGCCTTCGCCGCCGACAGCTCTACCATTACTACAAATACAGCCACAACTCCTAAATACCCAGTCACCCTTGTTCTTAAAGAATGTATTCAGTAGAACATTGTTGAGCACTAGCCCTGCAACGATGAAGATTGTCTGTATGCAAAATGGCTGTAATTATAGGCTAAAACCGAAGCTTTTATCATGGAATATCACAAGTAATTTATGGAAGCATGTTGAAAACATGCATCCTGAGTTATACGAAGCTTTAAAACTAGGAACTCCATTGCTATAGCGTGCTCAGAGTTCGCAGAGTCAGAGTTCGCAGGATTTACAGGGCGCTCAGAATATAAGAACTGCCCGAAGCACAACTACCCCGAGCGCCCAAGCATTCTTTACTCCTCGAGTAGGAGGAAGCTCAGTTCTTGCCTCTCGATATAGAGAGTTATTACTTGCATTTATTGTATGTAATAACTTACTAATGAGTCTAGTTAATCGGCCTTCATTTCGTCAGCTCATTCACTAGCTTAGCCCGTCAACGTTAGCTATATTAACAACCTCCTTAATGCGCGATTTGCATAAGACATTCTGCAACCACCGTATGAAGCTACAAATTGAACTCTAGGCTTATATAGCAAAGGGCGGACGGTTGTCACTTACAACTAATTCATGGTCTGCAATGAATGGCGTAGAGCACGCTGCAATAACTGTTCATTGGATAAATAACGAATGGGTTTACTGGCACTGTGTTCTTGATATTATACATCTAAAAGAGCCCATTCATTCTAGTGAATATCTTATAGAGCAGCTTTAAGCTATTACGGACGACTTTAGTATTACAAATGGGGTCTTTACTGTTACTAGAGATAACGTATCAAACAATATAGTAATGCTTGTAGAGTTTGAAATAAGGGTATGCACGAGTGCTATTTCTATACAGCAACTATGGAGCTTTACAGTAAAGGAAGGCGACGTTCGATGCATGGCACATATTATAAACCTTGCAGTTTAAGCAGCTTTAGCTATGTTAAAAGCTATACCGTTAGAGCAGATAGAATCGTATAGGCTTGAGCAAGGCGCTGCTTATACTCAAAGCTTCGTTCTAAATAGAGAAGAAGTGTCGACAGTTCTTATAAAACTACGCCAGCATATCTATATCTTCCGGAACCGTCGAGCATGGAAAGATGCATTAAAAGTACAAGCAATTGCTATGGGTATTTAGGTGGTTTCCATGTCCCTCGACATGCCTATACGATAGAACTCAACATATCATATGCTCGAGAACGCTTTGAAGCTTCAGCAGCCGATTAATGCTATATGTGCTTCATAAACGATGGATTTAAGTATGCGTAATATTATCATCACATTAATAGAATGGTAAGTGTTATATGGACTAAAGGCGTTCTTTAAGATATTTGTCAAACTAGCAGAGCAAGTTTAAGCTAATAATTATCTAACGTTAAACATTTGTATTCCATACTATCTACGGCTTTTAAATAAGCTTAAGGTAATGCAAAACGCTCCATTGACAATAGCTACAATCAGCGCAGCTTGTAAAGCGTCATATAATAAGCTTGATACTTATTATAACCTTATGACAAATCAAGGCTCGAGCCACTCGTTAATTGCTACTATCTGCGACCTAAGATTCAACTTAAGTATATACGAATATTATATGCTAGACAGTACAGACGCTATGAAACGAGACAGGGCAAGAGCACAGTTTGCAGCTTGTTATAACCAGTATAAAGACCGTGAGAACGATATACAAGTTGCTGCTATTGAAGCTACTATTGCTGCTGAAATAGAGCAGCTAATAGCTCAAAGAGAGCTTAATTCCGACGACGAGATGTATCAGCATCGTGGGCCTTCCATTGAGGAAGTTGAGTGGCGGCGATGGTTTAAAGAGAATGGTGTCGACCGCAATACTAATATCCTCAAATATTGGCAGGCAAAGCAGTACTAATATCCAGTTATATCACGGATTGCGCGGGACTATTTAGCAATTCTAGCCTCATCGGCAGCGTCAGAGCGTATATTTAGTGTCGGCGGTGATATAGTCACGAAGAAGAGGAATAGACTATTACCTTCTACTCTTCGATATCTACTCTGCCTACGGGATTGGGGGGTTGTAGGCGACGAAGAGGATTATAGCGAGTAGATAGTTATTATATTCAATTCTTACTATACTACCTACAATTGAGCCTCATACTATTCGGCGAATACTATTTGACGAGTACTATAACTTCGTATGAGTATTCGCCGAATATTATCAGATCACGAGTATTCGGGCAAACCCCGAATACTATTCGAATACTATTTGGTGAACACTGGATTATTGTATCTACAGTGGACCAGACAGGATGTCCAGCTTTATTCGTCCTCCCCCCACTTTTAATATAAGCCCGTCTGATTCGTAATGGACCCTCTTCCCCATCTCCGCATCGATGTAGTCCATTTCTCTGTCTTATGGCTTACTTGAAAATTTCTTTGTATGCGAGTCATTCCGAGCAACCAGGGGAACTCATCTACCATATATCTTCCTAGAAATACCAAAACAGTTAGTAAACAATAATAGGTAGTGACTGAGCATGTCATTTGACCAGATTACTCACATGCATTCTACCACTGTCCTTAAGATTCGTAATGTAATTTGCTGCATCTTTCGTTGCGATGCTTTTTCCTTCAGCAACGATATCCACAAGTGCGGCATTGACATCTTTTGCCATGTGTGCGGCGTCGCCACAGATATAGATCCATGCCATCTTATTGTGAATCAAATCAAATAACTGTTCTTTGACTTCCATCATGCGGTGTTGTACATAAACTTTCTCATCTGATTCCCGAGAAAAGGCTGTGTGCATCTGGAAGTCATTTCCCAGTACCGCTTTCAGATCCTCCCATTCATCCGCATAGATGTAGTCTTTTGCGCGATTTTGGGAACCTGTAAATAAGATGGACATGCCCAGCTTCTGCGTCTGATTTTTGGCGAGCAGCCGTCTGTCCTGCATAAATGCGCGGAAAGGAGCGACGCCGGTCCCTGGGCCGATCATGATTATCGGGGTATGGGAACTTGCAGGTAACCGAAAGTTTGAGCGACGAACGTGGACCGCTACCATACCAGGCAGGCTTTGGATGCCGGGAGATGGTAGTAATGTTCGATTGGGGGATACTTCGCGATTACCATTGTTCGCTATGGTTAAGCCTTTCAGGTAATTGGTCGTTAGGCCTAAAAATCTATTTGGATTCGGCTCTCCTAGAAGTTCATCCTTCACTGCAGTAGTGATATGGATTGTCTTAGGAGACGCTTGTCCTGATGAAGATATTGAGTAGTATCGTGGTTGTAGAGGCGCAAGACAGCTTAACAGGAAGGAGAAAGGTAGAGATGACCAAGGTAAGCCATTACTAGCAGTCTCCAAGAACTGAGCGAGATTCAAGCAACGAGAAGTTACAGTAGAGTGGAAAAGGTTCCTATCTGCTGCTAGTTGAATCATATGCGCCTTGACTTCTGCGTTCGGAGCCATCGCAGCAAGTGCGCCACAGATCTCACGCGAAACCTTCCCACATATATCAAGCTTGTACCGGAGAATCGTAGAATATGTCGTAGGCTCCACAATGAACGCCTTAGCGCCCGAGCCGTCTTTTGCTGAGATTGTAATAACGGTATCTCCTTTGCTAGATAGACCAAGAACCATGAGCATTCGTTGGATCTCCGCATCCGGATTTATAGGCAATACTCCAAGGTGATCGCCAGTTTCGTATGACAGATTCGTTCCAGAGATATCAAACTCAATATGAAGACAATCTCTATCGCAGGTTGGGGCAAATAACTGTTTCGAATACCCAAGAGGTGCAAGGTAAGAGTTTTTTCCATCGAATGGTCCGACCAGGAGGCCGTTGTTCCCTAGCTCTGTTGCTTTTCGTCCTCCGAGAAACACACCATCAGAGTCGATAGTCAGCTCTGGTTTCTCAACAATTTCGTAAGGAGAAGCAAATTTTTTGTCGCTTTTCTTCGCATGGAGATGACTGGCAACTTCTACCAAGGTCTCGTCTTTCCACGCGAGGAAGTCTTCATCTAACGTCCCAAGGCCGTCGTCGCCTTCTCCTCGGGCACCGAGCCTTGTCGCTCCTATTCTCTGCAAATGCTCATCAAAGCTGCGGACCATGAAGTTAAACTTTTCATATGTGTTGTTCCCTAGCCCAAAGGCTATGTAGTGAAGAGCTCGTAGTGGAAAGTCGCCTCCCTCATCTTTCGTTTCGATAGTAGTAAGATCCTGGTAGAAAGAGGCGGTGCTATCGGTAGGTTCTCCATCGCCATATGTCGCCAGAATAAAGCACACCAGTACCCTCCTTCCAGTCCTTGAGTTTTTGGTCGCGACTTCATTCAGGGAGGAGGCATCGAAATCCTCGATATCCGCTACCTCGGCCGCAATTGAATACTCGTCGTGTAGATTCCTCGCCAGTCGACGGGCATACTCCTCCGCCGTCCCGGTCTGAGAACCGTAGAGAATGATGATGCTTTTATCCTGGCACACTAAAGCATGATTCAGACTTCTCACATTGTCGCTTGCCAACTCTTGCTTCTCCTCTGAACTCGCGAATGTAGTCTTTTTTTGCTTCTGCCAAAGTGCTACTACAGTAATCAGTATGAGGACAATTACATACAGCAGCATTGTTTCTGAGAGTATTGGGGAGACCGGATGAGACTGGAACCGCAGCGATTGACAAGAAAACTGTGCAAGATAGAATAGGTGGATAAGTAAGAATCATTAGAGCATAGTTCAAAAATTGACCGAGACTGAGGAAACAAATTTAATTAATGCTATCTCTCTGGGCGGAATTTCCGCCTATGAGGTTCCCCACTGTGGTAGTGAATGGCAAATTCTCTATTGGTATGAGCTGCACCATGTGTGGAAGATACTATTTGGGGTAAGTGGGGTAACGGGAACCTAACCTGACTTCTAAAGTTTCGACGGCAACCTTACATTATTGTGCCCTCAAACCTTACATTATTGTGCCCTCAAACCTTGTGTTAAGCGCGCAAAGGGCAATCTTTCAACATTCAAAATCACTTCACTAAATAGCACAAAAAGGCAAAATTTTATTCATGTGTTTGATTCTTGAGGTAATGTGAGGTGGAATATGTTGTGGTTCTGTTGCAACCCCTAAGTCACCCATACCCTTCACATTCGCTAGCCTGCAGATTCCAAAGCTCCTTTTTCTGTGTCCTTCCAGAACAATGCCCATATAATTAATACCCCACGTCCATCCCACATACTATTTTTGAGTGACTAGAGATTTGTAATGAAAAGAAAAGGACACACGGCCACTGTGATACCCTTTGGTCTGGGATGACATTACGAGTACCCCACCCTTAATGAGGGGTCCAGCCGCTGCCCACATGAATGTTGCATAACTACCCATGCGGGGGGATATTAGGCGATTTTGGTGGTGATTCCCATGTCATCTAGAATTATACTTTGGTAGCCCACCGAGTAGGGCAGCCATGCTATGAGGAGTAACATAAAATACAGACTGGGATATATCTCAGATTTCAACTATGAGACTGATCTGCTTACAAATTCCCTTCCGTAGTTGCGAGAGACTCGTATGCCTCCTTCCAAAACTCCCCCGACTCTTCTCCTAGCCACTTCTGACTCTCGTTTGCCCATTCTGGCTGTTTTCTGAAATACAGGTGCTCTAAACTCAGTTCTACTGTTTGTCCGGTCATTGTATTATCCCCTATAAAAGTGTCGAAAGCCTTGAGTACTGTGCTCATTGGTGTGATGTGTTCTTTTGGGAACTTGTGAAGCACGTGTGGTGGACACAAGCCCGTCGGTACGAATGATGGACATATGCAGTTAACGGTGATGTTTTCTTCAGCAAACTGTGGACCGCATGCGCGAACAAGACCGACAAGACCATGTTTGGCGCTTGTATAAAGAGGATTTGTGGCCATTGAGCTGAGCGGGAACTCTAGTCAGTACATGAACCTGGAAATATAATATAACGACTAAATTTATTGGTACGTATATTGTGGAGTGCCCTTGCAAGGATTTGAAAAACTAGACGAACTTACTAGATACCGGCAGCAGAGGATGTGATAACAATCTTGCCTCCTGGAGTGTTGTTCTTCCGCGCATAATGTTTAAACAACCATATTCCTTGAATGACTGCATCAAGGTCTACCCTTATGGTCTTGAGGTTCATCTCCTTTGGTATACCATCCGCATCAAGATCCTCATTTATCTCGTATAGACTTTGCTTATCATCAATTCCAGCATTTGCAGCGAGAAAATCTAGGCGGTTACCACCCCAGGTAAATGCGCGGCTAAAGAGTCGGGCCTGCTCGTCATAGTTAGATACGTCCGTTTGTTGAAAAATCGTATCTGCGCCTAATTCAGAGGAAAGCCGTGATCCGTTTTCGGAATCGATATCGGCCATTGCTACCCGCCAGCCTTTGGAAACCAGATGTCTGGTCAAGGCAAGGCCCATACCAGACGCGGCGCCAGTGATAATTGCGACCGGTTTAGACATTTTGAAACTGAGGAATATACAACGAAGCTGCGTAATTAATGTATATAATATAGTTGACGTCCACAAGAACGAGACGACTACCAATCTACAGAGACCTGAGGCCCTCGGGGCGATATACTTCAAAGGCTACTCCCCGCATTGATATGGGGAAGCGGGTGTGGTGGGGTTGTTCAATAGCCTAGGTTTGTCATTATTTGCCAGCCAATTTGTATATGTGGGGTAAGTCCTTTCCCCATCAATGTAGCGATATAGAGCAACAAGTAGGGATAGAATCGCGCCGGTATGGGACCCCGAAATCTAGTGATAAAACGTAGTAGATTAAAGCAGCTATGCTACTATTCTATATACACTGTAGACCCCTACGTCGTAGAGTAGGAATTCCAAGGCTCGGCGGGGTGCGGGGATCGTTGGCAGTTACGGTGTCACAGCTCATATCACCAGGCACGAAGTGAGAATTTCGCATTCAGAAATGTAACAAACTATTCCTTATTGTTCTTTTATGAGTCCTACGTGCTGCTGTAACTGGTCAAAGCCAAGTGACTAGAACCGAGGCAAACAAAAGTGGCAAAAGTTTTATTAAACATACAATATATATTTGGTGATTTGATGTAAAATTATATGCCATTCTTCTGTGCCTCAGCAAAAGAAGACCTGATTACAGCTGCGTGCTTGGCTGATCGCGACGTAATTTGACACTCAAATGGCTTAGGTACGCTCAAGAATCCTCGAATCATTGCCATGTCAGGCTCAATAAATTTGCCATCTGGCCCCATCTTCTTGCCAATGTTGAATCCCCAGAGGGTGCGGACGATATTGATGAAAAGAGAGCGCTCTGCAACATGCACACCAGGGCAAACACGCCGTCCAGCGCCGTATGTGAAATGATCGCGCTCGTATGGATCGTTGGTATTAATATAGTCTGCCGCTGCCAGAGGTTTATCTAGGTACCTTGCCGGATTAAATACTTCTGGATTTGGATGAATCTCAGGGTTCATGTGAATAGCCCTTATTGACCATTAGTCAATGTCTGAATCTTGAAGGATTGAGAAAACTTACCACCAGTTCAGGACAGCAACAGTGCCCTTAGGAATGAAGTGACCCTCATACCAGTCGTCCTCACTCGTTGCATGCATCATACCGAACTTGTTTACCGCACGCCACCGGAGGGTCTCCTTAACAATGGATCTAGTATACGGAAGCAGCTTCTCGTCTTCGAAGACTGGCAATCTTTCAGAGCCGACAATTTCATCAATCTCTGCTTGGGCCTTTTTCACCACCTCAGGGAACATCATCATGGCTAGCATAAAGTTGTTGAGTGTAGTGCCAGTGGTCTCTGCGCCAGCCTCAATAAGGCCACCACAAGTGTATGCAGCGAGTAGATTGTCAATCCCCTGCTTTTCTGGATTGTTCAGATAAAATGTTTTACAGAAGCTATCCCTCGCCGTTCCCGCATCCACCTCTCTCTTTAGGTTCTCCCAAAGTTCGAGATAGACTTTACTGTCATGATCGAACACTTTTTTCCCAAAAGATCGCCAGTTTCCAAGTAGCCATTGAGGAAGGTAAGCTAGCGAAGGAAAACTGTCGACTGCGTGGGCACCTGGTGCTGTCATCTCTGTCAAGTTATCAAGAACAGCGTATATCTTCTTGAGAAGAGGATCATCCCATGTAGGTAGCCGATGTCCATATGTGATGAGCATTATGACCGAGGCTGAGAAACGTCTGTTGTGTTCGTAGAATCGCCCAGGCGTATCCAACAGCTCGACCATTAGTTGCTTAGACTCGTAGTCTTGAACAGGCTGGTATTTGATGGCAGTTGTCGAGTTGAGCAACGCATGGCTGGATTTTCGAATTAAACGCCAGCGTGGCCCGTACTCCATAAAAAGTTGGCGACGGCCTGCGCTGGCGACGTCCTGGGCCAAAGGTAAAGGTGAGCGAGATGAGTAGATCGCCGACTTTTTGTCCATCAAGTCCTTTACCACTTTAGGGGATGACAGCCACACGTAGTCACTGCCACCGATCTTGGTGTAAAAAATTTCGCCATACTGCTGTGCCCATGCCTGGGCTTTCCCTCGAACAAGTTCGGAATCTGCCAAGTCCAACAGATTCCCGATGAATGGCAGCCCTCTCGGGCCCGGAGGGAGATGTCTCCTTCGTCGATCCTAGATTGGGTCAGTTGGGACAGATGGAAAGTGTCATTGAAATTTGAGAAATACCTTCAGAACATTGGGGGTAGTGTAAAAATAGAGTGCAGTGAACAATAGGCATGGAACAGCAATAAGCGCAATAAGAAGCTGAGGCGCTGTCGCGCTGAGGTGCATGGGATACGAGAGGAACATAGCGGCTGGAAAGATGCGACAATATGCAGAATCTGAGAAGTGCAAGCTTGTGTATGTATGACAAGTAACGCAGAGTGGAAGGACTGGTTAAATATATATCCTTGAAAAATTTCGGAGAGAAAGTAAGTTCGGTCACTTCGTTAATTTCATCTTCTATCCTGTGAGCCAGGCTTTTATTACTCATGAAAACCAAGCATCCGCCACAGCGCAAGCGTCAAACATTGCGACTCACATAATTCCACGTCATTTTCCCAATATAATGAGGGGAGTTCTGGAGGGATCTCCCTGGTTTGTGGATATCTGTTCTGAAATATACCCCGCACCCCGCACCCCACATACGCCCACACCACACTTGGCGGAAAGGTCAAGTTAGAGGGCGAAGGATTCTATGAATAAGCAAGTAAGCACAGAAATATGACTATAACCTTCAAATGATATCCAGGTTTACAGCCAAATCCATCCCACCCTTTCTAGTGATACGTAGCTCAGACAAATCGCATATTCAATTAACATGACTACGTACGACTTCAAAGACGTTGAATTGTTGGCCTTAAAGGGTAAAACTATCCTTGTTACCGGGGCGTCAACTGGCATAGGACGTGAAACCGTCAAAGTTGCACATAGTGAGTAACCATAAGACTACTGCAGTGCGAGTTATTTAATAATGTTGACAATCTCTAGGATATGGAGCAAATATTGCAATTGGCGATTGGAATGATGGAGAGGGAAAGGCATTGGCAGAGGAACTCGGAGAGTATGTCTACGCAATACAAAGCACATTTACAATGTCGCTGCACTCACTGATTGAATACCACTAATATCTTCTACTCCCAGACGTGTACTTTTCCGAAAATGTGACGTCTCAAAATGGGACGATGTTCTAGAGCTATTTCAAGAAACTTGGAAGACTTTCGGCATCATCAATGCTGTCCTCTCAAATGCTGGCGTCACCAACGAGAATTTTCTTGAGGACGAAATTGATCCAGAAACGGGAAAGCTCCTACCTCCCAACGTCAAAACTATCGATATCAACTTAACAGCAACCATTTACGTCGTCAAGTGTGCTGTTCATTACTTCAAAAAATGGCCAGAAACACGCTGCCAGATTGTCATGACAGGATCAGCAGCTAGCTTCATCGACACCCCACCGTTATACCTATACTGTGCTTCTAAAGCTGGTATTCTAGGCTTTATGCGATCCCTTCGAACACAGCTGATCAAGAATAATAATGTGACTGTGAATATGGTAGCCCCATGGATGACAAGTAAGTTCTGTCTGACTATCAGGCGAATATCGCACGTTGCGCTCCTGAATAGAACACTAACAACAGTACAGTCACCAGCATGCTCCCTCAAGCAGTCCGCGATAAATGGGGCACGCTCCCAGCAAATGAACCCTGGGGCGTAGCATACGCCCTTCTTCTTCCTGTGGTGCGGCCTGATATTAATGGAAAATCATTCTTTGTGGCTGGCCATCAAATCGTGGACTTTGAGGACAAGCTTCATGAGACACAACCAGTTTGGATGGGGGATCAGTTGAGTAAGGATGTAGATGAAGGGCAAAAGATAATGATCCCATAGAACTATAATATATAGTAGAAACTTCAATCTGTCAATGATACGGTGTAGATCTAGGATATAACAAAAGTGAATTTGTTTGTTATGAGTGGTTTATTTTCAGCTTATGCGTAAATCGCGATTTCTAAAACCATTAAATGTTCGACAACACGAAATTACAGGCACTATAATTGACGGTCTCGGCTACAATCAGCCTTAGATAGGTAAGGTCAATAATTTTGAATTATTCAAACTACACGTGATAATTGCCTGCATGGGAATCACATTGCAAAGAAGTAATCTACAGGCAGAGTAGAGATGAAGTGGAGATTGTAAGAATAGTATAACAACACTAAAGTGCATTCGATCATTATCTTCCTTCGCCCAATGACAATCATGTGCCATCCTATTGAGCACAGCCGCTTTCAAATCCACGCCCCTTTGAAGTGTTCGATCCACCCGCAGCGTGGCTTAAAGCTTCCTCAATCTCCTTGGCATGGGTGGAGAAGTTGTCGACCAAATTATCCCACATCTTTGGTTCGTGCTCGTGTTTCTTGTCGCTGTTCCAGGCATAATCAGTGATTGTAAAAGGTCGGCTTGACTCAAACATGAAGGCAATGGAATTTTTCGAGATCTGAACCTCAGGTGGCGCAGCTTCGTAAGCATCTTTGAACTCTTCGTACGCAACTCCATGGGGCACCATGCCGCATTCGAAAGACATTCCGCCTGGTTGAAATTCGTCAGAGCGACCGCCGTAGTTTCCATAGATCAGGCCCATCAGCTCAGACGCAGCATTTCGGTGATAATAAGGAGGACGGTAGGTATGAGATGCAACATCCCATCGTGGAGAGAATAGGAGAAAGTCAGCAAGAGGGGCGGTTGGATCACGCGATTTGGCGGTTAGCACGCAGAAGATTGACGGATCTATATGATCCACGGAAATAGAGCCGACATTGACAAATTTCGTCAAATCATACTTGTATGGCACCTATGACAAAGTTAATAGCTGAGCATGTTGGATGGCTACATTAGAGACTTACGTAGTTTCCGTGCCAGGCAACAACATCAAACGGAGAATGACCCTGGGTGCTCTTGAACAACTTCCCTCCTAGCTTGTACACAATCTCCCATCGTTCCTTTTTGATTTCGTATTTGGCCTTTGGATGTAGAAAGTCACGAGCATTTGCAAGTCCATTTGCACCTAGAGGTCCTAACTCGGGTAGCTCAAAGTTTGCTCCCCAGATCTCTAGTATATACCCGCGAGAAGGTCCGTCTGGAAGCTCAACGCGGAAACGCTGACCTCTCTGAATGACCACAATTTCACCTGGTTGGACATACAATGGACCGAACTCTGTCTGGATGTCCAAGCTGCCTTGCTGTGGAACAATCAGATAGTCTCCATCAGAGTTGACGAAGGCCTTTTGTTTCATACTGGCGTTGGCAGCATAAATATGAGTTGCTATACCCTCTCGAAGCGTTGGCTCTCCAGAGCCGGCAATCGTCTTCAGTCCAGCAATAAAATCGACTTCGCCATCATCCGGGATGTCGAATGGTAGCCAAGCTACTTGAGTTGGAGAAATATGAACGTGGGGGTTGATGGGCATGAAATTTGCTTCGGTATCCTTATTGTTTGGCAAGTCGGTCTTTGGGCCATTAATGTCAGTAAAGAAAGTCCCGAAGCTCCGCTGAGATCAAACTCACGAAACCCTCGTGTGCTACCGCCGGTCGAACTCTGTAAATCCAAGCTTTCTTGTTGACATTTCGTGGGGCGACAAAGGCCGAGGCAGTCATCTGCTCGGCGTAAAGGCCAAATCGCACGCATCTTGGACTGTTCTGTCCCTGTGGGATCGTCCCAGGAACAGCTTCTGATTCGAAGCTTTATCACAAGCATTAGTACCAATGCTCCAAAGTGAGGTCGCGGACAGAGATACATACTAGTTGTTGAATCCAGCTTGATACTATACAGTAGAATTTCAATAAGTTTTACATCATAAATTATAGTTATAGGGAGGATTACTTCGTAGGGATCGTTTTTCCTGACCGCAAAGGAAGGTACAGTGCCATCTTTTTGAGTCTCAGCCCAGTGAAAGATGTTTTGGTATTCCTTTGGGTTATCAAGTTGAGCTGCCATCGTAACAACTTTTTGTAATGCCACCAAACTCCCTATTTGAGTTGACGAATTTCTTGAATTAATACAAGAAAGTCAAAGATATTTCGTTTGTAAAAGACAGTTTTGGAGATATGACGAAGTTGAACCGAAACAGAGTTAAGCAGAGCTAAAGATGTCTAGTATATTGATAGATAACCCCGGTGCAGTGGGGTAGGTGGTTAGCTGGTGATTTTCTAGGGGTTTCACCCCGCACAAAGTCAGGATGTGGGGTATGTGGGGTTGGCAAATGACAAAACCATCACAAAATCATGAATTATTCGACGCTGGCAATTGTCACAACCACTCGAATCATGGATCCAAATCGTAATTTCTCTTTGCCACCACCACGGCCCGACCAGACATTTGTTACCGTTTCCGCCATCGATGGAGGATCCATAACGCTTCCTGATAGGTGTTTCGTGACCCCGAGCAACCCCGACGAGAGGAGGACAGTGCCTTCGTTGGCATTTCTGATAGAGCATCCGCGCGCGCATTTGTTCGGGCATAATGGATTGGCCGACAAGCCTTTTCGCTTCATGTTTGACCTCGGTCTTCGGTCTGAGCTTCGCCGCTACATACCTGCGCAGCAAGCCCATCTTGTGCACCGAGAGCCGTACCTTCTCGGACCTGGCGTAGTCGGGAACTTGAAGAAACGAAGTCTGACGCCCGCAGATATCAATGCCGTAGTGCTCAGCCACGTTCACTATGACCATCACGGGGATCCCGAGGACTTCGACCAGTCAACATTTATCGTAGGACCCGGATCCTTGGAAATTCTTCAAAATGGACTTCCTGGGACAACAGCTACACACCAATGCTTCGATCCAAACCTCCTTCCAAAGAATCGAACAGTGGAATTACCCCCAGTCTCCAGCAACGGCACGAGGACAAAGATGCCGAACGGAACTTCAGTAGAATGGTCATGGGATTCTATCGGCCCGTTTCCAGCAGCTCTTGACTTATTTGGGGACAGCTCGGTATACGTGATTGATTCGCCAGGCCACTTACCTGGCCATATAATTTTATTGTGTCAAACATCTCCTGGAAAATGGCTCCTTTTAGGTGGTGATGCATGTCATGATATTCGTTTATTGACTGGAGAAAGAGAGATTGGCACATGGATGAATGAGCATGGAGAGACTATATGCATCCACTTAGACCGTAAAGGTGCAGAGGAATCAATAAGGAGGATACAGGAGTTGATGGCCTCTACAGTTCAGAGTAAGCAAGAGGTTGAAGTGATTCTATCTCATGACTCAGTGTGGTACGAGCGGAATCAACATAGAATGTTTCCAACCACTCTTTAGTAATCACATACACGTCAATCAACCCGCTTGTAACTCTGTACTCATTGATGTTTAATATCCAATGTAATAAACATAGCAAAGTATTGTAAGGGGTTATTAAGAAGACTCAAGTAAACAAATTTGCCGATACTGCTTTACCTTTTCCCAAACCTATTATTTCCATTCATCATTTTCTGTCTTTGGATGTGTTTGTTTAAACTTACCATCACTAAACTGCTGTCGACCAAATAAATGGCTATGCGCGCGCATGGGTGTGGATTCTCATTTTTAGTGTCGCCATATAATCGGTTGCCCACTGCTTTACCCCACCAATGTACGGAGAGTCGCAGAACTACTTTCTGTACCCCACCTCCCCCCCCCACCTCACCATACAGCAAATCCTTAGCATAGAAGCTCAAATCTACAGTATTCAAGATTTACCCTAATTGTATCACTCACTGCAATTTTCATTCCTCTCATCAGTTTTTATATACCTACCAACACTTTATTCATCAATTTCAGGGCCATCATCATGTCTCTATCGTATACGGCTGTTGGCTTTATAGGCCTAGGAACCATGGGATATCCTATGGTGGATAATCTAGCCAAGAAGCTACCCTCCCAAACAAGGATATATGTATTCGACGTCTCAGAGGAAGCGATGGTAAGAATTACGACGCAATATCAAGGCCGAGTTCATTCATGTCATGACGCAAAGGAGGTAGCAGAAAAGTCGGTACGTGATCTAGAACTGGAAAAATATCATAGGCAACTTCCAGCATGATTTGCTGACACTCATTGCAGGACATTATTTTGACAATGGTGCCAGAAGGTTCCCATGTTAAGGCGGTATATCTCACACCTAGAACAGGTGTTCTAGCAGCCGATGTTTCCTCGAAGCTATTAATCGATTGTTCAACCATTGACACGGCGACTTCTCTCCTCGTGCGAGAAAGTGTGACAGCAAAATTCCCATCCGCACTCTTCTACGATTCTCCTGTATCTGGAGGATCGTTGGGAGCAGCTAAAGCAACTTTGACATTCATGGTCGGGTGTGCGGAGGATAATGTGCACTACAAGCTGTTACGGGACTTATTGGGTATGATGGGTACATCGATATTCCCTTGCGGAGGGCCATCTCTAGGTCTCACAGCCAAGTTAAGCAACAATTATTGTTCGGGACTCATCGCTATAGCTACATCGGAAGCGATGAATATTGGTATGAAGTCTGGCATGGATCCTAGGGTCCTCGCAAGCATCTTCCGCACGAGCACAGCGCAGAGCTGCATTTCCGACAAGTGGAATCCTGTACCTGGAATTTGTCCCGAGGCACCAGCTAGTCACGGTTATGCAGGTGGTTTCAAGGTTCAGTTGATGGAGAAGGACTTCGGATTGGCGGTTAAAGCAGCAGAGGCTGTTGGCGCAAAATTGGCACTTGGTGATGCTGGCTTGCAGACTTATGCGGGTGCAAGCAAGGACTCTCGATGCAGAGACTTAGATTCGAGAGTTATTTTTCGATATTTGGGAGGCAACGAGGCTTGGGCCCAGGACTTGGAGGGAAAACAATGAAGCATAGACAGGAATTTTCATTGAGGGCCTTTTTTATTCTAGATTAAGCACCTGATAAATATCATAATAATATACACCTTTAGTGTCATCAGCCGTCAAGTTACATCGCTATTTGAGGATGGCAATATTGTTTTGCTTTGTGCCTCTACAGGAAGTTCGGACATACTGCTAGAGCACCATATTCTAAAGTTGACTCTTGAGAGTCCTTGCGCTGTAAGGGAACGTGTAGGCCAATGCTTGTATACCTCCATTCTCTTCTTGTAAATGGTCAATTTTGCCATCCGAGGCCTCTATTTATCTCTCAAAGCCCGGTTCCAACAGCTCCTCTGCCTCCAGTTTTCCAAAGCGCTAATAACTGATAATTTCTCATATTTTAGGTGGTACTTCGGTCATTTACCGCTCAGTAAACCCCACTGTACCGCCCTGGTGTGGGACTGAAAAAAGTGCACAATGGAATTACCCCGCATACTTCCTGTCCTGACCATCCTACCCGACATCCTGCGGAGTCCAAAATAAAATCATCTACACCACTTCACTGTTGACTATCGAATCATATTAAATCATAAATTGCCGAAGGAATCTCGCAGATTTGCAGAATCTACACAGGAGCATTCAGAACTCAATAGCTTTAGCATTTTTGAACAAAATCATCGTGCATACAGCAATGGAGACACCAGGGTTTCAAGAAGTCAGTATTAGGAACACAGTATATGCCCCAATTCAGATTCTACAGTAACTGACAGAAAGCCAAAGGTCATTGTCGTCGGTGCTGGGCCCGCTGGACTTTTGCTCTCTCTTCTACTGGCAAAGAAGGGTATCTCTGTACAGACCTTGGACGCCGCCGACACGCTCGACTCGCGGCCTCGTGCTACGCACTATGGCCCACCAGCGATACACGAACTTATTCGTGCAGGTGTTATTGATGACGTGCGAAAGCAAGGCTTCCTCCCACGGAAAGTGTGTTGGAGAAAACTAGACGGAACATACCTTGCTGGCCTTGACGCAAGCGATCTGAAGGGTGACGATGACATGCTCACCTGTCTTCCACTCGATAAATTGGGTAGAGTGCTCAGTGATCATCTCAAGGCACAGCCGACGTCAAGTCTTAAGTGGCAACACAAAGTCACCAGCATCGGTCAGGATGCAGACAAGGCTTGGGTGCTCGTGGAGACACCAGAAGGGCCAAAGAGATTGGAAGCAGATTATATTGTTGGATGCGATGGTGCCAACAGTCAGATACGTCGCTCGTTGTTTGGCGATTTGAACTTTCCAGGCAAAACATGGGATGAGCAGATTGTTGCGACAAATGTTTGTCCCTCCAAGCAAGCTAATAATTCCATCGATTCCTTTTGCTAAAATAGGTACACAGACATACTACGACTTTGAGAAGTACGGCTACGAAGATTCCAACTTTATCATACACCCTGAGCACTGGCACATGGCTGCACGTATCAGCAACGACGGCCTATGGCGAGTCTCGTATGGAGAAATTCCAGGATTGTCCCGTGACGAAATTCTCGCCCGTCAACCTACAAAGTTCGAGCAAATGTTGCCAGGACATCCAAAACCGAACGAGTACAAGTTGGCAAGCATTAACCCCTACAGGGTGCACCAGCGCCTAGCTGAGAAAATGCGTGTGGGGCGATTTTTGCTCGCTGCAGATGCCGCTCACTTATGTAACCCATTGTATGTTGAAAGTCTCGTTTCCTCCCTATTGTTATTACGTTGCGGCTAATATATAGTAGTGGTGGACTTGGACTCACAGGCGGAATTGTAGACGTCGGTGGGTTATATGATTGCCTTGTTGGCATACACGAGTGCAAAGCCGACCCGTCAATTCTTGACAAGTACTCTAATATCCGCAGCCAAAAATACAAGGAAATGATTGATCCAATTTCCAGCGAGAACATTCGTCGACTATTTGATCAAGATCCTGATAAAGCATTGGAGAATGATGAGTTTCTGAAGCTTTGTAAGAGAACTGCGACAGATTCGGAGCTTTCCCGAACGGTTCAAAGGGTATATTTTAACGATGCCATCTCTCACACTCCTGCTGACATTTGAGATACAGGGAGTTAATGCTCTCATGCATGATTTTACGAAAGAGTACAATGTGGTCAATGGCGTGGCTCAGCATTAAGAGAGGATTGCTGCACACATATGCGATATTTTTGGTTGGTGGTGACCGTATCATAACATTGACAAGTAATGTACTCTCATTTGATTAGTAGAACCTACTATAGCAGAAGTCTCAATCACAGATGATATATCATCACAAGCGTTCAATTAGTATATCGTAAATTGTTAGCATTGTGATCGCGTTGAAATACTTTCATTCATATTTGTGTTTAAATAATGATTTCTAATTGCTTCCTCCACATTTCCAACCGGTGACCTAATAACTCGAGTAATTGAATCTAGAACTGATGTGTCATTCAATGAGCATAACGAATATTTTCCAGAGTTTATGCGGGGAATGATAATTTTTCTCAAAAGGCAATGCGCGTATGGTTTTCAAAAGAGAGTGGATCATCTCGCGTGGCAGAGAGGAGACAGAGCTAAGTAGTGTGGCGTCAAAAGTAGATATACGGTGCGTGTGACCCAGACAGTCACCCCACATCCCCTCATATTGTACCCCAGTTTCCCCATTTCCCCAGTTTCCCTAGTTCCCCCCAGTTTATCAGCTAGATCATTATGCATATAAGACCGCCAACCAGTTCCAAATTATTCTTCGGCATCACTTTCATCCCTATTCAACCCATCAGTTTTACACACTCAATGCAAGGTCTTCGCACATTTAACAACTTGACCACTTAATCATGGGGTTTTTCGGTATCCTTGAGGATAAGAAACTTTCTCATGTTCCAGGAACAGTTATTCTAAACGAGAAGGTTGCTGACTCCGAGAATCCCACGGCCGCACTTAAGCATGGCTCAGGAAAAGATTCGCATATCATCTTAGTTCCTCAACCCTCCGATGACCCGAATGATCCATTGAACTGGTCCGACACTAGGAAACTTATCATTGTCCTCATTGTGGGACTTGGGACAATCCTCAACGCTGCAACAATCGGACCATTACTGAACGCTGGACTTTACACTATTTCGCTGGACTTTCATACTTCTATCGGTAAAATCACCCTTATATCTGGGTATCAGCTTCTGGTTGCTGGCGCTTCTGGTCCCATTGTCTGTGCCTGCTCACGGAAATGGGGCAAACGACCTTGCTTCCTATTCTCAACCCTGTTTGCACTGATTGGGACGATTGTCGGATCTGCAACAAACAGCTACAATGGACTTCTCGCGGCTCGAATCATCCAGGGAGCTTCAATCAGTGCCTATGAGTCGATCGTGATAGCCATCATTGGAGACCTCTATTTTGTTCACCAGCGTGGTCTTTTTACCTCCGGCATGCAATTCCTGCTCGGCGGAATTTCAAACTTCTCGTCCGTCTTAGCTGGTCCAATCACTGCAAACCTTGGATGGAAATATCTCTTCCATATTCTCATCGCATTCGTTGGTACACAAACCATTCTTCTGTTCTTCTTTTGCCCCGAGACAGCCTATAGACGAGAGGCTCAATATAATATCGACGAGATTGTCAACGAAGGGGCAGCCGAAAAAGGTGTCGAAACCCAAGTCGAACTCTCAGAGAATACAGATGCAAACCTCCCATCAATCCAAACAATAGCCACTACCAGAACTTCTATCCCTGCCCTGAAAACATTCTGGCAGCGCACGGCAATTTTTTCGGGTAGCTATTCAGACGAAAATTTTCTACAACTGATTATTGCACCATTCGCAGTGTGCACCAACATTGCGGTCCTTTGGGTTGTTGTCGTTTCTGGAACAATAACCGCTACGTACGTCGCTCAGGCCTTTGTACTGGCACAGATCTTCACTTTGCCACCTTATAACCTTGACGCCTCCGGAATTGGTTATCTCTCCCTCGGTCCATTTATTGGAGGCCTCATTGCTTCTATATTCTGGGCCTTCATGCTCGATCCTATGATTCGATGGGCAACTACCAAAAACAAAGGTGTTTATGAGCCGGAATATCGACTTCTAGCTATGGCCAGTGCCCTTTTAACAGGAATCGGACTCATGGCTTTTGGTGTGATGGCAGAAAACCATATTACCTACTATGCCACCGCGACAGTACACGGAATTGCTTTGTTCGGAGTCATTTGTGCCACCGTTTCTACCTCGGCATATGCTCTCGACGCCTATAGATCTATGAGCAATGAGATCTTCATTGCGGGAATGGTGTTCAAGAACTTTTTATTCTACGGATTCAGCTACTTTGTTAACGACTGGACGGCACGAGATGGTCCTGCTCAAGTTTTTTACGTATTTGGAGGGGTTGCCTTATTTTTGACTCTGACTACGCCGATTGTGTTCATCTGGGGCAAGCGCTATCGCAGCGTATGGCATCGTCACAACCTTTTGGAGAAGTTCAACATCAGGACACATTCTGAATTGTAATATTTTTTCTTTCGCACCATGTTACAACTCGCAGGTCTCTTATTTATCCGTTTATCATTGCAACATAGTCAACATATCAATCATAGACGTTTAATTCATTGCAGTTACGTATAGCTACATACCAAAACTTCTTACATACTATGAAAACCCCAGAATCCGTGCATCGAAGTGTCTTGATCATAGTGGCCTCTAAGAAGTTTGATGATCGCCTCTCACAGGCATCAGACACTAAATTTGATGTTGAAAGAGGACGATATTTGTCGTCGGTTTTGAAAACAACAGTTAGATCTAGATACACCTCCACAACTTAGTTCAAGAAAGTAAACAAGAGCAGGTGTAAAAACCGCGAGAATTATCTTAATCCGGGGAATTTTGATGACATCTGAATTTATAACACTATCTGCTACTGCATCTACTCTGGTCCATCAAGGAATCTATATATCACAGATACATCTCGATTGATACACCTTGGGTCCATCGCGGCTTCTTTATACACCTCCAAAGCTGCTGGTCCTAGTGTGCTCCTTACGCCGGTCACTTTCGCTGCGTCAACCCCCAATGTCATATCTTTGACCATCATTTGTGCCTTAAAACCTCCTTGATAATCTCTGCTGCTGGGAGCATGAGGTACCACTCCAGGAACCGGATTGACATGGTCGCACATGAATGACTGACCCGTGCTGTTTTTGATCACTTCATATAACACGTGTTTATCCACCCCCGATCGAATGCCAATATTCATCGCTTCAGCCGTGGCAAGGAGAATTGTGCCACATAGATAATTATTGCTGATTTTCGCAGCCAATCCAGCACCGAGGCCGCCACAGTAGAATATTTTTTCAGGGGTAGCCATAGCAGAAATGACCGTAATGAGACGCTTCGACAGCAGGTCAGAAGAATTGTTAGCTGTTTTGGCCTTTCCGACCAAAAAGGATAATGTCCCAGCTAAAGCTCCTGGTACTCCACCCTAAAGGGTTAGTATTTATTTATTGATCTGCAATGGGCACTGGACATACAGAAACTGGTGTATCGATGTAAAGGCCCGCATTCGCCTTAATCAATGTTTCTCCAACGTCCCTAGCGGTCTCCACGTCTATTGTGCTACATTCCAGCATGAGTCGATCCGGGTTGGCTTTTGCTGCTATGATGCCATGTTCATTATCTAGATACACTTGCCTAACATTGTTGGCCGAAGGAACAATAGAAATGATTGTGAGGGCACGTTCAGCCACTTCACGAGCTGAGTCGAGGATTTCAATTGGACCATGAGAACTGAATTCGGCCTTGAATTTCTCACACGAAGGCCGGAAGACGTCGGTGATGAACAACGTAGATGAGTTTGGAATTTCTTTACGTATGTTCATTGCCATGCCATAACCCATGGCACCAATCCCTTGAAAACAATTAGTAAATAGAACATTAAAAGTATATTCTAGACAAACCTATAAATCCGAAGTCATTAGCCATGGCTTTGTGCCTTGACCGTGGTGTGTTAAGTTGTCGGTTGAGAGTTTAATCGCCACGAAGTCCAAATGCGTTTGTGTGGAACTGTTCTCAGTAATCTTGTTAATCGCAACCGAGGCTTATGGAAACGGCTGCCTCAATATACGGACATTATTGGGGGATATTTTATTACTAGAGATCTACCCTTAGTGAGGGAAGTCTGGGGAAGTTCATGTGGGGTGAGCGTTCGCCATCGCCAACATCATGCTGGACACGCTACGGAAGTCTAATACAGGCGAGATCTCTTCAGCCTCAACTTACTGTACGGTATAATTATTATATGCTCACGAGAACTATACTCACTGCAGTTTTTGTGTTCATAATCGCCATAGTACTATTCAGTAAGCCATCGTGGCGGATCACGAGATGAAAACTTAGGCGGCGGGGTGATTTGACCCAAACTTTATGCGGGGTATTGTTTCCACCCCACATCCAGCAATTCACGATAGTCCCACCCATGCGGGGAAGCACAGGGGTATGAGCCAAGCATCAAACCAGGGGCAGCCATGTTGACCTCGGCTTAAACACGATACGACCATGACCTACCTGTAGTGTGACACAACAACCTTAAACAGGATTGAAATTTAAATATCAATATTTTGTTGCCTCTGTCAGTACTATTTTGGCAATAAGATACGACTTCTTTTTACTATTTTTAATTCTAAAATGCACTGGGAGTAGAAGATGGCTGCGAAACCCATAGAGTGGCTACCACTCCCTGAGACGAACGGTAGTGTGAAACTGCAGTTACTAGATGGGGGAAGCTTCATCGCAAATTATGCTGTGCTACATGCTGGAGTCAAAGATGAATCTTTTCGAATGTATAATTGGGCATTTCATATATTTCATCATGCAACGAATCGCCACATCTTGTGGGATCTTGGCCTAACCTCAGTAATTCCTACTCTCAAAGTCTAAATACGCACTAAACTAACGCTGCAAGTGCAGAATCCGAATGACTATACACCTTGGGTGAATAAATTCTTGATCGATGTTCTGAAACCTGTCAGCCCAAAGTTGTCGATTTCGGAACAGCTCAAGCAAAGGGGGGTAAACGTTGAGGAAGTAGACTCAGTGATTTTCAGGTAGGTGAGGAATCTAAAATTAGTACTTGATGTGTGCTAACGAGTTCGTGTGGTCATGCTCATTGGGATCACTCGCGGCCTATACGAGAGTTCTTCCCAAACGCAACGGGTTATTTCGGACCCGGGACGACAGACTTTTGCTCCCCTGGTCACCTAGTTGATAGTAACTGTCAATGGGATGGTCGCTTTTTTGACCCAAAAAACAAGACCGAAACGTGGAAGGAGCTGAATGGTCCATGGGAGAAGTTTGGTCCTTTCACCAAGGCACTGGACTATTTTGGTGATGGCAGTTTCTGGATCATTCAAGCACCAGGCCACATGCCAGGAAACCTCTGTGCAGTTGTAAAACTTGAAGATGGGGAATGGGTCCTTCTTGGTAGCGACTGCTGCCACTCTAGGTATGTGATAGGGAATATTGCCATCCTAGAGTACAACTCTGATCTTTTTTATCAGGGAGCTATTTGATGGCGTCCATGAAATAGCAGTTTGGAAACAACCCGACGGCAGCACCAGCTCTCTTCAAGCTGACCTATGCGCGGCAAAAGATACCATCGCCAGGATTAGAATAATGGAACAGGATTTAAAGGTACATATAGCTTTTGCTCACGATATTTCCTGGATAAAGGAAGGAAGTGACAAAGTGTTAATGTCATTAGTCGACGGTGATATAATTGACAGTGTTCGGAAGGTTTACCTTTAAGATGACGCACTATAATCATACATATAACATTTGATTTGCGACTACTATTTCTTGAATAATAAATACGAGAGTTGGTTCAGAAAACTTAGAATCTATTTTTTAGGCTACGATTTAATAATATGGTTGGTAGCTTTGCGGTCTTTGTGGGGTGTTTAGCTAAGTATAAATACATCGCACCCCCCACCTTTACAGCTATACAACCAACAACTTAGTTATCCATCGAATTCAACTCCCCTACAGTAGCAATGTCGAGTATTGTATCAGAAAACAAAGCTCTCCGGTTTGGAGTTATAGGACCTGCTGGGTTTGGCGGTTCATATCTCTGTCTCGAGCTAATCAATCGAGGTCATCATGTCGTGGGAATATCGCGAAACCCGGGCAAGCTAGGATCACACGAACGCTACACGTCGATTTCTGCCGATGTCTCTACGCAAGGCATCAAAGAGCTTGCACTTGTATTTGAGAACCTAGATGTGGTGGTGAACGAGTATGGCCCACATTCCGCTGGAGCTGACGCCCTGCAGTATAGTAGGTCATGTATGATGAAATTCAAGGATTTCCTTCTGATAGGTTATAGTGCCGTACCTCGAGGTCACTCGCAAAATCATTCTCGCTATCAAATTAGCGAAAGTCAAGTATTTCATCATGGTGGGAGGTTGTGGAAGTCTACTCATGCCTGGGAACAACTATGAAAGTGTTTTGGAAAACAAGGGCTGGTGGCTCGCATACAGGCGTGCAATAGCTGACAGCGAAGCCCACACCTCGTATATGGAAGAAAGACTTGGACCCATGGGAACTGGGTTGCGCAAATACAGAATTGCGCGTCTCGCTCAGCGAACTGGAGAGGGAACGGCAGAGACCAAACAGATTATCGAGGACTATGAGGGATACGTTCGTCGCAACGACCGAGCATTGGAATTTATTACTGGCTGTCGAACAAGCTTCATGTTTTTTGATGGGAATACGTCCTTCCGCTGGACCTTTGTCTCGCCGTCGGCTTTGTATCGTCCTGGTAAAAGGACTGGGAACTTCGAAATACGTTTTGATGAGTTGCCCCTTAAGGGGGATGAGAAGGATCCAACAAATCTTGACGATCGATTACACGGAATCTCTGCTGCCGACCTTGCAATTGCGATTGCGGACGAGGGAGAACTTCAGACAAAGTGTTGGAGACACTGGTCTGCATTTGCCGATTTGGCTGATGACACCCCCACCCCCAGCTATGTTACATTGATTCCAAGCTCACATATTTAATATACGAAGCTTAATTCAGGAACTTCTGATACGTAGTACGGGACACGTTCAAATTTATTATTCGGTTCTCATCCTTTTCATGATGGTTGACACTACAAGAGACCTTAATTTAGTAATGAGAGAGATTTGTCAGGTGCGACTTCGCGTTCCAGTCTCCTCACTTGAATTGAACATATCGCTTCTAAAACAATTGAGAAGACGTGGATCGTTGTGGCAAAGACCACGTTACTCATAAATTGGCTAGCGTGTGGAGAAGCTATACTCCAATACCCCATACCCCACATACACTTTGTTCTATGATTTACAAAAAGCTGTAACTTATTGAAGTTCCACAAGTATTTTTTCTTAAATGACGGGTTTCTCTTTGCGAACTATCTATATCCTTTATTTCTTTATCGAATTGAGTACTTACTTTATGAAATAACCACCGAATTGGTCCGTCCGACACCAAGGAAACAGCAGACCATGTCGTTAATAACGTTATTTATGCTATTCGCAACCAGCAGTATTCTTCTCATATTTCGATACATTGCAACCTCGGGCAATGCCCGCAAACCGCCAAATGGCCTCCTGCGAGTCCCTGGTCCAAAGGGTCTCCCCATAATTGGCAATACTTTACAGCTAGGACCCCAGCCACAGAAAATGCTGAAAAGTTGGGCAAGAGAATATGGAGAAGTTTTTCAAATACGCTTAGGATGGGAAAACTGGGTCTATTTGAACACCCCTCAAGCTGTGAAGGATATTCTCGACAAACAATCAGCCATCACTTCAGGTCGTCCACCAATGCCAGTTGCAAGTGATATTGTGTCAGGTGGAATGAGGTTCTTGCTAATGACTTATTCGCCGACATGGCGGAAACTGAGGGCGATCGTCCACAAACTTCTCACCCCAAAAGTTTCGAACACCTTTATGCCTAGCCAAGAATTCGAAGCAAAGCAGCTGATTTACGATATTCTAACAGATAATAAAGATGAGTGGAGTTTTTATATGCATGTAAGGAGATACACGACTTCGGTTGTGATGACATCAACCTACGGAAGAAGGGTTGCAGAATGGGTATGTCCGTCAATTCAATACCACATGAGTTTGGGTTAATAATTCTCGCACAGCAAAGCGAGGATGTCCGTGAAGTATACGGCCTAATGAAAGAGTTTTCTGAGAACACTGCCGCTGGTGCCTTCATCGCAGACTTAATTCCACCTTTAGCGAAACTGCCCGTCTGGATGCAGCTGTGGAGAAAAAGAGCATTGAAGTACCAAGCACGGCAGACTGCGATATGGATGAAATACTGGATGAACCTCAAGCATCAGGTTGCAAACAAGGAAGCCCCAGATTGTTTTGTAAAGCAATTCATGGAGACAGATTATCAAAAACAGGACATTAGTGAAGTCCAAGGTGCATTCGTTGCTGGCAGTGAGTGGCTCCTCATCCATCAATAAAAGGTGTTGACCTAACATTTAATTATAGCAATGATTGAGGCTGGGTCGGAGACAACATCGTCGTCTCTCAATAGTTGCATAAAATATCTTGCAGCTTATCCAGAAGTTCAACAACGGGCTCATACGGAACTTTCAAAAGTTGTCGGAGATTCGAGGTCACCTACCTTTGAGGACGAGCTAAATCTTCCGTACATACAAGCAATGGTAAAAGAAATTCTCCGTATCAGACCAGTAACGAACGTTGGACAGCCACACTACACCACAGCCGACGTCGTTTACGGGGATTTCTTCATTCCTAAAGGCACCGTTATTGCCATTAACCAGTATGCCATACACTTCGACAGATATCGCTATGATGACCCTGAGGCGTTCAATCCAGAGCGCTATTTAGGTCATCCGCTAAAGGCTGGTGCGTATGCTGCAGCTGCTGATCCATTCGAGCGTGATCATTTCGGATTTGGTGCAGGGCGAAGAATTTGTCCTGGAATGCATCTTGCCGAAAATAGTCTCTTCATAACATTGGCCAAGATACTCTGGGCATTTGAGATTAGACCACACATTGGCGATGATGGGAAGGAGGAAGCGGTCGATGTATCGGACGATGCATATGAAGAAGGCACAAGCACATTGCCAAAACAGTTTCAGATGCGCTTCATTCCAAGGAATACTACGCGAGAGCGTGTTCTAAGGGATGAATGGGAGACGGCGCAAAAAGAGGGTTACTTGCTAGGGGGCGTCAAAGTTAACACTACGGGCATGGTGGCACAGTAACACTCTAAGTAAACCAGAAAGTGAAAACTCGGAAAGAATGCAATAATAAAACCGATGCTATACCTGTATTTATTCGTGAAACACATTATTGCCACTCTTTTCATATATTAATAGTCACACATACATGCGTGATAGTAATGTACGATACAGTTAGAAGAGGTAACTGATATTCTATTATGGATTGATATTTGACGTTCATATTTAGCTATTTTAGAAATTTCAACTAAAATTTAGGGAATATATATAATGAATAAAGGAATCATTGTCCTGCCAAAAAATCCCCCCAAGCGGTCGCAAGTTCGTCCAAAGGTATGTCTTCGCCAAGCTTGAAAATTGTGGAATTGCGTCCACAGCTTTCCTCCGCATTGCCCCTAATATATGGCATGAATGCAGCAGTACTTCTTTCTGGGCTTGGCCCATATACCATCGCTCCCTGGCTACTAGTTCCAAAGGCAGCCCATGGCGCCTCACCGTTAACAAACTTGATGAAATCTCTAGCAAATATGACAGCAACCTCCTTCTGTGCTGGTGGTAAGAATTCATTGAAATTCTGAAACAAGAACGCAATGTCAAGAACATGCGTAGTGTCACCCTTCCACTCCCCGTCCCATGGATTTGGCTCGTTGAAATGATAGACATAAGCCTTTCCGGGCCAGCCTCTTGCCAAGCTAACCACTGGAGCTAAAAAACCAATGTCTGTTGCAAAAGTAAAGATTGACCGAAGTGCGATATTGTCTGGGAGGTCGGGGGTAATGCCATAGGCCTGAAATAATTTCTCTGAAGATGATGGATGGTGGGCGAAAGATTTTGCGATGGATTTATGGAAGGACTGGGCTATTCCTACTCGTCGAGGGCCAAGCATTAATGAAAAGATCGAACCCTGTGTCAAGAGACCTTGTTTAGAAAGCGATACAAGATCCAGACGATCATTGTCTACTCACATCAAATTGACAGTCTCCTATTATCAAAGATTCGCACCACTGTTTCCCAGGCATTGGATACGTAGGATCTTCGGCCTTGTCCGAAATTTGCGAAAAGGTGGGTGCCCCTGGAATGATATCGCCATCCACCACTGGCATTAACGGCATTGTCGGAGGAATCTTCTCCAAGAGGTCTTTGATGGGTATCTCCAAGATAGCTTTCACTCGTTCCGGCCCGGATAAATTTTCTAAGCCCATGGATTTAACCAGAGACGCATATACAAACTCGGACACTGGTAGAGGAAGCGGCTTGACCAACAGAGCACTGCCTGACATGCTAATGAGCCTTTTAAATAAAGGCTCTTCAGAATGCAAGAGAAACATCCCGGAGACTTGATAATGACTGGTCAGTAGAGGTTACATTACCCAGTAAGGGGGATTGGAGTAGATTACCAGCACCAGCACTTTCTCCCATCACAGTAACGTTATCGGCATCACCAGCAAAGTCTCCAATGTTTTTTTTAATCCAGCGAAGGGCATTAATCTGGTCTCTGAGACCATTATTGCTTGCATATCCTGCTTCACGCAGTTCTGACGATGTAAGGAATCCAGGCAAGCCCAAACGGTAACTTTTCACGTGTCAGCTATACATAGATTCAGTTCCTTGAAGATAAAGCTCTTACTTGATGCCAACCCCAATCATAGGGAAGCCCATATCAGCTGATAACTTAACCATTCGGGCTTGAGAATATTGTGGCCAAGAATTAGATCCCGTTGAATAGCCTCCGCCATGGATAAATACACAGACAGGAAGCTTTGAACCTAGGCCCGGAAGCTTCCTCTCCATGAGGGGTACCGTGACATTGAGATTCAACCCATGAAGTTCCGAAACTGTCAAGTCTGGCTTAGGTAGAGCATGTTGAATGATCCCAAATTCCGCATCGCACCCTTGAAGTGGTGACATAACCATAGGCCTATTGGCTTGGTTAGGCTATGATATTTCAAAGGCAGTCTGAAGGCAATTACCCTATTCTGGTTGCGTCTATCACGCTGCTATCCAAATCACGATCCAAAATTTCGCTCTCTGCAAACCTGTCTTTCAAGGATGCATACTGGATTCCAAGAAACTGCACAACATCATCTCCAAGTACTCCATGGATTTCGCCCAGCTTTCCGTGCTTCAAAATTGTCGACATAGTGATGCGATACTTTCTGATTGTGTCTCAGCAACTGTGCAAATGAGAAAGGTACTGATTCGTGTGCGATATCTTTTTCTGGGGGATGGCCATTCGAAAAGAATCGATTCATAATAAATGGGCACTCGTCCCTGAAATCAAATAACAATGCGGGGTGTGGGGTAAAGTTGGATTAGGAAGTGCGTTCGTTGGGGAGACGACCGACCCTCCTCCCTCCCGCGACGTATTTATTAGGATTAGTCACTGGATATCAAATTACGTTTTATACGCCAAATAATTAAGAATAAAACGAGTATTTATTTTTGGGATTATAATGGCCTCAGCAGAGAACTTTTATTCCAATCAGATCCCAAATTTGTGCTAGACAGATCAACCACTCTTACCGAGGTTTTTCAAAAACTCCAACACCTCTCGCTGACAATCCTCCGGTTTCTCTACGTATATCTCATGACCATTTCCATGAATAACAACTAGTTTCGACGCCTGAATCTTCCTTTGCACGATCTCCTGCTCTTCCAACTTTGTGGCGGCGCTCTTCGCCGGCGCCAAAATCAGTGTGGGGACTTTGATCTGCTCGAGGAAGGGCCTTGAGTCCAGCGAGGAAAGAAATTCGGCATACCCCGCCAGTCCTTCGCCAGTAGAGACGGCAACTTGCGAGATCCACCACTTGACATAGTCTTCATCAGGTACAGACACTGTGCCCGGAACTTTTGACAACGCCTCTCCCCACCCACGTGATCCCATCTCTCGACAAGCCTCTGGCCAACTAGATCGTCCAAACGAGAATAGTGAGAGGGCAGCTTCCGGAAGGAACGTGGGCGATGAGCATATGATCAATGAATGCAGTCTCTCCGGATACTTCGCTGCGAATGCTTCGCCGACCATGCCACTTGTGGATTCGCCTAGAAAGTGGAACTTTTGCACACCGAGCTGATCCATTGTATCTACGATCTCTGTCAAGATCGTATCTAAGGAGTAGTCGTACTTGTCTCCATGCGAAGGATAGCTAGAAAGCCCGTGGCCACGGGCATCGCGACGGATGACTCGATAATGACGCGCTAACACTGGGATCCAATGGTACCAGAACGCACCATGTCTAGCAAAGCCATGTTGTATGAGAATTGTCTCGCATGGTTTCCAAGGATCCACGAACTTATCATCAAAGACATGGGTAATTTGCCCGTTTGGGTGAGTTATGAATTTGCTGGATGATTGGGACATTCTGAACTGTGGTAATAGGCAATGAGAATATTTCGGCAGTCAACGTCTATAATATAGAAAACAATTCACGTTAGAGGCTTCGTGAATCAAGTTGTTAATTAATTGTTGACCCTCCCTTAGGCGGGTTTTGCACATGTGGGGTAAATGGGGGAACAGGAGGACTTGCCAGCATGTCTCATAAGGAACGCATTTGGGAAGGTTGTAGGTTAGGAACAATCAATCTCTCTGTCTCGAACCGCGAATTCCCCCATTTTAAGTCAGTAATACAGAAAAGAATTCCATATAATAATAAATTTGCTACTTCTTCTCATTCTTCATATCCGTGATGACCTTCTCCGCAACCTTGAAACCCTCGATTCCTGCGGGCATCCCACAATAGATAGCAGCCTGTAACAAAGTTTCCCGGATCTCCACTTCACTTGCGCCATTATTGACAGCACCTCTCACATGCACCGCCAGTTCTGTACCGCGATTCAGTGCGCAAAGCATCGCAATATTCAGGAGAGACCGCTGCTTCTTCTCCAACCCAGGACGTGCCCACACTGAGCCCCAACATGCCTCTGTGACCAGCTCTTGCATTGGTCGCGCAAAGTCCGAGGACCCATTTTGGAGCGAACGGTCGACGTATTCCTTGCCTGCAACTTGATATCGTATTTTAAGCCCCTCGTCGAAAATTGTAGTGTGCGCTTCGGACAAACGTGTTTGAGTGGACGCGGGAGTGCTCATGTTGAAATCTAGGGGCCGGTTAGTTTGTCAGTTGATCGGATCGCAGGGCTCACGAACATATCGATAATAAAACTGGACTGATTAAAATAAACGTAGATCGGAATATGAGTACTGTTACTATGTAAGCTTATTTTTGTGTCCTTTTGAAGGTTTTATTTGTTGTGCTGCATTGCTTGGATGTACAGGCATCGAGATCCACACCACCACATGGGGTAAGTTCTTACCCCGCGACAAAGTGACCGTGGGGTAATGAGTCGGAATTCAACCCCACATCATAAACATACCCTTAACGACTATAGAACTTCAAAATATTAATGAAATATCCATTCAACAATTGAACTTCTTGTCTGACGAAGTTATCTCTTGAATTCCAATCATGGCCCCGAGTCTTATCCATTCGTCTTTGCATGCCGTTCTTGATGGAACAGAGGCCAAACTAGATCCCACGGCCTATGCCGTTGAGCATTATCGAGGAATCAAATATGGAAAAATATCCCAACGATTTGCTAAGGCAGTAGCTGTAGATGACTGGCACGGTGAAAAACTCGACTGTTCTCGTTTCGGGTACGTATTCCCTACAGCTCTAAGTTCGCTCCAATTCAGAGCGACAGATACGGACAAAAGCTCACATATGCAAAAAAAATAGCCCACAATGCCCACAGAATAATGTTGACACTGGCCATCTCTTACGCATCCCAGAAACATTAGATAAAGGCCAGGAGGAGGTGAAGCAAGACGAATTCGAATGCCTCAATCTCAATGTCTCCGTCCCTGCCAGGACAACTTCTACAAAGGACCTGGTCCCTGTCCTGATCTGGATCCACGGTGAGACACTGCGTACTCCAAAAATTTCCGTATGGAAGCTATCAGTTTTCGTTCCAACAGACTGACAATACAAGGCGGGTCGCAGATAATGAGCTTTCCCCCAGCTGCTCATCGATGCTCTGGTAGGTACTTCCTCCGCTTCATTGGCGCTCATCGTTAACATGCATTCTTCCAGACACGACGACACTTGTCCAGAGGTCAATTGAGATAGGGAAACCGATGATAATAGTAACTTTCAATTACCGTCTAAATATCTTTGGTTTCGGGGACGGAGGCGAGAAGAACCTGGCATTAAAAGACCAACAGTTGGCCATAGAATGGGTTGTCAAGCACATTGCCGGGTTTGGCGGAGACAAGGTGGACCACCCCATTTCTCTATTTCGCCAGGCATGACTAACAGAACTATTTCAACAGAATAATATTACCCTTGGAGGAGAGAGCGCCGGTGCAGTATATGCTCACGCTCATTTGACTAGCGGGTCACCGGTCGCACGAGGGTTATTACAATCCGGATCACTCTATCTATCCCCACCTCAGCCTCTCGAGAAAGGAACGAGTCTGATTTCTGGCCTATCCGCAAGCCTCTTGGAAAGGCATAACGTGTCGCTCAATGAAGCGCCTGAACCAATTCTACTTCAATCGCTCCTGGAAAATAACATCAACCCCTTCTGGATCCAACAAGAACCCGATCTTGTAGGCTGGGAAGGGCGCGTTAACGACGTGCAAGAACTCCTCATCGGAGACGTAGAATACGAGTCTGTAATCTGGAGGAATGGTATCGAGACTGTTAGCGCTTCTGAAATAGCAGCGATTTTCGACAACGAGGAACTGAAGAACCTGTACGGGGTTTCTCCATCTCGGCCTACGGCAAGTAGATTGGCGGCGTTGGATTTTATCAACGATCTTCGATTCGCATTACCTATCGAGGAGATATCTGCCTCTCGCCGCAGTGCAGGGAAAGCAACGTATCAATATGTTTTCGATCAAGTTAACCCGTGGCAGAGCTCAAGTAGAGCACATCACGGTGTTGATCTCATTTCGTTATTTGGGGGATATGACCTCACATTTAACCCTGCTGCTGCTGCCGTAGCAAAAGCGATGCAAGAACGCTGGATTGCGTTTGTGAATGGCGAAAGCCCGTGGAATGGGGAGAAGAGGTTTGCATTTGGGCCACATGGGAAAAGTGGAGAGATTACAGATGAAGACTTTGCTGCAAGGAGACGCGTGGGACATTTTGATTTATTGCGACAGATGGATTCGATGAAACTTGGAGGTATATTTGGGGGGTTGGCTGCGGGACGGATAAGTTTGCTGAACTAGTTGAGGAAGATTAAGGTTTTCGGGGTTGCCATCCCCTTTTGAATTGAGCAACGAGTAGATTATATAGAAGAATGATTCAAGTAAGTTCAATTAAATTACAAATGTTGTGGTGATGGAATCGACTATATAACAAATATAGTATACAGTAGTCAATGTAATTCCTAGCTTCGAAGCTAGATGTAACTATGTCAAATATCGAAAACGTTGCCATAATAAATAGCAAAGAAATATAATTATCGGCTAATGGGACCATCCTCATTTCCATTAATGAATTTCAGCCTCCATTCTTCTGCAAAGGCGGCTGACATGAGCCTTAATACGTAACCCATTCGGGGAGTAACTAATTCAACGTAAGCACGGTCAGCATTATTCAGGGGATTGGTCCAAGTAATGCGGAGTAGTTAAGATGACTTACTGCCCCAGACCCAGGTATCGTCAAGGAAGGATGCCCAAACTCTAGTAACTTCCGCGGCGAGGGAACCTTTCCCATTATATTCACTGTCAACCTCGGTTAAAAGTTGAGCAAAGTTGGTAAGATTCCTCATTTCCTCGTCGTTTGGTGGCAGTTCTCGCTGTTGCATTTCCATAGTGTGGATCCACTTTAGAACGAACAATGCTAATGATACGAAGTCAGTAACTCTGATATTGCCACACAAGACAAAAAAAATCATGTAATGCTCACCGCAATCCCAAGCCGCAATGGCATGCTCTACGCTCCAACTGAGAGCAGCCGTTTTTCTCACCAGGAGATGGCCAGCTTTAATTGGAATGAGGAGCCCTCCATAAGCCTTATGCACAGCTGTCGTCAAGAAAGGATTCCGTTCTTGGGGACTGTCAATATACGATTGGATAGAACTTGTCACTTGGTCTGGGTCGCTCCAAAGCAACATCATGCGGTTGAAGTTACCAGCGCCAGTAGCAACCCTCACATAAGCGCTTCGAAGCAGAGCCAGACAGTTGAATATTAGTGGACCTTCCAAGTCGTCCGATGTGTGTTCTCGTTCAGAGCGGCCAGCCGTAAGTAAGGTATAACATCTTGCCAAAGCCGATTCAACCTGGGTGACGAGACACGCTCTGAGGTTGTTGTTGTTTTGTTCGCCAATGGCGAATGTAGTGAAAGACTGAGTAAATTGCATGATGTTCCACATGTGGACATTGACAGCATGCATTATGACGGTCGTCGCGAAAGCCGTCCAACTCATAACGTCAGTCCTGGAAGAGGAGTCTTCTTTTGCGAATATAAGGTGAGTCATGGCGTCCCGGACAGTTATGAGAGTTGGAGTATTTCGTGACTTAATTATCTCCTCCCATTGCTGAGCGTTAGTTGCTTCCCAAAGCCTTTCTTCGTCGGGCATCTCCAAGTCAATGTCTTGCGTCACAGAAAAGCTAGGAGTCATGTCGTAGGCCACAGTCATTAAACTGCTCATAATGAAGATCCCATATAGAAGCCTTGCACACGTCAGTATTAATCAGGATAATAGAATGTGTAAATATCCAACCGTTTAGATGTCTCTCTCAAACACCATGACTCCCATGAAAGCGATTCGGTATTTGGCCGTTTAAGGGCCAAGATAGCTCTTCTCAGTCGATATTCCTCGAAATAAATTAGCATCAACAGCATATCTGCAGCACGACGAGCTAACCGTTGTCCAATATCCCCACTGCGTAAGTGCCTGTTCCGTCACGTCTCCACTGAAGACAGCAAATAGCGAAAGCAGTAATTTACACTGGGCGGCGGCTATTGTGCTAGGTGACATTAAATCTGAAGGTGGCGTTTGAAGTTCCTTGTAGAGAGTCAGTAAGAGGCAAGGTGAGACTTTTCGAAGCGAACAGTATTACCAATTCGAGCATCTTATTAGCCCAGAACCAAAGATCTTTTGCAGTCTTTCGGCTAAGTCGATAGAGTGCACCAATAGCACACATTGCGAGAATCAGGGGAGTAGGTGCATTCCGAAGATCTAAGGACGGGAAATGCAGTATCGGATAGTGTCTGTGGAAGCATGTCAAATAGCTAACCAAAAATCGCTGGAGACTCTGGGCGCTAGGCATGTTGAAGTCCTTCAGTTGCTCATGTGACAATCTCTTCTCGATATCTTTCAAGATCAGAGAATGGATGTCGCTGTCCACGGGACGCAGAGATATTTGCTTTGGCGTTTCGTTGACAACGGTAGGCAGTCGTGCTGAGGACCCGGCAAACGGTACTGGGTCGAACGGCTCTGCAACTGCTCTGATGGCTATTAGTGATGTGCCGTGCATAGCGACCGAGAGATTCCTCTCATTTGCATCCCAAAGGAGCTGTGGGGACTCGTTATCAATTGGCGGGCTATAGCCCGAGTTGAACAAATAGCTCGGTATTGCAAAATCAGCTTCTATGTTTGTCCCGCCGTTTGGTAACATAGAAAAAATATCCACATCTTGAAAGTAGTTCTCTATTTGATGGGCCATGGCAGGTGGTTCATTGCTTGTAGCATTTGGGTCTGCGGCAAACTCATGCCTACTGAACGTGTCTGGATCCTGCCAATTTGTCCGACTCGGATCCCATACTTGGCCACTAGGCCCACTTTGACTTGCCTCGGATGTTTGAGTGAGAACAGTATCGGAATTTGGAGTTTGTCCAGATTGTCCCGTAGCATCATTGAGGAGATTTACTAAGAATTCATCATTCATGCCGGGCATTGAAGAGTCTCCGAATGGTTGACTGATACCTGGTCCAGACGATACGACAGGCGTGGGCAATGGGCCATCTATGGCCATTGGTAACTCTGCGGAATCGGATTCCCGACGAGCCTCAGCGTGATGTGAAGATGTTGACGCCTGCTCGTTTGATTTGGGGTCGTTTGTTTTGTCTTTGGCGGTCCATGACGCGCGTTGAGATTCTGCAATTTGCTCATCATATCGCTGTAAAATGGGATCTAGAGTAGACTGCGCTTGAGGTGCTGGAGCCGTGGTTTCCTCAATCGGTTCCACATTAGACGTTTGAGTACTTGCTAATAGAGTGGTTTCCGTAACTGGCGACTGTTGCCGTCGCGAAATTTCGAATGGATGGAACGACTGTTCATGACGAGTGACAAGGTCCCTAGGATCGGTTAGCGTCTTATATGAACAAACTAATCTACGCGCAAACGACGTCGTATGCTCTCGCTCACTTACTTTCTAGCATATCGCCGACCGCAATGTCTGCATGTAAAAGGCTTCTCACGTGTATCTGAGAAAGAGAACTTGTCAGCGTCTCGAGTGGAAGGTGGTTGGTCTTTGCTTACGGCCTCTCTCATGTCGAGAGCAGTGCTCGCTCCTCTTGAAAGCCTTCTGACAGACAGAGCATGAGTAACGCCGGACCGGCTTTTGTAATTGTGGGTGTATAGCGCCTTCGTCGGGCGATTGTCCTTGTACAGGGGCAGTATCGGTTGGCATTTCTACCACGATGGATGCCATTGCTGCTCCCTTTTTGAGAATATTCGTGGGATGGGGACGTCGCGCGCTTTCGTTGCGACGATGACAACCTCAATCTTAATTCTAACGATCGAATATAGACTGCAAAATTTAGGCTAGAGGTGAGGGTTGAAGCAGGATTGGAAGTGGTGACAGATGTTGACGTCGAGGTTGGCGACATGAAGTTGGAGATCTCTCCAAAAGAATTAACTGCGGGGTACCGGGGTTCTGGGTATGGGGTAGCATTTGACGCTAAGATGCGCCACATAGATATTAGTATTAGCACCTTGTAAGCAAGAGACACGAGACTGACCGAGACCCGGTACCTCCCGCAGTTCATCCTATCATGGTCGTCATAAAGTCGCAGGGAGCTTCTCCGTCCGACTCGGTCGGCATCTTCGGAGCATCCGTATTCCGGAAGCTGTAACACTGGAGATTCTTCGACAACGCGGCCTGGAAGATCCCATCTTCCAACATCGAGTTTGAAACCAATTCCTTCTCTAGAACCTACGCAATAATGCGGCTGCTCTATCTTACTAAAACCATAAATATGAACTGGTGGTAGTGTGTTTCTTTTCGTTTCGTTATAGGGGCCAAGATAGTTTGACTTGAGAATGACGGTTGATAAATGCGCGCGTTACTGTAAATAAAGACCCTTCGTTCCTTTTAGATTTCTCATTGAGCCCACAAACTAAACGAAACTTTATGCCTAAACCCAAGGCTTTATGTGGCTTTTTGGGGCTTTAGAGTTCGTCGAAGATGAGTGTTCCTAGTCTTCGTCGACGAGTCGACGGGTGTGCTCAAACCGCGAACTTACCCCCACATCATTTTGTAACCCCACATCGACAACCACGCGAGTGCAAGCTCCCCCCCCCCCAACTACTCCCACTCTCTCAGTTATTTTTATAAATACCACAGCACCCATTCTCATGAACTTTACTACAAAACATACTTATCTATATAATTTATTCCCTACAGCAATATGGACGCTTTTGAATACAATGCTTCTCCGGCACGAGTCCTCTTTGGCTCAGGCACGCTATCCAAACTCCCGGCCGAAGTAGCCCGCCTAAACGTATCTGCCCCTCTACTTCTCTCAACTCCCCAACAAGCAGAGCAAACTTCGACATTAAAAGACCTCCTCGATGGAAAAATTGCAGGAATATTCACGGAAGCAACAATGCATACTCCCTACGCCATTACCGAAAAAGCACTCGCCTACGCCCAATCCACGAACACAGATTCAGTCATCTCAATCGGCGGCGGCTCCACAATTGGTTTGGGGAAGGCCATCGCAATAAGGACGGGCCTTCCGCATATCTGCATACCGACTACATATGCGGGGAGCGAGATGACGCCGATTCTAGGAGAGACGGTTGATGGGCGCAAGACCACGAGGAGTGATCCCAAGATCTTGCCCACCACGGTTATCTACGACGTTGATCTTACAATGACATTGCCTGCAAAAATGAGTGCGACTAGTGGTGTTAATGCAATCGCACACTCTGGTATGTCCTAAATATTCTTCTTTCTCTTTATCGAAATCCGCCTCATCCTGAAATACCCCACATTATCTAACCCAACCCAACCCCCTATAGTCGAAGCGCTCTATGCTCAAAATCAAAACCCGATCATGTCAATTCTAGCACTCGAAGGCATCAAAGCCCTTGCCTCCTCACTCCCTACAATCATCCAATCCCCGTCCGACATTCCAGCCCGCGAACAAGCACTCTACGGTGCCTGGCTCTCAGGAGTCTGTCTAGGCTCCGTCGGCATGTCTCTCCACCACAAGCTCTGCCACACGCTAGGGGGATCCTTCAACATGCCGCATGCAGAAACGCACACCATCATCTTACCTCACGCACTGGCCTACAATGCTCCGAATATTCCTGAAACGATGAAGAAACTGGCTGAGGTGCTACCTGGTAGTGAAGGTGATGCGGTGAAGGGGATGAATTTATTATTGGAGAAGTTGCAGGTCAAGAGAGCATTGAGCGATTTTGGACTGAAGGAGAAGGATTTAGACAGGGCTGCTGAGATTGCTCTCGAGAAGTCGTATTGGAATCCGAGACCGGTAGAAAAGGAGAAGGTGAGAGAGTTGTTCAGGCGAGCATGGGCTGGAGAGGAAGCCAGAGCTGATTTGTAAATATCTATATGTCTGATAATTCATATCGAGCCAAAAACAAAGTCTTCGAAAAGGAGTATGACGAGAAGTACGAACCTAGCTTGAGGTTGAAGCATATCACCGTAGTTGCAGTAAGCTACATAGCGGCATCATTGAACTGCTTCTATTCATACCTAGTAAAACACGCTATTACCTACTTCCTCTTACTTAGTTAAATCAGATCAAACAACTCTTCCAGCCTCACGCCCTATTTACAACCGGCTCTTCACCCACGACTTGATCATATCCGCGCTAGCACCCAACTCTGGCTCACCCAACATCGTCGCCAGAAGCGGCATCTCATGCGCCTCGTCCTTTGCCGCCAACAGTTGGACACAATTCCTCCCCTTCGACAACCTCGCAGCAACAGCCTTCACTCCATCAATCAGAATCTCATCCTCACCTCCAGTGATCAGAATATCATCAACTGGAATCCCATCCCACCACTCCGCCTCCGCCAGCGCAGGCTGCGTGTAGTTCGTGTTGGCATCCACTGGGTGAGGGTGAGCCGTACCCAGGAAGCTCGTCGAGCACTTAACTAGGAACCCAGGCGTCAACTCGTCCTTGCGTTCGTTAAGGGCATATCCGGGGTTAGAGGTGGAGAAGTCGGCCCACGGGCTGATGAGGATGGCGCCGAGGAACTTCGCGCCTTCCGGGAGCGAGACCGCTGGTACGGACGGATGTGGGTGCGCGAGGTGCGAGAGCAGCGCAAGCGAGAGGTTGCCACCTGCGGAGTCACCGGCGAGGATGATGGAGGATAGGTCGACACGGAGGTTCGTGAGGATGTGTGTCAGTAGCGCGGAGGCCTGAATGAGCTGGCGCGGGAACTGGGCACCGGGAGCGAGGTCGTAGGAGAGGAAGAGGACAGAGGGGATCTCCTCGGCCGGGACGGAGTCGCGGAGGGATTCGCGCAGGATATGGAGGTATGCGAATGAGTAGGGCTCGGCGGGGAGAACGTAGCCGCCGCCGTGTAGGTAGAGGATTATCTTCTTGGCGTTGCGTGGGCCCATCCAGTGCGCACGAGTGCCATCCTGGAGGATCTCAGACTCGGGGGTCAGCTTGTGGATTTTGCAGTAGGCGGCGTAGATGTCGTCGGTGGGTGGTGCGCGGTATTGGTTTTGGTGTGGGGTGAGGCTGTCGACGAGGGCGCGGACGGCAGTGTACATCACATGCCTCTTGATTGTGGAGGGCGTTGTGGAGCGGTTTCGGAAGGGCGCGCCGAGGAGAGCAAGGATTGTTTGGGTTACTGGAGATGTTAGCGAAGTCTTGGTAAATGTCTTGGTATACTGACCGACGCTGAGGAGCTTTGGAGTGAAGGCGAGCTTCTCGGTGAGGGGCATTTGGGCAAGAGCCGCCTGGTGGGATAGCTTTGACGACGACATGGTGCGATACCTTGCAAGGATGCAATTGGCGCTGGTTATCGTAGGATATGAACTGTAATGGAAATACAGACGGGGTGATTAGGTTGCTGTTAGATGATAGATGAATGAAGTCCGCAGTGGAGTTAATTGTCTTATTAACAGAAGTAAGCTGAAGCTGATCGACAGCCGGGCGAAGACCTCGGTTCCTGGGCGACATGACATGTATGACGCTTTCCCCGCATTTTGGGAGACCCACTTTTATTTTGGCGGGGGTACTATGGAGAGGATCCGAACAGGCCCAGGCACCCTGAAACTATAATACGACCTCTCTAGAATTTATGTATATACACTACAAGTATTATCTTTTGGCTTTTAACGTTCTTATAACGTATAGTAATAAGATCTTCATGTACTATCATTTTACATACATTTTTTAGGTCCTGTTCGTGCTATATAATAATCATGGTATTACGTGCTAATATCATGATATGCCGTGCGTGCAGGCGGCAATTTAATGAGAACCTTAAAAGTCGGTGCCTTGGTGTTGAAACTCTCGACGCGTCAACAACGACACTATTATGCTGAAAGCGACGTCGGGCTGGCTAACAATTGGTTCCAGTTCTTCTGCCTAGAGGTTACAAATCATCACACAGATAAACCCCAGAACTTGGGAATAGTGCGTTGATGGGTGATAATAGCGAGAACTTTCAATGCCTGTCAACATCAGGCTGCCATAAATAGAGATACTATTTAGAACCATTTCTCTGCAGAGGATACGGAATTATAGTGGCTCTTCTACCTAAATATCTTTCGACGCCATGGCAACATACTCGGGTTTCGCGCATCTTCAATCGAGGGCAGTCAATTCGACTGTATACGCAGGCGATAATAGCTTTGGCCCCTTTTTCGAGCTTCCTGGCAGTGCAACGTTTGATTTCACTCTTCTTTTCGAGGAGACAATCTTATCAATCCTACCTTCGGCTGTATTGCTGCTTTTAATACCCCCAAGGATCTTACAGTTATGGAAGACGCCCCACAAAGTCATTAGCAGTTATCTTCTGACGACCAAGATTGTAGGCGCTATAGTTTATTTTGGTAGACAATTGCTGACAAGTGATAGGTTATTCTTGCCGTCTTCAGTATTCTACAAGTCGCCAATGTTATTGAAGTGTCACAATCATCACTTCAAACTCGTGCTTCACTTGCTGCTGCCCTACTTGCACTGGTAGCCACCCTCGGTCTAGCCATTCTGTCATATGTCGAGCACAGTAAAAACGTCCGACCAAGCTCAATTATCAATGCCTATCTTCTTCTTACGGTACTATTTGATGCTGCACAACTTCGTACGCGGTGGCTACGTGGAGACAACTTTGCTGGGAATGGTATTGCGTCGTCTATTCTTGCCGTGAAGCTTTTTGTTCTCATATCCGAAGCGACGGATAAGACGAAAATATTATTTACACCATATGCCGACTGTTCTCCAGAGAACACCAGTGGCCTCTATTCTCGTGGGCTCTTCTGGTGGCTAAATCCGCTCTTTCGACTGGGATTCAGAAATGTTGTCAATGACGATGATCTGTTTGCAGCTGATGGAGATCTGTCATCGAAGTCTCTTGAAATTAGATTCAATAAACATTGGGCACATCGTATGTCTCCTATTCTCTTTATCGTTGTTTGCCAGGTACTAATACGCATATAGGCAGTAAATATCCCGGAAAGCACACGCTAGTATGGGTCATGTTCCGCATGATGCTGAAGCCCCTCACAGCTTCCGTGCTACCACGCCTGGCGTTGACATTCTTTCGATTCATGCAGCCCCTACTTATTAACAGCATCACCAAGCTTGTGAGAGACCCTGATTCCGAATCCGCGACTAACCGTGGCTGGGGCCTGACGGCTGCTTTTGGACTTGTCTACATTGGCCTGGCTGTGACTGGCGGTGCTTACCAGCATAAGGCAAACAGAATGACAACAATGGTCAGAGGCTCACTTGTGAACGCTATCTATTCACAAACCTTAGACCTATCAGTTACCAGCCTAGATGAATCAGCTGCCGTTACTCTGATGTCCTTGGACGTTGAACGAATCTGCACTGCTGTTCAACCAATACATAATATATGGTCGAGCCCTCTGGAAATTACTTTGGCAATCTGGCTATTACAGAAGGAGATTGGTATCGCTCTCTTGGGCCCTTTATTCATAACAGCCTTGGCAATATCCGGCCCGTTTCTAATCTCACGGCACATGGGAAAGGCTCAAAAGGCGTGGATCGAAAGAGTTCAGACCAGGATTGATACTACTGCAAAAATGCTGCAGGCAATGAAGGGCGTCAAAATGCTCGGTCTCAACTCCAAAATGTCCAGCATCATCTACAAGCTCAGACTAGATGAAATTGCCGAGTCTCTGAAAATGAGAAAGCTGTTCGTCGTCATGCTTGCCTTCGGTAATATGTCCGATATCTTCGCCCCAGGAGCTGCTTTTGCTATCTACGTGATAGTAGCCAATAGTAACGGACAAACACTTGATGTATCCTCGGCATTCACAGCGCTCTCACTTATTGCACTGCTGGTTGCACCAATCCGCGCCATTGTGTTTTCAATTCCACCACTAATAGCAGCTATTGGCTGTTTTAATCGGATCGAGGCATTCATTTCCTCACCGACCAAAAGGGATCATCGGATGCCTTTACAGGGCCAGCCAAGTAGAGTGACTATATTGGATACATTTGCTATGGACACAACCACTGGTCGTGATATCGAGTTGGGGGATTTCATGCCGCAGACAAACGTGAATAGGTCGTCAGCCATCATCAGTGTTAAAAATTTGACGCTTGCTTGGTCCGACGAGGGCAGTCCTGTCATCGACGATGTTTCTTTTAATGTTCAGCCAGGCAATCTAACGATGATTGTGGGCCCCGTCGGATGTGGCAAGTCTAGCCTCCTCCGAGGATTACTTGGAGAAATTCCATCATCAAAGGGAAATGTTTACATTGACCGAGAACATGCTTCATTTGTTGATCAGGTCCCCTGGATCCAAAATAGCAGTGTTCGGAGCAACATCATTGGAGTCTCTATTTTTGAGCCAGAATGGTATTCAACTGTTGTCCATGCATGCGCCTTTGACACAGATATCGAAACACTTCCAGAGGAAGATCGTACCAAAGCAGGCTCAGCTGGGGCAGCATTATCTGGAGGCCAACGGTTGCGCATAGTATGTTATGTTCCGCCAACCTCATTGCTATTGTTACTAACATTGTACAGGCGCTTGCTCGGGCAGTTTATTCTCGACAACAATTATTGATATTAGACGATGTCTTCAGCGGACTTGATGCCATAAGTGAGGATCGAATTTTCTCACGCCTACTTGGAAAGAGTGGGTTACTTCGTCGACTTGGTACAACTGTCATATTGGTCACACACGCCGCTCATCGCCTATCCTATGCTGATAACATCATCGCACTTACGAATCAAGGTACGATTTCGGAACAAGGAAAATTTGGAGACCTTATGGCGGCTAGTGGGTACGTTGCCAGTCTTGCGGCGCGACATATATCAGAAGACAGTGATGCTCCTCAAGAAGAAGCAGCTATCGCGAAGGCAAAGATTAGTGATGATACAGCTCGACAAAATGCTGCAGATGACATTCATCGCCCCATTGGAAACTGGGCCACGTATAAATATTACTTCACGAGCGCCGGGTGGCGAAATGTTGGCATATGGACTGGTTTGATGATTTGCTATTCTATGCTTCTGCAATTCCCAGGTAGGGGTTTTTCGTTCCCAGTTTTAACGCTCGCTAACAATTAAAAGATCTCTGGGTCAAGTTCTGGACGAGTAGCATTGCTGTCCACGGCAACTCGGTCAACGGCCTTTACCTGGGCGTACTTCTTGCGGGAGAATTCATTGCCATGGCTACTCTCATGATATTAACCGGCATGCTCTTTATCATCATGATACCCCGTTCCGCAACCCATCTCCATGGAAAGCTACTCGATACCATTGAAAACGCTCCACTATATTTTTTTACCTCTACAGACGCAGGGCAGATTGTCAACAGGTTCAGCCAGGACCTGTCGGTCATCGATGCAGAACTTCCTATTGCTGCGTTGATACTAGCAAACAACTTCTTCATGGCGATCATACAGGCGATATTTGTCTGTGTTTCGGCATCATACTTTTCCATTGTATTGCCGTTTGTGTTGTTCTTGATGTACATGTTGCAAAAGTTCTATTTGCGCACATCACGCCAAATCAGACTGATGGACCTCGAATCCAAGGCGCCGCTCTACAGCAACTTCCTAGAGACTCTGAATGGACTGGTCACCATTCGAGCATTTGGATGGACTAAGGATATGGAGAAACGAAATATGGCTTTTCTGAATGCATCACAAAGACCGTTTTACCTTCTCTTTTGCATTCAGAGATGGCTGATGCTAGTGATCGACCTGCTCGTGGCAGCGCTCGCTGTCATTCTGGTGGCATTGATAGTACAGTTTCGCCACAGTGCTGATGCTGGTTTTGTCGGATTGGCACTTATAAACATCATGTCGTTCAACATGACTTTGTCGGCACTCATCATACACTGGACCGCAACTGAAACTTCGTTAGGTGCTGTTTCTCGAATAAAGTCGTTCGTTGACAGTACTCGTTCTGAGAATCTACCAATGGAATCTCAGGATGTACGGCCAGAATGGCCATCAGAGGGCAGTATCATTCTCTCGGTTATCTCCGCCTCTTACGCACTTGACCAACAACCGGCTCTCCATAATATCAGTCTGAAAATCCCCGCTGGTCATAAAATTGGGGTTTGTGGGCCATCTGGCTCTGGCAAATCCTCTTTTATAGCTCTACTTCTTCATATGCTCGAAATCAACAATGGGTCAGTTACGATCGACGGAGTCGATCTGTCAACAATCCCGCGAAAGGTTCTTAGAAACCGCCTCGAAGTAATACCCCAAGAGCCGGTATTTCTCAAAGGCACTATCAGACAAAACATCGACCCCCTAAACCTTGCGGAAAACAACTCTGCTGTCGAGGAGGCCCTAAAAACGGTTGGATTGTGGTCAATAGTTGCAGATGCCGGTGGCCTAGATGTGCCGATGGAAGCAGAAGATCTACTATCCCATGGACAACGCCAGCTATTCTGTCTCGCACGAGCCATGCTGAGGCCTTCCAAAATCCTTCTTATCGATGAAGCAACGGCGAGCGTCGATCTACAGACCGACAGACTCATGCAGAAGATCATCTCGGATCATTTCACTGACTGTACCGTCATTGCTGTAGCTCACAGGTTAGAGACCATCAGAAATTTTGATAAGGTCGTAGTGTTTGAGAATGGACGAGCTGTGGAGTATGGCGAGCCAGATGCGCTTCTTGCAGATGAAGGTAGCAAATTTAAAGCGTTGTGGGGCTCATAAAATGTGATGTATTGCAGTGGACTATAGGCATCATTAGAGGGTAAATACTGTTCAGGGCATCTAGGATTGCGGTGGCTATGTACACATCTATAGTGACTATGGCTACGGCCGCTCCACAGACCGCGGGCCCATCTCCTTTACATAGCCCAAATCAGCCAAATCTTAAATATCCACATGCGGGCGCTCGTGATCAAATCTTTCACCCGGCCAACCCGTACCTCATACAATCAGGATTAGCTGCCTAATCATCTTCAAACGGGTTGCTTCCATCCTGATACAAGAAACTGTATATCTCATCCTTGAGCCACAAGGTTCGTTCGGGTCGAGAATAATTAAACTCGCTGCTAATGGCTAGTGTTGGCCTTTGGACCCGTTCTTTCCAGCCCAGCTTGTCACGTATCGCGCATAATAGCGTCTGGTAGCTGCCACCGATATCCATGATCTCGATTCTACTCAGTTCAACCGACCGTAGAGTCTTTGGCAAAGACGCAAGGAGAGCCAGAAGATCGTCCTGCTCCACGTAGAAGCTGGCAAGGCCAAAGTGTTGAAGCCTTGAATAGCGAGTGGGTGTAAATATCATTGCGAGAGGAATATACCAGTCGCAATCATCGCCTGGCTCATACATGTGCATGGATATGTCCGTGCTCAGGCTCAAGTGCTTTAAGCCTTGCCCGCCTGAAGCACCAGCCAGTGCACGTCTAAGAAGCCCATTGCAAAATATTTCCGCCTGGCTGTAGTGCTCATCTACTATGAGATCAAGCTGCAAGTGCGTAAAATTTAGGAGCGCAAGTACCGCCTCGAAGTTATCCAAGGTGCGATTTTCCTTCTCAAACACCCGCGAGTTTAGTCCCATCGTCCCCATCTCATTATCATCAATACGTAAGTCCATCACTCTGTAACAATCCCTGCCCTCTGTTAAAACGCGCATCACGGTCCGGAAACCTTGCCAGTCGTTGCCATCTTCGTCCCACTCGTCACATTCCGGTTGGCACCGGTCAGCAGGGGGGTAGCCAAATGGAAGGTAGTAGTTGAACCCGCGAGGGAAGGAGCGGATCATGGGCGTTTCGTACAATGGATTATACAACCCTTCATGTGTCGCCGCCGTTATGGTTATTCTTTTCAGCGCCGGGAAGGATCCGACGTATTTCTCCAATGCGTTGATATGTGCCTGCGAATCCCGGACATCGCGCTGCTGTTGCAGTAGCTCTTGATAGTATGCCCATGCCTTCTCCATAGGCATTTGCTCGGTGACCTGTTGTGCCATTGCAACGAGGCTCAGCCTGTCCAAATCGCACTCGCGGTCGTCCTTTATATGGTAAATATTTTCCCGGCAACCTATACGAAACCATCCTGGGACATCGCCTCTCCAATCAATCCCATTCTCATCCCTTCCCTCGTCCTCGTCCACGTAGTCTTGATATTCATCATCCGATCCGTAGAGAGCCTCCACTTCACTGCGCGGCATAGGACGGACGTACAGGATCGCGTCATCCCAGATGATCTCGGTGATTTTGGCACGAAAGACCTCATGATTTGCAATAGCAGTAAAAACCTCAACATTGCGCGGGTTCGCAGATATAAAGACACGATCAAGGCGCAGATCCACTGTTTCCAAGAAAAGACGGCAGGTGAGACGCAGACTCTTGATGGTGCTGTTGGGAACCTGATCGACAATTATCTTGACAATTTCAGGCGGAAGCCGAAGCGCAGGACTAGCATGATTTGGGACCTCGGCGGTTTCTGAGTTTGAAGATGCCATTTACTCGAGAAATTTCTCACTGCGGTATTGGATTTAGCGGGTGATTGTAATGTACAGGAAGAGTATGGCTCACCTGTCTACGTACAAATAATATCGAGCCTTGGTGGACCCTACTAGCGTTTTAACGGGGTTTCCGTTCCTTGCCCTTCAAACCTTATTTTAATCACCAATTGTCAACATCAATACTGCCTATGCAGCTTATACTATAGGTATTTATAAGAAAATAATATCTGTTATTTTATACTTACAATGTCGATCTACCGCAGTCGTCTTAAAACTCCCAACCCCAACTATACCTTAACAGAAACATAGTAATCAGGCCACATGTTGAGAAAGTCACGTCCAACATCCGGGTTCCACTTATAGAAATCCGCTAACCCGGCTTCATGGCCTTCGGCGATGATCGCACATTTCAGCTTATGTACGTTGTTCAGGTGCCTTTCTCTTATTTTCTAGAAGCCTGTACGTACGACCGATTCCGCAGACCCGTTCCGCCTCGGAAGGAGGTGTCCGTGCCGAGTGAGGTGAACGATGCGCCCGATGAGGGGCCAGTGAGTGATAGGACCGCCGGAGAGAGGTGTGTGAAAGAGTGGAGAGGCAGATGATAGAGGCGATGGGGGGCGCGCAGGAGGAGGAGGAGGAGAGTGAGGCTACGCTGCGACCGAGTATTATAGCTAAGCCTGAAGGATAGGGGAAGTGGAGTAGGCGCTTGGAGGAGGCATGCTGGGTTGGGAGAGGGCGATTCTGTGCCTTCGTAAGCGTGGAGTCGGGAGTCTGGCGTGAGAAATAGTATTGAAACTGGATTGGTAGTGGGTGGACTGACTTGCTCGATTTATTTACGGAAAGGAGGAGCCTAGGGTGGGAGTATTTTTTATCAGTAATCTAAGTAGATTTAGAAGGTCTAGCGGATTTACGTGTAAGTTGGGTGTATAGGTTATGGTTGTATTCTTGAGTATAACTATAGACTTTTATCAATCAGTACTGTAGGCGTTAACCATTGTCATAAGATTATTTAAGTTGAGGGATGTACATACTGATCATACTCGTCTCATGCGATTGGAGAGGTCTTCGACTTCAGCTTTTCCACAATTTCGTCCCATCCTCGATACCCCACCCTTTCGTCGGATTCCGCCCACCACAGTGCCGTGTGGCCATCATTGTCCCTTAAATTCACATCAACATTTTCTTGCTCCACAAATACCCTCACAGTCCCTTCGAAGCCAAATCGCGCCGCCCACATCAGCGGCGTCAAGCCGTCATTATCCTTTGAGTTGACATCAACGTCGTCCCTCTCCAAAAGTAGCTTCACAGACTTGCTTTCTTGGCCATATTGTGTTGCTGCATAGGATAATGGCGTTCGGCCATTGTTGTCCTTCGAGTCGGCTTTAACATCTTCCCTACTTGCAAGTAGCTTTATAACTGCGATTCGGGTATTGTGATATGCTGCCCATGATAGCGGAGTTTGGCCCCTATTGTCCTTAGAGTCAGCATTGACGTCGTTACGTCGTAGTAACAATGCCACAATCTCGCTTTTGCCACATTCCCCAGCCCATGATAATGGTGTCCGACCGTCGTTGTCCTTAGAGTCAGCATTAACGTCGTCCCGTTCTACTAACAGCTTTACAATTTCTGCCGACCCGTCTACTGCTAAAAATGATAATGGGGTCCGACCATTATTGTTCTTTGAGTCGGCATTGACGTCATCCCGTTTTACTAGCAGCTTTACAATTTCTCCGAACCCTGTCCGTGCTGAGCATGTTAATGGGGTCCAACCGTCGTTGTCCTTAGAGTCGGCATCAACGTCGTCCCGTTCCACTAACAGCTTTACAATTTCTTCGTGCCCGTTTATTGCTGACCATGATAATGGGGTCCGGCCATCATTGTCCTTTGAGTCGGCATTAACGTCATCCCGTTCTACTAGGAGCTTTACAATTTCTTCGAACCCTAGCGCTGCCGACCATAATAATGGTGTCCTGCCGCTGTCGTCTTTTGAGTCGGCATTAACGTCATCTTGATCAATAAGCAGTTTCACAATTGCTACTTGTCCTTGCTCTGCTGCCTTGCACAACGGCGTTTGGCCGTAATTGTTAGTTAAGTCGGCACTGATATCGTCCTGTTCTAGTAGTAGCTTCACAATTGCTACGTGTCCTTTCATTCCTGCTGATGATAGTGGTGTTTGGCCATGATTGTCCTTTGAATTGACATTCACGTCGTCGCGTTCTACTAGCATCTTCACGATTTCTGCTTGTCCGTGCTCTGCTGCCCACGATAACGGAGTTTGGCCTCGGTCGTCTTTCAGGTTGGCGTTACCAAAGTCGCCTAGTCCTGCTAAAAGCACTCGTAATAAGTACTGTAGCCCAAGTTTCGCTGTTAGATGTATACCCGTCGTATTCTTTATCCGTTCAGAGAAACGTAGGCCTCGGAGTAAGGCTCTTAGTTCATACGGTGGATATACAAGATAGGATACTAATTTCATATCTTTTAGGATAGGAAGTGCCACTTCCAACACCTGCTCTTGTACTGACATTGCATGCTGTGCCCAGTGTTGAGAAGCGTACTCAAAGAAGATATATGTTTTAAGCATATCTTGGAAATCGTCGATGCCAGAAATGCCTGAAACGCCGGTCTTAAACGGGTCAAATGAAAGATATGTAAGACATGTTGTTGTAATGTCCCGCTGAGCTGTGGGATTCCAATCCTGTCTGATTCGCAGGAAATATTCTTGCGTGGTGTAATGGATGAGGCGGATTATATTGCTCTGGTCGTCAACTGTGACAAGGCCTGCGCAGAACGATACAATATCATCCATATCTTCGAAGTTGTCTGTATCTAGGTCGGTGTCGCCAGGATTAACTGCCAAAGCGTGGCATAGTTCCTCTGTCGTTAGCGGTCGCTCTGCATATGAGATCCACGTTAGAACTCTCTTTGCGAGCTCGCTACAACCCTCTTGTTGAGCCTCTATTCTCTTTATCGCATCGTCATAGGCCTTCTTTAAGGCTTCCTCGCCACTAGAAAGGCCCTTCAACATAGCTCGAACTTTGGATTTAGTCGTCTTATCGAGAAGGGAATCAACATGAAGGCGGGCAAGTAGAAACCTAGAAAAATCGTAAGAGACCAAAATATGTTAGATTGTTAAAGGGGCAATACTAACATTCCATCTACTGCCTCAACAATGTGCTCTTCTACCTCTCTCTTCAACTCATCATCACGCTGGACACACCTATGAAGGCGGGGAATCTGTCCTTTGATAAATTCTGCCACGTCTTCAGGGCTTGCTCGAACCTCTAATTTTGGTGCCAATTTAAATTGTTCCTCTATGTCCGGAATGAAGCGCGACGTAACCATCAGTCGTATGTCCCCATCATTCTGTAGGTCCCGGAGCCTTTCTAAGAGCCGGAGGGGGGTTTTGTGCTCATCCGAGCACTCGTCGAGAGCATCAACCACAATATATACAGTCGAGAAGCTTTTTAGCATAACTTTCAATGTATTTGAGATTTCGTGGACAGTAGCCATCGTCCCCCTAGCATGGTGGAGATTATAAAGGGTATTTGCTGCATCCGGGGCAGACGGTTGTGCCTGCACCAGTTGCTTGAGAATTGCAGATAACAGGCTCAGTGTGTTCTGCTCCGACTGCACCTTATAATTGCAAAAGACATATGCAACTCCAATGTTATTGTTGTGGGTAGTTTTATAAAGGTGGTCAACTGCTATGGCTGATACCATCGTCTTGCCAGCCCCAGGAATTCCAGGACAAAACAAGGTTTTCTCTGTCCCAGAAAGCCAGTTGTTAAATTCAGAAGATTCAAGAAACCACTGGCAAGTTCCTGTCTGCCTCCTGGCTATGATATCAGACAGTTGGGAGGGGAAGTCGGTCGATGATATCCACTGGAGGAGTTCATGATTCTGCTGCCTGTCTTGGCCAACCTGAATCTTTTTGATTCCGTCTTGTAACACTGGCATTGAGCATAGGACTGCACTCATATCGATTTTCAGTTCTTCATTGCTGTTGTAAATCTCAGCCAAGCAGTCTTTAATTGCTCGAGACAGTTCCCTAAGAATATTAGTATATTTTAATTTTATATGATTTAAGGACTTCTCGATATGAAAATGGCACTCACAAATGGTCCAACTGCAACGCAACCAAAATCAAACTTTTTATCCGTTCAATCTGCAACAAAATCCCCGCAACCTCCTCCTTCACAAACTTCCACAACAACACATTCCCCATCTTCGCCAGTCCCTCTCCACCCTTAATCTTGCGCTGAAGTCTCTCCAGCGCAGTCCCATACTGACCTAAAGGCCCATCCGGTTTCCCCAGCGCTTCAACGGCCGTATACCAATCCTCGGACTTTGCTTTCCCTTCACCGAGCCGGCATATCAGATTAGTCAGGAGGTCCGAGAGACTCTGCGCTTCCTTTGCGAAACGCGCCTGGTCGCTTGGGGCGCCTTTGATATCGTTCACATAGGACACTAAGGTCGCTGTGGCCTGTAGGATAGCAATGGTGCTTGCAGTGATGCTGAGGGGATCCATGGTTTGGGGTTGTAACGCACAGCTCAGCACAGTGACATAAAGGTCTCGGGCAGCGTCAAGAGGAGTGTGGGCAGCGGATAGACGTCGCTAGGATTCAATACTGGAAATTGTAGCTATTGAATCGGAGGGAAGGTCGCAAGTTCTATCGTGACATTTCGATGTTGGGGCTGAGTCGAGTTGACAGCCTTACTGCACGTGCTAACCTGTCTGCACATCCGCGGAGTGCGTGCTCAAGAAAATGCCAAGGGAAAGGGAGGAATTATGAAGAATTTCCTATCATGTTTCTGCAAACACAAAACATGATTAATAGCATGGTAATAATAGTAGCTATAAACCTTTCCAGCGCTAGAGGATAATGTAGAGAAGGATTGACATCTTTACTAATAAAGTAAAGAATTATATGCATTTTCCCATTTCGAAATAAAATATAACATTTTCCATGGTATTTTTTCCGCAAATATAAATAATAATTAATAGCAAGGCAAAATAATAAATCAAAATAATAATGACCCTAAGCCTCTCTATAATTTTTTTTTAAAAGCTATCTCTTCCCCCTCCTCTAATACAAAGGCAAAAATGGGAAGAAAAATAGACTTCACTTACAAAGTTGAAGAATTACACGTACGTATTTCCCCGAATTATGTGAGCACACCACACACACCAACTTTGCTGAAGAAAAAACCAGGCAAGCAACCACCACACACACTTTACGGAAGAAACCCCCATCACCCAACTAACCTCGGCGCAGCACCACCACCACCCACACCCTCTCCCTCCCTCTCTTCCTCTTACTGGCGTGTGATGTAGTATGCACCAGCTACTAACGCGATGGTGCGCTGTCAACGTGGCGCGGGCGGGTAGGCGGTGCCGCTGGGTCGGGTACCTGCGGTGTGTGTGGGGTTTGTGGGTGTGGGTGTGTGTGGGGATGAGCGGTGAGGTCTACTTGATATTGAATATTCAATACTTGACATGAGAAATGGGACCGGGTCGGGGATGGGGGATATTGGACGGAGATGAGTGATCCGGGAGGAGAGGTTAAGGGATTTGGGGATTTGGGGATATGGAGCACCGGATGGGATGAGACGTCTGAGCGACCTCTGTCTCTCCCTCTCCGAGCCTGTCTAACTGGCGGCTGTCTATGCGATTCAGGCGGATATACAGTACAACGGTGAGGTAAGACGCGCTCCTCCCCACGCAGGACCGTTGAAAAATCGTTAAAACCACCCAAAAAGTGGGACATCCCTACTCCTTCCGGTCGTTATCTCGGCGATTATATTTACAACAGAGACACGGACTCCGAGACTCTCGGAATCGCGACTCGCCGTTGTCTGTCAAAGACGTCACGTGTGGACCGCCGGATCGCCCTGCGCTGGGCTGAGCTGTCGTGCGCTGTCAGAGTCTCGTCGAGGAGCACAGGATCTACGAGAAAGTGTAGGAAGATGCTCGCATGTACGACCTATCGCGATCCTATCAAGATCCTACTCGCGTGCGCAACCTTGGCTATCTATCCTATAGCATCCAGCCTCGGTGCACGTGGATGAACAACCTAGGATACCTCCCTCCCCCCAACCTACCACATACAGTAATCTCGCTGACAGATAGACAGACAAGCCTCCCTACCTACCTCCCCAATCCCCAGCGCTTCCAATCTAACATGCCAACAGCCACACCCAGAACAAGTGTCACACTCTAACTCGCTCCCTACCGGCGTCTGTCACTGCACTGCCATGCATCCCATCCCACAAACTGAACTGCAAGCACTACGAGTAAGCGTCAGTCCGCGCCGATGTCCGTCTTGGCCCCCTGTGTCGTGCCTGGCTATACGTGCGTGGGTGTGTGCGTGAGTGCATTCGGCAGCGCCAGTCGCGACGGTAGATGGAGAATAAGGAAATATCGGGTATGGCCACCTCATCTCACCTCACCCTTCTCCCCTGTAGCGGTCCATCAGTTCGTCTGTTGTGGCCACCCTCTCCTCTGCCGTGGTGGTCCCTCTCCCTCCTACCCCCCTCTCTCTGCCGTGGTGCCTCTCGTCCCCGCTCCACCACTATTTTTCCGGGGAAAGGAAAGCGGAACGGTGAGTGTGGGTGGGTAAGGTAGCACAACCAACCCGTTTCCGGGAGCGAGGCAAAAAAAATAGTGGAATGCGGGATTAGAGAGCAATGCGGGATTAAGAAAACCGAAAAATGAGGGGGATAGGGCAATGAGGGGAGCAAGCAGAGGGTCTCTTCTTCCCTTCCTTTCCGTCCCCTTCCCTTCCGCTCTTCCTAACTCGCAGCCGGCCGGCTTTTGTTAAAACCGGCGATGTCATAATCCCCCCTCCCCGCATCCCAAACGAACCTCGCTCGCTCCAGACCAAGCAACCACGTCATCGCCGCCTTTTCAGCGAGGTTCTAGATGCGCGGCATGGACGGGCGCTATACCGTTTTCCGCGGTGCCGGCTTTGTGGGCGGAGGAGATGGGGAGCTACCGCGGGTGTTCCCTCGCCCCCTTTCGCTGTGTGTCTCGCTGGCTTTTCCGGGGTTTTGGGGGGAGGAGGAGGATGGGATGTGCTGTTGAGTGTTTGTAGAGGGGAGGTAGAGGAGTTGAGGAGGAGGGTACTGTTGTGAGCGTGCATGTACCTGCTATGAGCCAAGACGGTAAGAGGGAGTTTGTTGTATGGGAGGAAGGGGGAAGGGGAGGGGAGAGAGGGGCTATTTTTGGTGGAGTGGGTGTGAGAGTACGGTGAGAGGATACATGCTGCGTGCGTGTAGGACATAGATGGTACAAATGACACTATATGGAGTACTTGTGAGACAGCGAATGCGCGACGGGTAAAGAAGACAGGGAAGAAGTGGGCGAAGAGGGCGAAGAGGGCGAAAAGGGAGCAGAAAGAGTGGAAAATATAGTGAATTAATAACAGGGCGAGCCATATTTTTTGTTGGGCTGGGCCTGTTGTAGTGTGTCTGGGAGTGGTTGCATGTATCTTTTTTATAACAGGTACGAGGGGACTGGCGGCGGGTGGGTGCAGGAGTTGGGTACTACTAAGTGAAAGTTACTTCTAGGAGTGAGAGAGTGTCTGCATGTATCTTTTGTATAATAGGTACTAGTAGATCAGCTGTGGTTGAGTGTAGAAGTTGGGTACTACTAAGTAAAAGTTACTTCTAGGACTGAGTGAGTGAGTGACTGCATGTATCGTTTTGCTAACAGGTACGAGTAGATCACCTGTGGCTGGGTGCAGACTCGGGTACCACTAACCAAAAGTTACTTCTAGCTTCGGGGTCAAGGAACAAAGAAACCTTCTTGGTAGGTCTTCGCCTTCTTCCTCCTTCAGGTCAACTTCGTCACTGATCCAACAACAACCAACTCACCACAAACCATACAATAATTAATACACACGACCAACTATCACGACTACAGCATCATCAACAAACAACTAACAACAACAACCTCACCGTCGACCCCATCATCAACCAGCGACAGCGACCTTCATCGACCATCTGCGACATCAAATACCCGCATTGGCCCCATACACGAGACACCGCTTACTGACCTACAGTACTGCCCTACCAAAAACACCGAAAACACTAAAAACACACTACTGGACCTTCGGTACATATACTAGGAGAAGACCATCTGGCAGCTGCTACGTCAACCCTTTCCACGCGCAACACCAAGACGAACAATACCCACAGAACCTGGAAGAACGCACAATACCAATCATCACGAAACACTTGCCAACTACTGCCGGCTTCAATCCACGAAAACCGAATCCATAGACCACAAGTTGTCTCCCCCTCGTGTCGTTCGTTTCAGCCTGGAAGAACCCACGCAAAAGCCGCTCCCGTTATCGATAACAAAAAGTTGATCAACTTTGCTCCCCAGATGGACGGCGAGCATTGGGGATCATCACCCGCGGAGACCCAGAAGAGGCGTGAGTTGTTATAATAGGAGAGGAGGTAATCGACACCACACACACCGGCCCGTTGGGCATTGTAATTGCCACCGTCGCCGGGTGTTGAGACCCGAAGACGGCACGACGTCGAACACACAACACACACACACACACCACCACGCTGGCTGAGCCGAGTGAGGAGGACAGAATGGAGGACAAGCCGCTGAGGAATCCGAGCCAGGCGCCGGAGATGACACAGGCTACCCCGTCGAGTATGGCTTCGAAATCAGCCAATCCCTCGACGACATCACCCACACAGACCCGGAAATCCTCGCACTCACCTGCACCGGGCACGAAGAAACTCATCAACTCACAACCACCATCGAATACAGCTTCACCGAAACCCTCTCGCGAACCGTCACCAGCGAGGCCGACGGTGAGGTCCGCCACCGTCAGGACAGGAAATGGCCGGAGGAAGAGCAGCCAGGAACCGAGCCCGTCACGGTCGGCTAGTGCTATGGCTGCGAATATTCCATCGAGTGCGGCGGTGCAGAGAGCTCTATCAACGGCGAATACACCACTTCTGAAGCCCTCGATATCAGACACCGCCATCGTAGCACCGCAACCACAGAAAATCACCGTCCCGACAGAATTCAAAGACGCCCCGAGATGGCCGATATCACCACGATTGAAGTCGCCGCCACCAATCAACAGACCAACCGGCATGGCGAGGAAGACAGACCAAGAGCTGCCACCGATCAGCACGCTGCAGTTCCAGACGTCGAATGAGAGCGCGCAGTCGGGGTATACCGACACGGATTACGATGAGTCGTTAGCTATGTCTGGCATCCGCAGTCCGGGTCGCGGAGTCAGCACGAGCGCTACAACATTGGAGACTGTGCCGGAGAGCAGCCAGCCCGGCAGCCCTGGGATTGGGATAGGTCTGGATCGCTCACAGGAATGGAAGCAAGGAGGCTTGCCAGAAGAGCAGATCGCGATTGATCAAGCGTTTACCAAGAATATGAAGTCGTCACCCGCGGCTGCAACGACGGATAGCGGCAGCGAGAGCGGCGAGAAGAAGGGCGAGATCAAGCTGAGGCACACAACAGGCGCGAACACCACACCCCGACCTCATGCTGCGCAGTTGGCGAAACAGGCTAGTTCCAGCGCTCTGGGAGGTAAAAAGGCAGCAGAAGCCTCTGCAACGAATAACATGACGGTAGAGACCGAGACGGTCAGCTCGATTCCCCAGGTCGCCGTCGGTGGCGGGACAGGCACTGTCAACGGCAGTCTACGCACCAAACCCAGCTCCGAGACCATCCGCCCCAAGAGGGAGAAGCGAAAGACGGCGCGCAAACCCCACTCCGTCCAGAGCGGCGTTGGTGAGACTCCCGATTCCTCAAGTCATCACCGGTCCCCCAAGCCGCCGCGCTTACACCACCACCCTTCTCTCCGTTCCATTTCCACGACAGCAAGTGCGAAATCATCTCCTAGTGAAAGTTCACGCCCGGCCACAGCGCTCGGCCACTTCTCCTCTCCCTCCAGTCCCCCACTAACTACCGGACTCTCCGAATTCCGCATCCCCAGCCTCCAAGCCATAGGCAGAAGACTAACGAACCCGCGCGCAGCATCCTCGAAAGCAGATATCTTTGAAGCCAAAATCGCCTCCGCTGTCGACGAAGCAAACTCCTCCGACTCTGACGAAACATTCGTCTACGAATCAAACCCCCCCGACCACGAGCGCCCGCGACGCTTCCACTCCCGCACTCCAAGCACTACATCCATGGCCTCGCAATCGCAAGCCGAGCTCCGTCCCGGCCCGCCTAGCCGCCTCGCAAACACCTTAGATGGCTCGAATGGCCACAGCGTCGCTATGAAGAAGAGTATGAAATTCGCTTCCTCCTTCGCTCCTCCGCCTACCTCTGATGCAGCTACCGACGACGACGCGTCGCAGCGCGCTCTGGGGACGGGGAGGGGAACGATAAGACATCATCATATTGGACGCTGGGGGAGGAATAATAACACCAACTCCCACGCCTCACTCTTTGATGCTGAATCCCCCTTTCCTCACGCTACTAAGCCGTCGAAATTCGGCAACTCGGCGTCAATGCGCCAATCCTCCCGCCCTACCAGCCCGCGCGTTGGCGCTAACGGGAGGGGTGTCAATGGGAACGGCACAGTCCGCAAGGGTGGATTCGCACATACGTATGATATCGACGATGGTGCGGGCGCAGATGACGAACGAACGCCGCTTGTGGGATCGGGGACAAGGTCGACGCGCTCGCGACACCGTAGGAATCCACCACCCTCGCAACGGCAGCGCAATTCCCGGTCGCCGTTTGGGGCATGTCTCATCCTAGGGGTGATGTTCGTCCTTGTCGTATCGGGCGCGCTGGCCTTGCTGCTGGGTACCACGCAACCTCTCGGCGGGGTGAGGATCGCGGCGCTGAGGGATGTGTTGGCGAGTAAAACGGAGCTGTTGCTTGACGTCGACGTCGTGGCGAGGAATCCGAATGTCTTCGCCATCGGCGTGGATAAACTCGACGTCAGCGTCTACGCAAAGAGTCGGTACGCAGGCGATGAAGCCCTCTACGCGCGAGCTGCCGGCGACGGCGCCGCGCTGAGGTACGGAGTTCGTGGCACTACTGGGGAAGGCGGGGAGGTGGTCCGTACCCGCGACGACTCGCCGTGGGATCCCTACCCACCCCCTCCATCCGATACACCCCTCCTCCTCCTCGGCCGCCTCACAAGCACAGACACCGCGCTCTCCTTCCCCGCCTCTCCATTCCGGCACTCGGCGTCCCTATCTACTGCTGCGCTCCGTCTACCTGATCCGGGGAACTCGACGGAGGGGAGGGCGAAGTGGGACCACATCCTTAAGGGGGGGCATAGCTGGGAACTTATCCTCCAGGGCGTGGTGGAGTATAGGATTGGTTGGTTCGGGGGGTGGGGCGCGGGGAGGAAGAAGATCGTTCCTATTGGGGGGGGTGTGGAAGTTGGGGGAGGTGGAGAAGACGGCGTGGTGTTCTTGCGTTGAGGGGGAGGCGCGCTGATGTGGATGGCGCTGGTGCGCTTCACATATATACTTACTTACTACTACTACTACTACTACTCTTTTCTTTTGTTTCTCGACCAACGACGACGAAAAACGACTTTGATGACGGGGGACGGACGGACAACCGAACCCTTTGGGCATTTTTTTTTAGATTGGGAGCGGAGCGGAGCGGAGCGGGTGGGGACTCTGTTTTTTTGATTGATGGGATTTAGTGTCTGTGTTTTTAGTTGGTGATGGGGGTTTGGAGCCTTTTGTTTCGATGACGGAGTGATTGGGGGGTGATGATGGCTATGGGGGATGATATTATTAAACTACTTTTTTTTTTCTTGCGTCATGGTGTGGTGTAGTAGTGTGGTTGAGGAGAGGAGAGCAGAGCGATACTGCGAGTTGTAGTGGGTGGTGTTGAGCTGAGAGGTGAGAGGTGAGGGTATAAAAAGGGAGTGTATGGTGGATGGTGGATGGTGAGGAAGTTGAAGGGAGAAAAGTAAAGGGGTAATCGGCGGTAGTGAAAGAGCGGTGAGGAAAAGGGGATATGTTTGAGAACCATCAATACTACTGTACCTACCTACAGTTATTGTCATACAGATGGAATGGATGTAATATTCCTGGGACGCTTGAAGTTGACCACCCTTTGATGAGGTGTTGACGTTGCCCGTGCTTTTCACGAGATGTTGGTTGCCCATGTATCCGTTGAGCTTGTGCGTGCTGTCTGACGTGCTCCGAAAAAAGGGGTAGGGGGATGGGGGTGTGTTTGAGAAGTGCGATTAATACCACCGTAGTACAGGTGCTTGTAACAGAGATGGAATGGATGGGGTTGTAAATATTCATGGGATTCTTGAACTTGACCTTTAAGAGAGGGGTAAGGGGATGTTGATGCTGCCCGTGTGTTGAGCTTGTGGGGGGGTGTGCCTAGAAAAAAGGGGCAGGATGGGATATGTTTGAGAACCATCAGTTACCTACCTACCTACCTACCTATAGCTACGGGTGCTTGTAATTCGCCATGGAAATGGGATTGTAAATATTCGTGGGATTAGTTCTTGATTCTTGACTCTTTGAGGGGATGTTGGCTGGTACCCCGTGTCGTGTGGTGAGTTTGTGCGTGCGGGTGTTGCTCGGAAAAAAGGGGTAGGAGGTGGGATATATTTGAGAACCACTGCAGTCACCTACCTACCTACCTACAGTTAATCATGGCTGGAAGCAAAGCGTTCGCGATGTTTTATATAGTAAATTGACTTAAATCGTAACTTTTTAATTTTCTATACCTTTAATATATGTCTCTTTTATATCCTTTTCGGAAATTAACAACTTTACAGCCTTATAAAATTTAAATGCTTCTAGCATAAGCAGTATCATATATATACATATCATCCCATTGAATTTATAAACGACAATAGAACATTTAAGGTAGTTCGTATATGTTTTTATTAGAAATATTATACTTATGTTTCTACGTTTTTATTACATTAAGTCACGTTACATCCATACCATTTACTATATAAAGGTACTTATAATATCTAGTAGTCACGAACGCACATTGATTCCACATCTTCTCGCGAACACACTTTGCTTCCACCCACGACTACTTCTAATAGGGATAATGGAGTGGATGTCAATATTCATGGGAAACTTTGGCCCTTTGCCCTTCACCATTTGCCCTTTGCTTTGACGAGATGTTGCCCGTGAGGAGCTTGAGCGGGTGTGCTCGGATGCCTTGTGGAGTTTGGTGGGGACGGGTATGTCTTTATGAGCGGACCGAGGGATGGTGGAACTCGGTGGGCTCGGTGAAAGGTAGTGCGGGGATTGACAACCGACGAACCCTATCCACTGAAAATCTTGGTCCTAAATAGCGATCGTTTTAGCTAGGTCAGTTAGTGTGCTATGGAGTACGTAACGCAGCTACTAGTTGGGTGAGAGTTAACCTATAGGTTGATGATCATCAGTTGTGGCTTTTGCGATTTATTGGTTTGATTCGAGGGCCAAGTACACCAAGCCAAGGAGTTTGGGAAGTGTGGTACATCCTAATCATAGGATACCACACATCAATTGCTTGGACGTTTTATATAAAATATCTATCGTACAGAACACACGACAGTAGTAACATTTTCTCGGTAGCCAAGCGACGCCTCTGTAAAAAGTGGCATCTCAATCATATAATCCGACCCATCAATTCCTCTACCATCTAATATAACCCCCCCTACCGCACACCACTCACCACCGTCGTAACATTATTCGTTTCCCACCTCTCCCCCACCCCCGCGCCGGCTCCCCTCGCACCCCTATCCACACTCTCGGACTGCACCGTAAACGTCACATCCCTCTGAATCTCCATCGGCCCCTCCCCAATCCCCTCACTCGAATCACTATCATTAATCCTCTCCTGGCTCTCGGCCCCCCTCCCCCTCGAGAACTCCTTCATATCGAAATCCTTCGAGTTAATCCTCGCCCTGCTCCCCGAGTGCGCCCACGGCCTCGTCGCTCCGCTCGTGTTCCCAGTCGCCTTCGCGTGCGAGCCCGAGAGATTGAGGTTCGGGAAAACCTCACGGAACAGAGGCCAGACGGCGGGCAGGTTGGTGACGTACATGGCCACGGAGGCTTCGCGGAAGTACCAGTTCATGTAGACGTAGGAGATCAGGGCGGGCACGAGACAGTAGACTTTGGTCAGGATGGCGGCGATGATGACGAAGAAGCCCATGCCGAAGATGAGGAGGAGGATGGCTTTTTGTTGGATGGGCAGGCGCACTTGCACGAGGATCGGGATGCCGATCGCGAGGATGGCCATGTCGCCGGGGATGCTGAGGGAGCCTTGGATTATTTCGAAGTATTGGTAGTTGGAGCATTGTGCTGGGAGGGGTGTTAGGAGTGGGCTGGTAAGAAGAAGGGGTGGGATGGAGGAGGGGGGTACGAACGGTTTGCAGCTGGGACAGCCCAGTATTGTTGGATTGGTCGACAGATGAGGAAAAGTGCGAGTTCGCTGCCGACGAAGCTCAGTGCCGTGTAGATTGATACGTATTTCACCCACTTCCTTTGCGCGAGTCCCTCGCTGTTTCCAAATCAGTGCTGCTCGAAGGAGGGGATCCTGTGGAGGTACTTACGTGATACCGGCATACAGAACGAGTACACATATTTTTGTGCTCCAAATGGCGAGAATCATAGAGTGTTCAGAGACATAGACCCATTTGCTCCCTGCGACCCTGCTTGCCCTGTGCTCTGGTGTCAACGCAGCAATCTCGTCTGGCTCCATCAGATTCGACCCGTCGCCAAATTTGATCTGGTTGAAGGCCACGCATAAGATCGTATACCAAACGACTCCATTAGCCATCGCATAGTCGTCTAGTTTGAGGTTTCTGATACCGAAACGACGGATTCTAGCGGTGCTGCGCGAGGTTAGAGTTTTGCACTGCGCGACAAACCCAACGAGTGATAAAAACCGCCCCCAACACCCGTTGAACAGCCATTTAACTTACTATCGTAGAGCAACAACCAGCATCGCTACGCCATACAGCGTCCATGTCTCCATGGCAAAGTTTTTCGCATCTGCTTGAGGCATGGCTGCGTTTTTCGGCCAACCAAATCGGCTGGGGGACGATTTATGGTTATTTTCTGCAGAGTCGACCTATCGAAATTGTGATCGGAAAATAGACTCCATCAAATGTTGGAAGAGCCAAAAGAAAGTTTTGTTGGATTCCAGAAACCCGGAAATACCGTCCCTGTATATTTTTTCGAGTGTCAACGTGTTGGACGACGAGGTGCGGCGACTGGTCGTAAAAGTCGTCTTGTCCTGTACGGCTTGTCCTGTACGGCGCAATTTCTAACAACACGACCCTGGAATACAGGGGGTAGGCATAGGACCCTATGTATGAAATATCTGGAGGAGAGCGATTTCTCATCAGCGCCCCTGCACGCTCCCTGCGCTGAAGAACTTGGTTGTGCTGGGCTCGGAAGATCATAGGTGACCATTCTCACGGTCCTCGTCGCCCGTCCAATCCAAAGTCTCACTAGTTATCATATCATCCGCTAGTCTATGCATACTACCCTACTAGTATAGGGGGGGAACAGCCCTGGAAATGGGTATACCCTATACCCTGAGGGTCGGCGATTGGCATCTTGCGCTAAAAATCGGCGAGGAGGGCCCAATACGGCGCGGATCTTGGCATTCTCACTTACGGAGTATAGTGGACGTGCAGAACAGTACATGGGCGATAAGTAAACAATGCTACTGGCTGCGCCTTTGGTGGTAAAGGTGAGGATCAATGGATCAATGCAGACAGCGAGATCAATGCGCGCGGGTCGCCGGATCTTGTAACGAATCTGCCCCGAACGGTTTCTTGCCCCGGACGGACATTTGTGCTATGACATCTCGCTCCTGCCATTTCTCGCACCCCTTCCTTCGCTTACAGGCCTTCGAGTTGGAGGGGGGGTCAATGGGTCAGCCAATACTTGGCCTGAAGTGCTACATTGGAGACGTTCTAGTTCGTGTTTGCCCATGTGTTGTGGTGTTACTCTATCGTAATGGAGTTGCCATGTGCTGATGGGGTGTGGAGTAACGTAACCTACTGTACCATCCATGCATGGAAAACCAAATTACTCCAACGCCGACACCCCTCTCGTTCTCGATCTCCAATTCCTCTTCTTCTTCTTCATAACACCAACGTCGCTCTTTCTCTGTTTACTCGGATTGGCGTCGATACTGCATATACTATAACAGCCACTATTGATCTGATTGACTCTGGTCGCCGATGTCACTAAGCGAGAAGCAGCAGGATACGAAGGGGGAAGCCGTCTTTGAGACTGAGGGCTCCTCCCCGCCCCTTGAGCAGCCAAATGCCTCTCTTGAACAGCCAAATGCCGGGCTCATCAATGCCTCTGGCCATGTCCAGGAGCTCCAGCGACACTTTTCGCTGCTGAGTCTCTGCTCTGTCGCTATCACGACGGGAAATACTTGGGTAGCAATTGGCGGTGGTATTGTAAGTTGTTTTTGGAGGTTCTGAGGAAGCAATTCAAATCTGACCCGTGCCGCAGGTCATTGCGATTTATAATGGAGGGCCTCCGGGCGTTATTTACGAATTGTAAGACATCCGAGGCCTCATCAATATGTCGATCCGAGCGAGCTAACCAAGCCACAGAATTACCGTGTCTGTCTTTTACTGGCTTATTGCGCTATCAATTGCAGAGCTGGCTTCTGCTATGCCATCTTCCAGTGGAGGTACATATCTCCCAAGACGGCACGAATGTACTTCGCTAACGGGACGCTTTTAGTTTATCACTGGGCATCCATCACTGCTGGAAAGTATGGACGTCCTTGTGGCTACTTCGCCGGGTGGTGGAACTTCCTAGCATGGGTCTTTGGAGCCGCCTCTATCTCCTCCATCTTGGCTAACCAGACGGTTTCTATGTACGCTCTCTTTCACCCAGAGTTCGTCGCAAAGTCATGGCACGTCTTCATCAGCTACCTCATCTGCACATGGCTGTGCTGTCTCACTGTCATGTTTGGGAACAAGGCTCTGCCAATGGTGGGCAACCTGGGAGGCTTCCTCATCATCGCCGGCGTCCTCATTTGTATCATCGTGTGCGTCGTGATGCCAAAGGTTAACGGACTGCCTTACGCATCTGATGACTTTGTGTGGAGGGAGTGGCAAAACCTTACTGGCTACAAGGAGAATGGATTCGTCTTCGTGGCTGGTATGCTCAACGGTGCTTTCGCCGTTGGTTCGCCAGATTGCGTTACCCATCTCGCCGAGGAGATTCCCAAGTAAGTCGCTGCACGTGGATCTGATACTGGAATATGTAACTAATGCTACACAGCCCGAGTCGCAATATCCCCAAGGCTATGTTCGCCCAATACTCCATCGGGTTCATCACGGCGTTGTTCTACATCATTGCCCTCTTCTACTCCATCCAGGACCTCGACGCAATCTTTGAGGCAACCTCGACCTTCCCGCTGGCCTACATCTACCGTCAAGCCACAGGAAGCAACCCCGGAGCTGTTGGTCTTCTTGTCGTGACCTTCCTGCCCACCTTCATCACCTGTATCGGTTGCTACATCACTGCCGGACGAACTTTCTGGACGCTCTCCCGCGACAACGCAACCCCTTACAGCAAGGTTTTCGCAAAGGTACACCCCACCTTCCAGAACCCTTTCAACGCAACTCTCATGTGCGGTGTCATCAACACCATTATGGGCTGCATCTACGTCGGATCTGAGGCCGCCTTCAACGCCTTCGTCGGGGCATACATCATTCTATCAACCCTCTCATTCCTTTGTGCTATCTTGCCGCATCTACTCAGTGGCCGCAGCATCGTTAAACCCGGCTGGTTCTGGATGAAGGGGCCCATTGGGTTTGTTGTCAACGGCATCGCTTGCCTGTACATTATCGCATTCATTGTCATCTTCTGCATCCCCTATGGCGCGCCATTCAGCATCGATGTCATGAACTGGTCGTCGCTTATCACGGGCGGATTGTCGGTGTTTATCGCCGGCTTCTGGTTCTGGCGTCAAAGCGAGTACATCGGCCCGCAGGCTGTGGCGTTGGATGACAAGGTGCTTGCGAAGGATGCAGCATAAGGGGGAGGGAGGATACGAGGTGTTTTGGTATTGGTGTATGAGCGATAGCGAATTGGGTGCAAGACTAGATAGACTAAATTAGACTGTATATATGCATAGCGCATGAACTTATTTGTAAAAGTTACACCACGTAGGGTGGTATTTAGCCATTTAATACAATAATATGCAGCGGGCTACGTGTAAGATAGACAACATTGGCGTGAGATACTTATGAAATAGAACACCGATAGTGCACTAATTAAACCGAATGGAACTATGCTTCAAGATTTAAGAAACGATAAGCGTCCTAGTAGGAATGCAAATAGATGTCTCCTAGCTACTTTTAACTTTTCGGCACCACTTCCACAGCGGTGGCGGCTTGTTGTTGTTGAAACATATTCCTCACCACGCACTATGGAACAAGCCATCTCGTAAGATCAACATGTAACGCCAAGTGCACAGAGTATGGCCGACTGCGGAGTTATCCTCGCCTATAGTCAACAATACTGACATCTGACAGGTCTAGACTCCGCCGCGGCCCGGATGTTTTGGCCCGTGAGCCAATATTCAGCTTAGATGGACCTTATCAATACATTGGCAGGTTGCCGAATGCGGAGGAGAAGCAGGGTCGTTGGTGGTCGTCGATCCAGAGTCTTTGGAAGATGCCGTGCTTCAACGGTGGAACTTGGATGCGTCGCAGGGTGCTTGCGTATGTGATCGATCGATCGGTATGTGGCAGGATGATTTAGGAAAAAATCGGCAGATTTAAAATTTGAACGTAGAAACGGTTCATGGAACTCTCCGAGACGCCCCACTGTACAGCCTACCATTCTAACATTCAGCTGCCTAAACTAGCCCGACTCCGCGCTATTTAAGACCCCTGCCCGCCTATAGTCAACCTCAACCAAGGTCCCCCCTACAACTTCAACCAAGGTTTCCCCTACAACTTAGGCTAGCTCACGTATAACTCAATTTAAAGCAGAAGCACCTCGGGGTCCAAAGACGGAAGTGGAAGTCGAAATGAAGCATTCCCCGAAGTTCCAGTATCAAATTGACTCAAATGAAACGTGCGAAACGCACCCTAAATACGCAACCTAAATACTTTTGAGGTGCGTTTCGTGTGAGTGAGAGCGCCCGCGCCCGGTTCGTGGAGCGGTTCGTGCTTGGGGGGTCTTCGGTGTTTTCGGCGAGGATCCGAGACGTGCGTAAGCAGAAGATGACGGTTCGGCAATGCGAACGGTAACTAATACAGCGCCGGATAGGACCCGTGAAGGATAGCCGCCATGGGCCTTAGGAATCCCGTGAAATTGTTAGGCAGGGCTGATCAGTGAAGTCCTGGACAGTTTGATGTTCCCGATGCCAGCGGTTGATAATCCGGCGTCTCAACGCCCCTAACTAGTTAGCTTGCCGCAGGGCGGTGGTTTAATGGCTCCATCGCCGTCGTGGCAGTGTAATCTTTCTCTTAAGACATTAATGCAATTAGGGTCTATCACCGTCCCCTATTATGTTAGCATGATAAAGAAGCATTGGTGAGGGAGGATACGAGGGTAGACAAAGGGGGGTGCGGGGGTAGATAAGGATACGGTGACTGAGCACGCTGGATGAGTATTTTTCCTTCCCCCCTTTCTAAAAACCAAAAGCGCACGAGAAGAAGAGTCAGCACTGACACATTGTAGTGGGGGTGGCAGCTTTAGAGTGGGGTGCTTTCGTTGTGTTTGGTGTATTTCTACTAGGGTGGGAAATTGATTTGATCAGATAAGATGATTTGATTTGATCAGATTAGATTATCCCTGCATGAGAACCCCCGCCTTGGACCTTTTAAAGGAATCACAATCAGCCATCCTCCGAAATTTTGCCTACTGCCCCCATATAGTAAAGAAAATGCTGAAGAGACAGAGGCATCGCCGCCAGTTCCGTGGAGAATAGCTAATCCTTCCGTCTTGGCTATGGCGCCGCAATCAGACCGCTCGGTGAAGGGAAGCATTCTCCCTCCTTCACCGAGCGATCTCGGAGCGCATACTTTGAGTCTTTCACATTCTTATTAAGCTCGTGGTCGGTGTCTTCCTTGGGCTTACGTCTACCACCATGTTTGCCATCATGGGCAATCCCAATCCCCTTCTTCTCGAGGCCGACACGGAGAAGAACCTCGACAGGAGCCTCGACAAGAATCCTGAGAAGAGCCTTGACAAAAGCGACAACGCCGACCAGCACGCTATCGAGACCTTTGCCGCTTGGGGAGCCAACAGAAACAATGAAGAGCATGGCTATGACTCCGACGGCAAGTCATGGCACGATGGTGTTTTGCGCATCCGCGCTATCACTACCATGTGGTCTAAGAAGTCCATGTGGTCCATGTTTGCCCTGTAAGACAGACTGCTTTGCCAACTTTGCCTCCTCCTGTGATGAACTCCCACTAATATCTTCTTTGTATGTAGGCTCTGGCTGATCTCATTTGTCGACATTATCCAGAATGCCCTCGATTATTCTCTCAACCCCTATATTACCTCTTCTTTCGCTTCCCACGGCCTCATGAATGTCAGCAGCGTCATGTCCTCTGCAGTAGGCGCATGCACCCCTTTGGCCCTGGCTAAGATTATTGACATCTGGGGTCGTGTCGAGGGCTTCACCTTCATGCTCATCATATGCGTCATTGGTATGATTCTCAAGGCCACCACCCACAGCGTGCAACAGTACGTCGGAGCCCACGTCCTCTACTGGACTGGTCACATTGGCATGATGTATGTCATCAACGTGATGGTTTCCGACATGACCACTCTCAGAAATCGCGCCATACTATTCGCTGTCAATGGCCTCCCTCGCGTCGCTAGTACGTTCTTAGGTCCCAGGATCGGCCAGGCGTTCTATGATAACCTCAACTACCGATGGGCGTTTGGAGCCTTCTCCATTATCCTCGTCGGCTGCAGCATTCCGGCCATGGGTCTCATGGTTTTCATGTATCGTAAGGCGGACAGGGCAGGCCTTGTTAAGAAGCACGAGTCCTCTGGGAGGAAATGGTACCAGTCGATTCTGCATTATGCCATTGAGATTGATGTCCTCGGCATCCTTCTGATATGTGGTGCCGTAATCTTGACAACCATTCCCTTCTCTCTAATTTACTACGCCCCACAGGGCTGGAAGACCCCCTATATCATTGCCATGCTGGTGCTTGGTGTCCTCCTATACCCAGCCTTCTGGTTATACGAGGTGACGCTGGCGCCCAAGCAGTTCCTAGACTTTAGGTACCTAAAGAACGGCACCATTCTCGGCTCTTGCTTCCTATACGGCGTCATGTTCCTATCCACCTTCACCTGGAACGCCTATCTGTATTCATTCATCCAGGTTGTTTACCTTTTGGACATTAGCACCGCCAACTACGTCGTCAACTCCTACTCCCTCACCTCCACTGTCTTGTCCCCCATCGTCGCTTTCATCATCAGCTATACCGGAAACTTCAAGTGGGTCGCCTACTCGGGCGTTCCCATCATGTTGCTTGGTACCGCTCTCATCCTCCCCTTCCGCACTGCCGAAAACGTAGGCCTCGTGGCTTTAACGCAGGTGGTCGTCGGTCTCGGCGCTGGCATCTTCGCCACCTGTAGCAGCATCGCCATTATGGTTCCCGTCACCCATGAGGAGTTCGCTGCCGTCAATGCCCTCTCCAGCCTCTTCGGCGGCTTCGGTGCCTCCATCGGCTCCGCCATTGCCGGCGCCATCTGGAACAACGTCGCGCCCGGCGAGCTTCTCAGGCGGTTGCCGACCGGGAGTAAGGACCAGGCTGCCAAAATCTTTGGTGATATCAATGTTCAAATCGCCTTACCAATTGGGTCCCTGGAGCGCGAGGCCATTGTTGGCACCTACAGGCATGTCATGAAGTTGATGACCATCACCGGCGTGTGCCTCATGCCCCTATGCGCTATTTCCATCTTCTTCTGGAAGAACGTCAACATCAGGAAACTGGAGGAGGAGAAGGGCAAGCAGACTAAGGGTACCGTCCTGTGAGCTTGGCCGTGCCTAAATTATTGGACGATGCTGGGGGGCAAGGAAATCATACCTATACTTGGAGACGAGGATATCATATATGACTCTAAAGGTATCCAACGGACAATAGATGAGGCCTTAGGGGCCCTGGATAATACCATGGGAATAAAAGCCTTGACAAACCATCATATGCGTTAGAATAACCATCTAGCGCCACCGCGTACTATAGCTGAGCGACGTCGATTTTCGGGCAGGGTGTATCCGTACCCACATATCTCTGCCACTCTGATACGGAAAGCGCCATGGTTTCGTTCCTTCCACCCATGGTTACCATTCCGATGCGGAAAGAGCGATGGTTTCGTTCCTTCCGTCTATAGTTCTCAGATGCGCGCACATTTGGGTAGGCGCGACCCACGTCTTAGATCTTGCCTGATACGGAAAAGCCAGCAGACAAGTTCTAATTTGACGTAATAAAATAAATATACTAAAATATAGGGGTAAGTCCTAGAGCAATACGATGATATCGAATTTACAAACATGTTTCTATGCTATTCAGGTGTCAGAAGGTTCCACGGCAAATATTAACAACCAAAACCATACTCCGCGAGGCTGCAATTAATGTAAGCTCCGATTGTCGCAATGGAATGTTTATAACCCAATGTGCGAATCCATTTGCAGATAGATCTTCCAATTAGTGCTGACCTGCACTTACGCTCTTCGTATAGACGTACGTACATTCCCCACAGCCCATCTTCCTTCCCCGCGTTATACTCTATCATTAGCGGGTGGTACGGGCCGAACGCTGCGAGTTTTAGTGAAACAATTTACCCGTACGAACCAAAACAAAAGCCTAGCAGCTGCATACAAAATCCTCCATTTTAGATTAAGGTATTATGCAAAAGGCTTATCTAAGTTGTGGCAGTTTAGTTTATCCATCTACAGATGTTTTGTTTACTCCGGTTTTCCGCCGTCCTTCTTAGAATTTGGATTGTAAAATAAAAAAGAATGGCTACAACTCCATGACATGAAGCAAAAACATATCATTTGCAGCAGTTGTGGGATTGCTTTACACCATGAGTTACAACCTCCTTGCGAATGAGACATCCGATAAGGACTCGGAAAATGACCCCGCCGACCGCACTCCTTTGATACGTCGTTTAAACCACTATAAGATCTTGTTTTTTCTAATGCTCTTCGTCTGGGTGGGAAGTTTCAGCACCTGGGCATGGTTACAATATACTAAACAAGCAGACCAAGAACCTAAAGGATCTCCCTTCCTCCTTGGTAAGTAAGCTGCTCTAACTTTAGTTGGGTTTATCTGACGCTGACTTCGAAGTACCCCGGAGAGGTGTAACTTTCCAGCCAGATCCGAGCTTCCATTTTACAAACACCGATCAAGGGAATTCATCTTGGCAGTCTTTATTTCCAAGTCCGTTTACCACCTACTTTTGCCCTTTATATATGGCTAATTCATGCACCAGCTGGTAGCGGCATGGTTACAATAACGGAGCCCGAAAGATTCAATTTGCCGCCAAGTTACCCCGATCATCATAAAAACTCCACCTCCACGAAGGCCGAAGTGTATTCCATGTCTATGTATCATCAACTACATTGTCTCGTAAGCTCTGCTAGTTTTACACTGCTACGAAGTATCTGACTTTATTCTACAGGCATCGATTAGGTTGCACTTCGGCTCGATGACCGGAAAATTTAACGCAGAAACCGACAAACCAATAACCAGGAGGCGCGTTTTTCGTCCTGAATCGCATCTCGACCATTGTTTTGACTATTTGCGACAGGTATGGTATTCGAACCTTACCGTAACTGATTCGGTAGCTAACTCTCTGGAACAAAAGGCAATTATGTGTGCTGGGGATATGGCACTCGAGTCATCAGTGGTGCCTAATGAGTTTGGATTCAATGGCTGGGGAACGTTACATCAATGCGCGGATTGGCGTGTAATGTGGGATACTGCAACTGCCAATAGATATATGTACGATCCAGATGAAGAAATGTGAATAACTGCATATTGGTTCAGCCGCTACTGCTGCTGCTGACAATGGTCCCTTGACTGCCGTGGTAAACTGACGGAACAAGTCCAAGGCTATAACCCGTAAGTACGTACTATTAAAGGACATTCACATATCCTTACTATTCGCTAATTCTCTCATTGATCTTTTGTGTGAATCAGATTCAGCCTACGAATTCGGACACGCGGAACCCCCTAATCACCTCCGTGCTCCTGTACCCCGCCAGTTCCATACCCCACAAACCATACTTGCTACGGAATACTTATCCGTCAGAGTATTTATAGCGGAGAATGTCTCAGTTCATGCAATTTTACTAGCGGAAGCTGCATCCGCCAAAGGATTGGGGATGAAGAAGGATTCAATATACGTAAAATGTATCCAGATGGTCACCTACTTGGCTTTTGACACCCCTCGTAAATGATATTCTTATGCATAAAAGTCAGCACTAGTATGGATAAAACTGTAAATATTTAGCCTGATGGTATTTCTGCAAGTAGGTTAGGTCATAACCTTGCCATGACCTTGTGCATGCATACACTGCGGCAAAGCTAAAACATACCTACGATAAGGCTCCCCTCTTACTAGATATCCACAGCTGTAAATCAAACCTCTCATACTACTAAATATCAAAGACTCAAAGCAATGGTGTCCGTCAGCAAAGCAATACCGTATTTGGTACGGCTAAATACGACTGATTCAGGCTACAGGACATTTACGAACTCATGGTTAGCTCTTACGGATAGTACAGGCGATATCGGCACTGGACTATAGAGTATAAATATCACCTTAATCTTCTCTGTTTAAGAATTACAACGCAACCAACAAACAACACTTTATACACCAGCTCAACCTAAACCCTTCAGTTCAGTTCTATAACTCAGACAACATGCAGATCACTTCCGTTTTCATCACCCTCGTGAGCCTTATGGCTGTTACAAACGCTGCTCCCGATGCACTTGTCAGGAAGGCTCTTGATTCTGCTGTGATGCAATATCCTGGGGATCTCAGCATGGACTTGATCAAACGCTCCCAAGCTGCGGCTCGATGCAACGTTGCCTGCCCTTGCAACTGGTGCGGCATGACCATTTGCTGCCAATGCAACTGCTAGAGGTCAGTATACTGTTGGACGACGCCATAAGAGCACCGTGTTAACTATTGAAGTGCAGACAAAACCTTGAAATGAGGAAGCTAGATTTATGCTGTTGAATTTCAGATTGATGGTGGTGTGCCAACTGTTTAAGGCCATACTTGCCGAGAAGTTGTAGTACAGCTCATAACTCTCATTATAATGCAATTCTAGATAAAGTTAAAGACAAATCAAAGCTTATTTCGAGACTAAAGATAGTGACAACAATCTCAGACGTGGGTGTTTGTGATATAAATATACCTGGCCCGCTGAGCACAACGTCAATTTATTGCCGTTGGTCCTTTGATATATACGACGAGTGCAATAAGCGTCATTATACTAGTTTTCTCACGTGTGCCTTGTCAGCATTAAGACACCATATCATCTCCTCTATTAGGACATCTTCCGAGCTTAGAATACTACCTTTGCCGATGTGGCAGAGGTTATAACAGGATCTCGTCAACGCAAACAATATTTATTTAATTACCATTTTACAGATGTGCGAGGTTATTTGAGGGGAAATATGAATATTATAATTCTCCTATTGATAGGTGTGACAAGAACAGCCCCGAAAATTAGATACTGTGTATCTACAAGGCTACAATGAGCTAACATATTTGACACTCTTTGCTTTTGTCCCTAGATCAAAGCACAAGCTGGCTTCGTTGTCGCCGACCTCTGTAACCGCTGAGATTTCATCTTGACAGCTCGAATCGCTGTAAAATTTCACCTGGGCGTCCCAGAAGTTCGAGCCAAAGATTTGAGCAGATGTCATAGCTTCCGGTGCTGCAACACAAACTCCAGTGGTAACAGGACCAGTCATTATGGTGCCGCCCGCACACTCAAAGTCGGTATATCCAAAGAATTGGCGTGTATCGCGCTGTTCGACATGTGGCCCAGGATAAGCAAGTACGGCCGCAGCCAACACCGCGAGCTTTAAGATCTATACAGCTGTTAGAAATAAATCAGACTCTATATTACAACGGAAGAAATCGTACTGTAGATTGCATATTTGGCTGATAAAAATTTGTATAATGAGATATGTGGTGATTCTGTGTGGTGGGTTTGATAGTGAGAGTTAATATTACCAAACAGGTCAAGTCTTATATATCGCTGTTATTTTCAATCTGTCTTCTCATGATTGCTCGCAGTCAAACATCACTTTCATACAGTAAATATATGCCGTGCTTACTCTTCTCTTATAAATCTTGCTGTAAGGAGTAGTATGCAATTGTCGGCACAGAACTTCATCGTATTTCGTATTGATGCCGTCTTAACCGGTAGCTAGATTGTTACTCTCATACTGATCTGCAGCATGCGCATAATTATATCTCAGAATTTACTATGCAATAGACGCAAACTGTATCGTTTAAAGCGCAACCCAACTGCCGTACTTCCTCTCCCCATATAAAGCAGGTGACCCCTGTCATGCCATACAACCCCATGTAATCACCCTAATGTTACGGCTTTCAGCGGAACTATTTACCGAGTAAGTATTTAGGTGGTAAACAGCAAAACTAATGCCGGAACACCGACAGCGGCAGACATTTATCAAAGTGTGTGTTGAAAAGGACGGAGGGAGAGTGCGGATAGATAAGTGAGGGACTATAACTACCTGTAGTTCTAAGGTTCGGGAAGATAACCATTAAATAAACATGTTAATCCGGTAGGGAGCTGTGTTTTCGTAATATACTCATATAATCCCTCTTACACGATGCTAACCCCTAAATAGCCACTCCGCTGCCTTTTCCCGCCGCAACTGCTGCCTCTAGTCCAGCTGTCACCATGAGATACACGCTCCTCGGCACCAGCGGACATGTGTGGGACCTTACCGGCCAGACTGGCTGTGGGAGATCAACATCTGCGCCGCTGTCGAGAAGCAATTGAACAATCTCCAAATGCCGTAACTCCATTGCCACCTGCACGACCCATCCGCAGTGAAAGTGAATTGGTATTACCAAGTTAAGGCCATCGTATTCCTGGTTATGGTATACGTGGTAACCAATATTGGGATCCGCACCGTTTGCAAGAAGAAGCCTGACCATATCTGCATTACCAGCCCTGGCTGCTCGAACAAGAGGGGCTATGAAGTCTCCCTCTTGGAGTGGTGGCGGGATTCCGAAAGTACATTGGTGAAAATACGGATCGGGGGGAATAGGCCGATCTGATTCCTCGAAGTCACAGCTAACGCCGCTCGCAAGTAGGATATTGACGATTGCTGTGTCCTGCTGATCCACAGCTAGACACAGGGATCTGGTCATTGAGACTCGGTTTGTTTTCTGGGCTAAAATTTCCACAAGTTTCTTGTTCCTTCGCCTCACTGCCTTTATGAGGGCAGGTCCCTGTGTCTTGTAGTTCCCTGTGTCTTGTAGCAAGTATAATTCGCGTCGGCTCCTTTTTCTAGGAAAAGGTTGACGAGACCGAGGTTATCGTGTCCCACGGCCCATTCCAGCGGAGTGGTTGGAATGTTGTCTAGTAAAAATGGCACAAAGTCTCCATCGCTCCTTTCGTCGTAGTAAAGAATCCAGGTATTCAAGTCTATTTCATATTCAAGGATTTGTGAGATCGTATGGTTACTGTATCCAGCTTTCAACGCAGCCGCTAGTGCGTCCTTCTTCTGAACTTGACTGGGAAGATTGTGCGAAACTAGTTCAACACTATCTTGGGCTGTGGTGAAATTACGTCCAGCCGTAGGTGAAGATTCCAAAGGCTTCTGTGCCTCAACCACCGGCCCAGGAGCTTTGAGACTTGCCGGGCGTTTCTCGTTAGTGAAACGATTCCTAAAATGGAACTCTTGGGTTATTGGCTCCCACACCAACTCCCACCCATCATCTTCAGATTTAGAAGAACTCTTCTCCGAGGCAGTATCTTCATTTCCATCCCTAACCTTATCGATAGGATTCCAGCGTGTGTAACTGAAGATTTCCATTTTCTCGTATATAATTCCTTTGGATTGTCGTCGCACTGCGGGGGGGTTGCGTTTGTCGGGTTCGACTCTGAAAACTGGCGTGGAATTGATGGGTTTAAAGGGGGTCATATATGTCCGCTCAAGTAGCTCATGCCAATCTACATCGTGGAAGAACGCGTGAGCTTTTACCTCTGAAGACCCGTTTGCCCCCAGGCGCTTTTTAGGGTCCTTGTGGAGAAGCCCAACTAGAATGTCCCTGGCAGTTGGTGAAAGGCTGTTAGGGAGCTGTGGTAGAGGTTCACCGATAATTCTACGTTCTCGCTCATCGGCCTCTGCGTGGTAGAAAGGGGGTAGTCCGGTCAACATCTCATAGAGAATAATCCCCAAGCTCCACCAATCCACTTCCCGGGAGGTTTCTTGGCCGAGAACGACCTCAGGGGCTGGATACTCAGGTGTGCCGGGCATGATGTGATCGCTGTCCTTCAGCTCGAGCCCGAAGAGGCCGGGACTGCATAGACTGACATGGCCATATGAGTCTAGAAGGATATTCTCCGGCCTCAGAGATGCGAGAATAATACCTTTGCCGTGCAGATATTCCAGCACACAGACTAGCTCAGCAGCATAAAGTCTCGCAACGTCAACGTCAAAGCGTCGCTGCCTTTGGAGGTGAGAAAAAAGGTGTCCGCCATCAGCCAGCCCTGAAAGAAGGCTCAGCCCCTTAGACGATTTGAACGCAAATTTGAGCGATGCGATGAAGGGATGTTCAATCCGGGAGTAAAGGCTGTATGTCAGGTCTAACCCAGAAACGTTTTGGTCTATGGGGATCGTCTTCATGGCGTAGCTTCGACCCGAGTCTTCTTTTTTGACATAGACAAGATCGCCAGTATTAACTTCTTTGGAGACTCGCCACATTTTCCAGTCATCTAAGGGGAGTATCTCTTTCGCGACGTAAGAAACCTCGAGTAACACTCTTCCGCTCCCATCTTGAACATCTACCGCCACCGTACCCAGAGTCCGGGATTCCAGAAATGGGTCCAATTTGATCGACCCAAGCAGTACGACTTGGCATTCTTTCGAAACATCATAGTTCCTGACGAACAGGTGCACGATAAGCTCAGAAGAGGCAGAGACGTCAAACTTAATTGGGGTGGGATTGCCCATCCAATGAACGCTTCCCTTCCTTCCCCAACATATGGACTCGGCGGATACCTGGAACTTTTCATATTCCAAGACAGCATAAGGCAGCCATTGCTTGTGCAGTTCTGGATCAGCAAACCCTACTGAACTAGACCCTTCGCCCAGATGTGGTAGGCTCAGATTAGTAGCTTGGAAGAGTATAACAGTTAGAATTCCTGTTCCGTGCGGACTGGACTGCTCCAAGGGAATGATTTCAGAAGGAGCTACGATAGTTAGTCTATACAGGCGCTTTTATAGCTAGAGAGCACATCAAAACGTACCTTCATCTTCTAATAGAGGACGAGTCAACCTGGGAGGTGTCTACCAGCTCTTACTGCTCGTACTCTCTCCAAGATCTACAGTGTCCTTAACTGATGACATCGTTGATAGTTCTGGTTAAGCTTATTTAATAATAGCAAGATAGGCATGTGGGGCGCCTCTAACATCAGGTACGTGCGCGTCCGTATACAGTGGGTCGCTTATGAAGAGAACAGCCAATTAGAGCTTTGAGAATAAATATACGAGGTTGTGCTCACAATATGAGAACTTAACCCCCCACGATTTCTAGGGTGGTTAAATGGTAAAAGATGTGGTCTTATGGCCGATGCTGGTTTTAGCCATTAGTTTAAATGTAGCCTAACATTACGAATCAATTTAAATTCATATCCATGATAATTGGGACACCGAGATAATTATTATCAGAATATTATCACCGAAAACCAAAAGCTTCATGAAAGTAGCTCGGACAAAACACTCAACAGGGTATTCTCATTAATCCATGATATTCTCAAGAGCATCCTTTAGATCCTTCAACTGAACATCTCCATGACCTGTTGGGCAAAGAGCGAATGCCCTGAGAGTAAATAGTGCCCACTTGATCGTTCGTTTTTAACTGTAAAAAATGTTTCATTCCGTATGGCTTTTTTTCTATATACCCTTACTAAATAAAGTGATGTCTTGTGCATGCATCACATACAATATGCCTCCTAACGCCCGCTAACCCCACCAACGCCTCATTTGAACATCGCACGTCAAAGTAACTCTACGCGAAATGGAGTCCCTCAGCATTGAACCCAGCGAGCAAGCGGAGGAAGTCATTCTCATCGCACTTCGCAGCGCGACGATCCGCAAGTTCTGTCTCCTCCAGAACGCGCATAATCTTCGACCGCACGAGAGCCGCGACGCGGGTCTTGGGACGTTTGGACTTGGTTTTTTGTGGCGCAGCGGGAGATTGAGCGGCGAGTTCCTTGAAGAAGGAGGGGGCATCATCGTCGTCTGCTGCATCGTCTGCTCCTCCATTGATGTCGCCATCACCATCAACATCCATAATCCCATCCCACTCCTCCTGTGCCGGCCCGCTATCCTCAATATCCATATCCTCATCCTCACCATCCACGACGCCCTCCTCAAGCGGAACGTCATTCATAGCACACCAAACCCGATAATTCCTCTCCACCAGAGCCAGAACCTCCTTTCCACTCCAACTCGCTCTCATAAGGCGATTCTTCCTCACAAAGCATACCCTGAGCATTCCATCCCACTCCTCCCAGCTGACGCCTGGCCGGTCGCTGCCAGTTTTCGGTTCGATGCGCACCACAGACGATTCAACCTGTGGAGGGGGCTTGAAGTTGTTTTTCCCAACCTTCATGATGTGCGTTATGCGTGCCCAGAACTGGGCGTTCACACTGAGGCGGCAGTATAGGGCATCGCCAGGGCGTGCCGTCAGGCGGAGCGCGAATTCGCGCTGAAACATGAGAATCGAGGTGCGCGGCGGGTTTGGGAGAGAGAGGAGCTTGAAAACTAGCGGGGAGGAAATCTATGGGTTTGTTGTTAGCATGTTTAGCATGCGGGGTTCCACGAGGACAGGGGGGGAGGAAGGAGCAGACGACGAACCTGATATGGTGTATTGGAAATGCAGACGTCGAACGGCGGTAGCTCAGTTTTAATCACATCCCCCAGCAGGACATCCAAGCGCTTCTGCATCGGCGTACCCTGAACACGCTTCGTCACTTCGGCGGCCATGCGGGGATCGAGTTCTACGGCAATGACTTTGCGAGCCTTCTCGAGGATGCGGACTGTCAAATTTCCTGTTCCCGGGCCGACTTCAAGAACAACATCTGAGGGCTTCAGATCGGCTTTCTGGACAATCGCTTCCGCTACACCGGGGTTCTTCAGGATATGTTGTCCGACGTTGGTGTTGAATTTGAAGACATTATTCGTTTGCTTTGCCGCTTTTTCGTAAGGTGAGCTTGTCGCGGCGCTATTGCGCTTGCCACCCTTGAGTTTGCCCATTTCGCTCTAATATGGAAGAATCAAGGATGGAGTTCGGGTTGCGGACTGTTTTAGAAACGAGGGCGTAGAGTGCTCGTGACACTGCTGGGGAAAGAGGGCGAGGTTTCGTTTTTGCGACATAAAATCGCGGATTTCTTTGATGGTGGTGGTGACTTTTTGTCGTTATCTTAGTGTGTGGGGCTTATCGCAACTAGCTAAATAATTAAGGTCTGGTCACGTGGTTCAGCCTGGTCTTTTCTGGCTTCGCCTTGCCTTGGAGGCGCATCTAAATTCAACGCCACGATATTAGATTTTACATTTCGAAACATAAGAGTCCTAAGAGGCAGTCGCAAAGATGTCTGGACGACGCGACTTTCTCAATCAACCGGCCCCCGAGAACTACGTCGCTGGTCTCGGTCGTGGCGCCACTGGATTCACCACCCGCTCAGATCTTGGGCCGGCGCGCGAGGGCCCGAGTGAGGATCAGATCAAAGAAGCGCTCGCAAAGCGCGCGGCACAGCTCGGCGCAGCTGCCCCATCAGCATACGGAGTTCCTGAGAAGAAAGAAGAGGAAGACGACGACGAGCGCTTCCAGGATCCCGAGAACGAGGTCGGACTATTCGCTGGGGGAACGTATGACAGGGAGGACGATGAGGCAGACAGGATATACCAAGATGTAGAAGAGAAGATGGATAGGCGGCGGAAGATACGCAGGTTTGTCCCCCCTTCTCCCACCCCCACCCCAACCCTGCATAGCAGATGGTTTATCAAAGATGAACAGAATACCGACCAGGCCTACAGGGAAGCACGCGAGAAAGCCGAGCGCGAAGAATACGAGCGCAATAATCCGAAGATCCAACAGCAGTTTGCGGACCTCAAGCGCGCGCTTGGTACCGTTACCGATGAGGACTGGGCGAACCTACCAGAGGTGGGCGATCTGACGGGCAAGAATCGCAGGAGCAAGCAAGCTCTCAGGAACAAGTTCTATGCCGTTCCGGATAGTGTGTTGGCTGCCGCTGGGACCACAGGACAAATGGGAACGACGGTTATGGAGGACGGAATGGCGTCAACGACTGAGCAAGGAGACGGGACAATGACGAACTTTGCGGATATCGGAGCGGCGAGAGATAAGGTCCTGCAGGTTCGTTTGGACCAGGCTTCAGCGGGCAATGGTGGAGATTCCGTGGCAGGAAGTGCTACAAATATTGACCCTAAGGGTTATCTCACCAGTCTGGCAAAATCACATATCGGCGAAGGCGATGCGCAAGTGGGCGACATCAAGCGCGCACGAGTGCTGCTGGAATCTGTTATTCGAACGAACCCGAAGCACGCCCCTGGCTGGATTGCGGCGGCGCGTCTGGAAGAACTTGCGGGCAAGATGGTTGCTGCGAGGAATGTCATCGCGCGGGGCTGCGAGCACTGTCCCAAGAGCGAAGATGTGTGGGTGGAGAATATCCGACTCAACGACAACCACAATGCGAAGATTATTGCGGCAAACGCGATCAAGAATAACGACCACTCGATAACCCTATGGATTGAGGCTATGAACCTTGAGGCAGAGCCGAGGGCTAAGAAGAGGGTAATACGTCACGCGTTGGATCACATCCCACAATCTGTTTTGCTATGGAAAGAGGCCGTCAATCTGGAGGAAGATCCAAACGATGCCAAGCTCTTGTTAGCCAAGGCAACAGAGATCATCCCACTGTCCGTCGAATTATGGCTGGCACTGGCTAGACTTGAAACTGCTGAAAATGCGCAAAAGGTTCTCAACAAGGCCCGCAAAGCTGTCCCAACATCTCATGAAATTTGGATTGCTGCGGCAAGGCTTCAGGAACAACAAGAAGTGGCAAGTGGCGTTCCGAGCAAGATCAATGTCATGAAGCGTGCCGTCCAGGCCCTTGCCAAGGAGTCTGCTATGCTTAAGAGAGAAGACTGGATCACCGAAGCCGAGAAGTGCGAAGACGAAGGTGCAATTCTGACCTGCGGCAACATCATCAGAGAGATTCTGGGGTGGGGCCTCGACGAGGATGATGACCGAAAGGACATCTGGATGGACGATGCCAAGTCTAGTATTGGGAGAGGGAAATACGAAACAGCAAGAGCTATCTATGCCTACGCACTCCGTGTATTTGTCAACAGCAAGACCCTGTGGCTTGCTGCTGCTGACCTGGAGAAGAATCACGGTACAAGGGAGACTTTGTCGCATTTGTTGGAGAAGGCTGTGGAGGCTTGCCCACAGAGCGAGGTTCTGTGGATGATGCTCGCCAAAGAGAAATGGCAGGCTGGGGAGATCCAGGAGGCAAGGATGGTACTCGGCAGAGCCTTCAACCAGAACCCGAACAACGAAGACATCTGGCTTTCTGCTGTCAGGCTCGAAGCTGATAATGGCGAACCGGACCAGGCGAGGAATCTGCTCAAGGTCGCGAGACAAGAAGCTCCCACCAACCGTGTTTGGATGAAGAGTGTTTCTTTCGAGCGCCAGCTCGGCAATGTCGACGCCGCGCTGGACCTTGTTAACGAAGCCCTGCAATTATTCCCTGCGGCTGACAAGCTGTGGATGATGAAGGGACAGATCTACGAGGGCGAAGGGAAACTTCCCCAAGCCCGCGAAGCCTACAGCACAGGCACAAAAGCCTGTCCCCGTTCGGTAGCTCTATGGTTGCTCTACTCACGCCTCGAGGAGAAAGCAGGAATGGTTGTCAAGGCCCGATCTGTACTTGACCGTGCCCGCCTCGCTGTTGCCAAATCGCCAGAGCTGTGGGTGGAATCTATTCGCGTCGAAAGACGAGCAAATAATATTAGTCAGGCAAAGGTTCTCATGGCGAAGGCGCTACAGGAAGTCCCAAAGAGTGGTCTGCTGTGGAGTGAGTCTATTTGGCACTTGGAGCCTCGAACCCAGCGCAAGCCCCGCAGTTTGGAAGCTATCAAGAAGGTTGATGACGATCCGATACTCTTCGTGACCGTAGCGCGCATCTTCTGGGGCGAGCGCAAGCTGGAAAAGGCGCAGAATTGGTTCGAGAGGGGCATTGCGTTGGACCCGGACTTGGGAGATACTTGGGCGTGGTATTATAAGTTCCTGATGCAGCATGGAACGGATGTAAGTTTGCCAATTAACTCTCTGCAGAGGCAGTCGCTAATATTAAATCAGGAGAAACGTGCAGACGTCGAGGCAAAGTGTATTCTTAGCGAGCCGAGGCATGGCGAGATATGGCAGAGCGTTGCGAAGGATCCGAAGAATGCGTCCAAGAAGACAGTAGAGATTCTAAAGACTGTAGTGACGCGGCTGGAGTGATATGAATAGAAGTGTGTTACAAATAGGTCAAGATATGGGTCTTGCAGGCGTTACTGGAAATACAGGTTGATAATGCCAAGGCATATCCTCTTACACGGTCTCAGTTTACAATCAGACCCTTTTTTCAAGGTGCCAAATCCAACGAGAATGTATATAGAATATAATTCCTGGGTAACCGCCTTATTTGTTGTAGCCCTGAGTTTACTTGAACTATAGTTGCTGTAATCACTGTGATACGTAAGGGATTGTAGTATATAATAAGTGGTATTTTACTGAACTACTATTACAGTCCTTAACACCGTCCTTTGAAACGCCTAATAAATGGAACTATTATACAACATTGTCGACTTTATGCAAATCACACCTCAGTGACATGCCTTGCCATACTTCCGCAGTCTGTGGTAATTGTACGGCAATGGCGTCAAGAACCCAGCTGCTATCGATACAATGGCAGCTCCCCAGAACTGCGGCGAGTCGAGCTGAATGACTCCCCCCGTTAAATGGTAATCAACAAGGTTCTCAGCCAGTTCCATCGATATCATTGATATAAGACTCATTCCTGCCGCCGTCTTGGCCGCTACCATCCAGCCAAGTTGATCACGGCCGAGCCGGAGAAGAACAGTCTCCAGGAGTAGAGAAGTCGTGACACCGCTCGCCACTAAATCACGTTAGCTGAGAAAATACAAGTCAATGGGCAGGCACACGTACTGGAAATCGCCATGATTGCCCCAGTCCCAAGTTCCGGATGGAAAGCTTGGAGATACCACATGGATGAGAAGTCCCCGAGAGTACAACCAACGAGACATCGCAGCGTATTTAGACCAGCTCGATTCCATACTGCCCTCGACGCCCAAAATTGCGATGAAAATACCGCAGGAGGCAGCGTCTTTCCTTCATTTTTGCTGCATGGAGCCTTTGGGGAACTTTCGGTGCATTTTGGCCGGAGCTGGAATGTAGTTGCAGGGGTTATCTTTCTCAAAGAACTCCAGTGGATACGATGGCCTGAAGGGACCAGACGAGTCGAGAATTTGAACATAATAGATTGTATGGCTCACACTGTCGATAGTACGAGTGCAATAACTGAAGTTGGGAGCGAAACCCTTTTAGAAGTTTATAATGACCAGAAAATGATAAAAATGACGATGGGCCTGGTCGCCCTTTAATATTGGTGGTGCTCAGAGGACAGGCTCCACTTTGGACCATTCACCACCGCACAAACCACTCACCTTACACTATGAATATGACAAATGCTCCACGTTGTGCATCAGGCGTTGAAAATAAATTATGGAATCGGCGTAAAAGGCTCACTGGTTTATTGTAAATATTTTCGAAGAAATCCGAAGTCAACAATTGGGGAAAGTTCCAAGGGTACGGTGAACCACAGCTAATTTAGGTGTAAGTTCGGTCCGATAAATATTCCCTTGGCACCTTCTCCAGCGGCTTCATGCCGTCACTTCAACTGCGAGCCATCCCCGAGAGATCCCACCTTAAACTCCCATTACCACAAATTCCCACGATACAAGAGGAGAATGCCGCCACCAGCTACCGCTTCTGACCTCATCTTCTCGGAACAAGCGAATCATAACTTCTCCAAGACCCTGGGGGATATCAAACGCCACACTCTCTCCATCCACAACCGCCTCCAGTCGATCCTCGTCGATGCCGCTTTCGTTCAAAGCGTGTCGGGGGCATACTGCCGCCCTCTAGTCGCCAATGAACGGTGCGGAAGCTGGTATATTAACCCAGAGGCCAAATCAGGGAGCGCATACTTCAAAAGCACCGATGGACATACAGGCGTTTGGAAGTTTAGTACCCGGAGGTTGAACACACATCTCCTCGAGTTGATTGGAAAGGGTGATGGGTAGGCGCATGGGGAATACTTGGGTTTGAATGCAATACTAAATCTTTGTAGATGCATCATTGTAGATTCTACTCGGAGAGGAAAGAGTTCGTCAGCTCCTTCCGTCTACTCAAGATCGAGCTAACGTTACGACAGGAATGCCCGATGCCCTGAGCAAGACAATTCCAATATGGTGTAGCGTCATTAACCGCTCCCTCTTCCCGGACAAGCCGGAATATCACAACCTCTACACGCCCCCACAAGCTGTCTCGACCTCTGAGAATGCCCAAATAGCTGCACGATTAGACGACTTCACAGAGTCTTTCGCTAGCCTGGGCATCAACATGAAACCGCTCAGAGAGCACATATCTAAACCGATAAGACCGTTATGGGTAACACCAGAGTCGGCGCTCCCTGTTGAGGAACAAGTGTTCAGCGATTATCACCCCGTAATATGCTGCACCGCATCTCGGCGAGTTGCCGGTGGTGAAGTCAGTGAAGGGGGATACATTCAAGGCTCTGGGGATGATACTGAGAACTGGGCCCATGGGTTGACTCCTACCGTGTTCTGGCCAAACAGTGAGCTCCTACTTTCCACGTCGGAATCTGAGCTCCCAAGCTTGATCACAGAGTTGGTATCAAGCTCTTCCAACACCAGTACCGGCAAGCCTAGCCCTACCCTTCTACCACCAACTTCTTCTCTTTATGTCACGTCGTCGACATCTCTCGCAGCTCAATCCGCTAGCAGTAGCGATATTATTATCACAGTTAGCTCCGAAATTACAGCCCCTGCAAGCTGGCAGAAAGATAAACATAGGCTAGAGATTGGAATTGGCTCTGGCAAAATTGGAAGCCGCAACCTACGATCTGCTTTACCTCATATGATTGACTTCGTCAAGAGGTCACTCTCGACGGCCTCTGCTGAAACCAAGTCTCCCAGGATTGTGGTGGCATGTCCCGACGGCAAAGATCTCTCCATTGGAGTAGCACTTGCTATACTTTGCATTCTGTATGATGAGAACGGTGATTTGTTTGAACTGGGGCAAGAAGGTTCAGGAATAGACAAAGCCTTTATTCGGCGGCGCCTAGGATGGATCATGACAGCCATACCAGATTCAAACCCAAGTCGCTCGACACTCCAAAGTGTCAATAGCTATTTAATGATAAGACCAAGTTGAACTGAAAAGTAAATAAACATTATAAAGATTTACAGCTATCTGGACTAGACTGAACTGGTTGATTATTATGTGTTTTAGTCGTATTGTGTTACTTACTAATATTAGGCAGAATCCTAGATCGACCTATTTCAGCTTCATCCGGCAGGACATCCCTACATAGCCACGCTGCTCTGCCTAGAGATCTGCCTAATAAACGCACTCTATTTTACGAAGGAAGTAATCCCTGCAAGAGCTTCCAAAATGACGTTCCGACAGTGGCCCCTCTTTCCAACGATCCGGCGATAACAATATAGATAAATACTACCGAATCTCCCGACTTCCAACCACCATCATCCACCCCGCACTTCTTCTACGGAAACAGTTCTCACGATGGCCTCGCAACCGCGCCAGGAGCCGCCTTCGTACACCGAAGACCCAGCGTCGGCCTCCACACACATACCAATCGAGCCACCGACTTACGACGATGTCGCCGAATCGCAACCACGCGACCAGCTAATGACAGGGGAGCTACCATGCCTCATCATGGACGACTGCTTCATCTATGCGGAATCACAACCAACAAATTCACTCTACGAGTTGAGCAACCCTCCTACAATCGACAGGTCCGCAGCATTCGCTGTCGAGAAATTCATCTACCGTCTGACCACCAACGACGGCGAGGGTGCGCTTCGCCAACGCAAGCGACATCTGTACGATTTCCGCGCTGGTATGTCCGAGTTTGGCGACGTTGTCTCACTTGAGGCCCAGTCGAACTCCAAGTATGTCTTCAAAGACATCAAACTGCATCGCGGTATCCCGATGCAGTTTGGTATGGCGAAGGGTATCTCGACTTCGTGGACCTCGTGCAGTGCAGATGAGCACTTTAAGATTGGGCAGAGCATGAAGCAGAAGTTGAGCAGGAAAGATGAGCTTGAGTGGAAAGATTGGGACGGTAGATTGGTGGCCGTGGAGACAAAGTTGACGAGAAAAGATGATGGTAAAGTTGATCGGCCGCCGAGGTTGGAGTTGAAAGCTCCGATTGATACGAAGGAGTTTGATCTATTGGTAACACTTTGGGCGGCGAGGGTTTGGAAAGAGACGTTGAAAGACCTTGCGGAGCCGTTCAGTTGGAGCAAGTGTAAGTGACCTTTGGACCTTTGGAGCATCTGATGACCTACCAGCTAACAAGTGTCAGTCAAACGAATTACCGAACAAGGTCCAAATACTGGAAGAACATCATATTTTGGGCCGCGCTAAGTGCCAAACTGACAAGTAAAAGATATTTTGTTATTGCTCAACAGCAGCCTCTTGACATTGGGCCAGTCCCATAGCTCATCTGTAGTCTCGGCTTTGACACCGTGGGAGATCCAACGGGAGACCTGGACGGAGAATAGAACCTCCAATACGGTGATACGGTGATATACAGTGGCCACGCCGTTTTGACACGACGGCCTGGATGAGAAGACTGGACTGGGAGAATTTCCATCGCCATTTTCTCGGCGAAGCCAAATAGAGGACTCGCGCGCTTTAGAGTCCCAGCGGCATAGGGACCTTATGTCACCTCCACAGACGGTCTTTACAAGAAAGACGCGCCAGCCGACAGCGCTTTTAGACTGATCGTGGTCTCGTCAGGAGATAAAACAAATGCGTGCAATCAGACGACGTGACAGTACTTTGTGAGCAAGCGAACAGGCCCTCACCTTTTTGAGTATGGCGGCTGCTATCACCATACTGGTGTAGGTATCGATCAACTGTATGTCTCGTTGGTTGCGAACTCAAAATCCCCAGTAGCCCACAAGCCTATATGCCGATATGAACTCTCGCAACATGAGCTTCTCCTCAATATCTTGTATCAGTATCCGGCCCCACGGCACGCGGCTATACCCTTCTTTATCAAGGGTATAGCCGCATGCCGTGGGGCCGGATACGGATCTGTTATTTCATTGTCTTTCTGGTCGAGTGCCGGATTCGTCGCTACAAAGAATAACAAAGGATGGTCGAGGCGCCTTATTGTGCTACCTTCAGTTTTCTTGAGAGAATGCCCTTCTTATTTTATTTTATTGTCTTGTTTTCTCGGAATGAGGTGTTCCAATTGTACCAACAATTCTCGCAGCAACTCGGTTTAAATACGCATGGCGATTGATGATAACCCACTCAAAGCCGGCTTTGGCAGCCAGCTCCCTAAGAAACGCAAAGCCAATGACCTCCCAGAACCAACTGGCGCGTGGCCTGGGGTCAAGAAGCGCAAAAAAAAAGCCAACTCAACACGACCCTCATCCGCACCGAAAAGGAAATACAAGAAGTCAGCATTGGCTAAAGTATTTGGCGCTGCGCGCGTCTTAAATAATGGAGAAAGCGGGTGGACGCCGATGAACCTCCAACATCGGCCTTCCTGGCGCCAATTCAGGACGGAGGAGGCGAAAAGGAATGAGCAGCGACGCAGGCTATTTGGTTTCGATTCGAACCAGCTTCAAGCTATCGACGCAGTCCCAACTCTTGTCAAAGAAGAGACGCCATTGCTGAAACTAGACAACGCAATCCATCCAATCCTTGTGGGTCAGCATTGGAGGACTCGTGAATCGATACCAGCCAATCGTGCGTTTTGGAGAATTGGCAATGGGAAGCCTGGGTACTGGGAGGTAATGTGTTGGTGATATATACCAAGTTTCACAGAACTAATACTTTGAATTACAGGCACAGAACCCGTTCGTTTGGGAAATATTGGAACCCATCCTCAAGTTGGCATCACAATTTCTCACAAATTCCCACATTAGCCACTGGTATGGCAGCCATTGTTTTCGTAATTGTTACAGAATTGAGTCTAACTAATGTAGGTGGGATACACTACTACACGGAGAGCGCAGGGTCTTCAACTCGTCATTTATGGACGGCTTGAGAACCATTCACAGGCGCCCTCCAGAGGTGTTCTACGCTAATCGAGCGCAAGTACGCCGTGAACTGGCTGAAGCAAGTGGCCTCATCAGCTTTGGAATAGAAAGTGGGGTTGTAGATACAGTCACTAGCCTGGGCCCTTTGCAGCATGATCTTAGAGACAATGATCAATACTATCATGGTTTTACTGTGAAGCATGATGTACTCGGCGTTGATCCGGTTGAGATTTCACTGGCCATTCACTTATTTAAACCCTTTCTTCGAGAGAAGTTGACTGTGTGTTTTTGTTTCTATTACCTGTTGGTTACTCATTTGCTGACTATTCATAGCAAGCCGAGAGATTAGGGATGCAGTTTTTTATAGCGAGTACTATCGTTCATGAAATAGGGGTGCGTCATTGGTAGATTAGTGTCATCTACTCTCACAGGGCAACGCTGACAAAAGAAAGCATGCTATAGGTGATCTATACCGGAGACAGAACCGTGACATTGAAGGAAACTACCCCTGGCAAGAACTCTTCTTTGAGGACGAAGCTCTGGCAGAGTACGGCTATTCAGTAACCATGGCAGTAAGCTCCAATCATAACTCCTTTAAAACTACAATAGCCAATTTATAATTTAGAACATGAACTACATCGTAGACAGGGTTCCCATAGAACCATCCCCTCTCAGTTACTTCGCACACAAGTGGCCCCGACGCGATGGCGATGACATAAACCGCACGAACATCAAATACGCTCGCCCACTAGAGAGCTACGAGGAGCTAAAGACATACTATCCCATCCCATACCACTACTTTCACGATCTTGCTCGGAAAGATTTCTGGTCCAGCTTTGTCCGAGTCTACGGCGAGACCGGGAAAGCTTTACACCTCGGTCAGCTTGCCTCTGGTGCCCAAGTATACACCGTCGGAACCTCACAGAGGTGGAGGTGGCTGCCTCCACCCTCTCATACACCAGCTCTGCCTCTTAACATTAGTTCTCAGGACAGTATAATTGCTCATACCATCCAGACGAGGCGAATACAGAACCAAAACCTTGCAGTCACTGCATTAACAACAACTCGCGGTGCTTTGTCTGACTGGCGCGCCAAATTTCTTAGTAAAAAGGAAAAGCATGAATGGTACGAAACACAGCGCGAAAGAGAAGAAATGGGCCTAGAAGGTCTTCCCCCAGAACCAGGTATATACCCCATGCATCTCCATCCACACGATAGCTGACCCTCTAGACTCCCCCCTCTCAGTTCTCACGGCCTTGTCCTCTGACGTTTCCGACCCTGATGACCAATCTGGCAATGAGTCGAACTTTTCACACGAATCGTCTCCCCCAAATGCTGCGCCAGAGCGGTATGAGTATATCCACAGGTCGCTTTGCAACCTACGCCTAGTTTTAGCGCTAGACACTATGCACAACCGGGTGCCCATAAACCTACTTCTAGAATACCTAAATCGTGAGTTGATACGGCTGCGGCGCAACGTTGTCGGTCCGGAGGAATTTGAACAGTATCTCCGCCACATCGCAATTGAGAAGAAGATATGCTTGAAGTACTCTCCACCACCCCCCCACGATCCTTGCCCACTTTCGTTTCCCTTGTTGGCTTCGCTTCCGCATACATTTGCTATGAGGCTCTGCTAACCCCTTAACCTCACAGTTTATTCATTCACCACTTGGGGGCAATTGATATAACCATCCTCTCCACCGGCTGGCCCAGTGACCAAGAGCTCCTCCCGCACCCCCGACCCCCGCTTCCTCCTCTCGATCGTGACCCCGCCTACTTCGCAAATGATATCTCGGACTTCCGCGTCGTCAGTCTTGATCAAGAGTTCTGGAGGATGCAAAATGCACCTCCTCGCGCACCCCGATTCATGTTCGTTGATATCGATTCTGAAGATATACGAACGTACTTCAACAGCTTGGGGGATGAACAACAGGAAGTCGATGTGGACGTGTTTGCACATATTGTTACTGCGTGTCCGGATCTGTGGGTGTAAGTTCCCTCCGTTGCTCCCTCTGTTGCTTCTCGTTACTATTTTATATCACATTTTGAGCTTCCGGGTCCCTGAGCGAAGTGAATGAAGGGCTAATTACACTGTAGGGCCGGGCCACCTGGAGTATTACGGTTTATCGGACCCGAACAATGGGAGGGAGCAAAATCGGGGAAGTTTTGGGAGCCTCCCGAGCCAAATGATACAGAGATGGTAGATGTTGACGTTTCGGGTGCGATGTTCGGGGGACAGGGGGCGGAGACGGAGATGTAAGATGTGGAAGGGACAAGTAGGTAGTATAGTCGGTTTAATAAAATTCAAGGAATATATTTTCATATCAAAGGCCTTAAAGCGGGTTCTTCGTCTGTGGTTAATAGAAGCTTTTGGTGTTTATGAAACAACCACCATGTCGCCCGTGCGTATCTACCAATGGCCGACGTCGACTGTTAGAATTACCCCATTGTATTCAACTCCTAAACGCTAGGCTTCCATACAGTTCGTAATATGATAACTACGGCCTATAGTACTTATCCGTTTTTAAACCCGTCTGTAATCGTTTGAGACTCTAACAATAGATGTTGCTGACTATGAGTTCTATGATATATTCAAACGCTTTGATTGGCTGAGAAGCCCCGTCGGTGCGGTCTCTCTCTCTCTGGCCACCACAGCCTGGTAAATATCAACAAAAGGCTACTCTAAACCCAGCATCTCTAATGCAGCGTTTCTGATGCAGAATATCTAATGCAGCATCTCAATCGAAGTCTCCCGCCGTTAGGTTTAGGAATAACCCTTCAAACTTTACGAGGAAATATCAGCTATAGCGACGCGGCGGACCAGGAGCAAAATGTCCTCCAGCAATTGACATATTGGCAGAAGAGAGAGGACTTCGTAGCCTACTTACTTCAGCATACGCAGGAAATAGAAACCGTTGTATCTTGCTATCTCCGCCTTAAAGGCACTGAGAGATGCCGCCTATCGCCTTTCGATGAGTGGGTCCATGGCAGCTTCAACATGTGCCTACCACTCTATATCGACAACTGGAAGAAACGGCCTGGCAGAAAAGTCATGATCCGATTCCCGCTCCCCTATAAGGTTGGCGAGTTAAATTATCCAGGCAATGCAAATGAAAAGGTCCGTTGCGAGGCAGCTACTTATGTTTGGATCCGCGAGAACTGCCCGGACGTTCCTATTCCTCACCTGTGGGGGTTTGCATTTGCAGCTGATGCGCAGGACACAAAGGGCTATAGCGTAAGTAATCTGCCAAGAAATATTATAATCGGCCCTACAATGCTAATTGTCATGGCATAGTTCATCGCATTAGACGGCGCATCCCTACTCACACGGCTTTTTGAGACTCTTCGCCGCCAGTTCTCTTTCCTGTTAGGCCACAACAATCCCTGTAGGTATATATCAGCAGGGCGCCCCTATAGTTTTGAGATAGGGCACCTAGTTATTGATTACCTCGAAGAGACCGACGGCACGATGCTATCAGCATTGTGGGAAAGTTACCGACAGGATGACGGCCATTTAGCCAATCTGTTTCAGGGCTTGTCACGAATTATGCTTGCGCTAGGGAATATTCCATTGCCACGTATTGGCTCCTTTACTATGGACAACGACGGAGTGGTTAGACTTGCGAACCGCCCGCTGACTCTTCAGATACATCAATTAGAGAATGAGGGCATTCCAACGAAGATAGATCGAGATACAACTTACGCTACGACGGAGTCCTACTTTCTCGACGTATTATCCTGTCATGATAACCATCTAACTTACCAACTCAACGCCATTAACGACGAGTCTGATTGCCGTTCACAGATGGCTGCTCTAGCTATCATTCGGACCGTCCTTCCACGCTTTATACGCCATGATCTACGCCGCGGGCCATTCCTCCTCACCCAAACCGATGTCCATCAAAGCAATATATTCGTGGATGACGAGTGGAATATCAAATTTTTCATTGATCTAGAGTGGGCATGCTCTTTGCCTATGGAGATGCAGCACCCACCGTACTGGCTTACGAGTCAAGCGGTCGATGGCTTTGCTGATGAGGAACTCGCCTTGATTGAAGTTAAATATAGCGAATTTCACAGAATCTTTGCTCGTGAGGAGGCGCTACAGGGTCTAGGAAGTGATAAACCAATTTCATTATCCCGCGCATGCACCATGCAGAAGGGGTGGGAGTGTGGGAATTTCTTCTACTTTCTAGCTCTAGACAGTATCTCAGGGCTATATGGCATTTTCATCCAACATCTCCAGCCTAGATTTGCGGATCATTTCGCTGATAGTAACTTTGAGCGTATTGTTTCTTCATATTGGTGTTCGGAAAGCCAGGAATTCGTCGTTGGTAAGATCCAGCAGAAGAGCGAATATGACAGGCGGCTAAGGGAGGTGTTTGAGAGGCCGAAGAAAATAACAAATGGAGGTTTTTAACGTTTCTTGTGTTTGTTGTTCAGCTTGAAGGATTTTTTTAGCAGCCCTGTCCAGTTGTCAATACCCTTGGGCTCTAATTTGCAGCTTTCTAAGAGGGCAAGAAAGTCAATGTTCGTTTGCAAATCGTTTGGCTTGATGCTGAAAGCTTTCTCAAAGATTGGTGCGATGTCGTGTGCAGCGCAGACGCGATAATCCCCGCTATCAACCCTTTTTTTCATTCTTCTCTCCAGAAGTTCTCTCAAGGTATCTTCAAGGAGCATTTCCAAAGATTTGCTATTTGTAGCATCTACGATGCTGGCCTTTAGTTGCTGTACTTCAACCGGGTCAAAGTATGGCGCCCCAATATATAATAAATCTTCAACTGCATCATGTCGTGCCTGAGCCATGGGATTCTCTTGGAAGTTTCGAAGATCATAAACAAGCACATGGATTTTGTACCATAATGATGGTTGAGCTTTCAAGTCCTCGATAGAGGTAAGTTTGGAAGGGACGGCTTCCATCGTCGTTTGTGACGTGGGATATTTGTCGACATGTGTAGTGTTCAGAGAGGAAGTTTAGTTTGATACAAAATAAAGATTACAGGAACAGAATATCAGAATATATACCCACAAATCATAGGTACAAAGCTAACTATCTAGCATAAGTTGAGTCACTTCAAGTTGACGTAAAACATCAGTAGTTTGCACCATCGGCTGATTTTATAATGAGTAACTTTAAGTGTGAAAATAAGGCTAGTGAGCAACTATAATGTAACTGAGCGGATGATTATTAGGCTTGTTTTCGTAGAATATTGGACCACAAGCATATAGTACTAGACTTCACAACATCAGCTAATTAAACAAAACACTTACTTCTATATTCCTTCGGTCTGAGCAAACGAATGTGGTCTAATTATATTCGTGATTTATTTCAACAGTGGTTGGCGGAAACGGAACAACGATCCTCCTCTCCCGCCACAACTGACATCACCAAGGGCCGCCCCGCAATCCGCAAGGCTGACACTTCTCCCCTCACAAACGCATCTCCAAACCACAATCCCAACACTAAACACAACCATGAAGAATAAAACGCTCCTTCTTGTATTTATCCATGGCTTCAAGGTACGCTACACCCCCTCCTATTCTCCACCACCGACTGACCCCCATAGGGCGACCACAAAACCTTCGCCTCCTTCCCCGATCATGTCGCCTCCATCCTCGCCCCCTCCCTCCCCAATACCACCATCCTTCCCCTCGTCTACCCCGCCTACGAAACCCGCGGTGACCTTGCCGCAGCCGTTGCCTCCTTCCGCACTTGGCTTCTCGACCACGTTATCGACCTCGAAGTTGCTGCTGAGACGCCCTCCCCTTCCGTCGCGCCAAGTGTTCACATCGTCCTCATAGGCCACAGCATGGGCGGCATCGTTGCCGCGGACGCCCTACTCGGAATAGCGAGCGAGCAGACCATCTTGCCTAGCGAGGCGAGCCACGGCTCGGAAAAAAACACACTACCGTCGCCGGCGACGAACCTGTTCCCCAATATCAGAGGCGTCCTCGCCATGGACACCCCGTACCTAGGAATCAGCCCCGGCGTCCTCGCCTACGGCGGCGAGGCGCATTACAAGGCTGCCTCCAGTACTCTATCGCAGCTAACTGGACTAGGAATGTTTGGCGGCGGAACAGCAGCAGCCGCAGCCGCAGGCGGCGCGAAGTCCCCAACAACGCGGAGTGCCGATACATTTAAACTGACTGCCGTAGAGGGCAGCGCGAAGGAAGAGAAAAAAGCCGACGCAACGGGATGGGGAAACTGGGGAAAGCTGGCCGTGATTGGAGGTGCAGCAGTGCTAGCTGCGGGCGGGGCGGCGGCCTACGCCAAGAGGCGCGAGATAGGGGAGTTGGTAAACTGGACAACGAGCCATATGGCGTTTGTGGGGTGCCTGATGAGGCCTGAGGAGCTGAGGGCGCGTGTTGCGGGGGTGGAAGCGGTGAGCGCAGGCGCGGAGGTGGGGTGGGTGAATTTATATACCAAGTTGGGACGGGGTGCTGAGGCGGGGACTGGGGCGGGAGGAAGGACGTTTTGCAATTTACCTAAAGCAGGGAAGTGGAAGGAGGTAGTGAATGATAAGGCTAAAGATGAGGTCACGGCGCATATGAGTAAGTGCCAATATTCGGAGGAGTCTTATATGTCTCGAGAGAAAATCTCACATACTAATGCTACTACAGATATGTTCGCTCCAGTTTTCAACCCAGGCTACGGAATGCTGACACACCATGCTGCCGACTACATCCTAAAGTGGACCGGCCACCTCTTCACCGAGGCTGAGGCCGAGACCGGGCCAGGCTGATGGCCATATTCCCCCCCCCTCCACGGATGAGTGATACCCAGACCACTCGCACGCATTATGCAAGACCGCCAACATATAATATCTATTTCCAGAGCGATCGTCACGGATGGGGGATCACGGATCACCCGCAGCTTAATACAGATCAGAGTCAAGAGGGGCCTCTCACACCATCTGAGATCTCTCACCCGAGACTCTATCCACTAAGATGGAACTCCCGCGTCTCACCTGCGGTCCCTTTTAAGATAAAATGGAGCAGAATGCAGCCGGCGCAGATCATTGCCACACAGCCAAGCGCGCGCAGCCCTGTCTAGTAATCTATCAAGTGCTAGGCCCGGTTTATTCCAAATACCATCAATATTCTATAATGCTCCTTCGGGTGATTTCAAGAAGGATTAAATAAATAATATAATGTGATAAAAGCTCATAGCCTCCTCCCCGTCCTTTCGCTAACCCCGATATAAAGCCCGTGTTATATATGCTGTACCATGTATGTGTACGTATGCCCTTTACACCCCCATCCTATTTCCCCCAGTATCCTTTTGTTGGCCCGTTTATGCCCCCGATATCCCATCCCATTCCTCATATTCATCGTAATCGCATAAAACAAAGCCGCCCATAAACCCATAAAACCAGGTCCTTCCTCGCGTGCACCGCACAAAACCACCAAAAACAAACACGCAATCACACCGGCTCCCATAGCGCTAGCCCTTAAAAAAGAAATTCCCGCTTCACATCCCCACCACTCTCTTTAAGCATCTCCCCCACCCGTCCCCCAACCTTCCACCGTCCAATATCTTTAACCGCATTCTCAAACCCCTCCACCACACCGCCCTTCCCATCCCACACCTCCCCAACCCACTCAAACTCCACACCAGTAAGCCAGTCCCTCAACAACCCTTCACCCCCAGCCGCAGCACTTTCCCTCACCCTAGCAAACGGCACCATCATCGCCGCCCACGCCGGCAGCCCCCCTAGTTCGCTGGGACTGGGACGCATCCACGCAGGTACACCCGCATACGTGCCTTCTGTAGGCCGCGCCATCCATCTCGCGACGGAGTGCGCGATTGACAGCACCGCTGCACTGGTGGCTGGTGTGCGTAATCCGGCAGCGTGGACGGCCCGGGTGAGTGCGGCAGATAGGGGTGGTAGAGGTGGGTGCGCGGGTGGCGAGGGGTATAGGTCTGTGTAGATTGGCTTCGGGGGATCAGTGGAGGCGGCGGAGAGACAGGCGCGGTGGGCGGTTAGGGCGTGGTGGAGGAGTGCGTCGAGAGGGGTTGTGGGGGTAAGGAGGCGGGGAATGAGAGTCCAGGGTGGAGGTTGTTGGTGGGGTGATGGGCGGAGGGGGACATGAGAGTGTGGCCGTTGGGGCGTAGGTTGGAGCATTTGCTGCGGAGGCGCGGGTTGAAGTGGTTGTGGGCTTTGGAGGGGTGGTTGTGCGTGCTGTTGCTGCTGTTGTTGTGGAGCCGAGGGGGCGGTCCCTAGATTATAAGTAGTTCTGCTTGTAATATTACTTGGCGCGCTTGTCGGCGCCATCTGTTGTCCTGTCTGGCCAGGTTGGCCCTGGAAAGCGAATGGCATGCCGGAGGGAGACATATATGCCGAGGGCGGCGAGGAGAAGATAGATTCGTCCTCGAGGTCAAAAGGTGATGTGACCGTCGTCCATGATTGCGCTGTTCCAGTTCGTCAGTTCTCTGGTCTGTCTAGGTCCGGCGCATTGGCTGGTGCAGGTGTTGGAATGGCAGGAAGTACTGACGCGAAGCCAGGTCGCTCCCAATGCCCAGGTTGTCGCCGCCGCCGCCGCCAGCACCACCGACAAAGTCGATCCTGGATGCGGGGTCCATATCCGTGAAGCTGGCTGCCGGAGATTCCGTCTGGGGAAAGGGTGAGATTAGCCCATCAGACGGCGCGTACGTCGCCATATCACTCACCCCAGCTGGCGTATCCGCGCGCGAGAGTACCATGCCTGCGCCGTCAAAGCCGGGAGGCAAGCCGTGGGCTCCGCCATATGCCATGTCCATACCAGGCCACTGCATGTTAAGGTCATGGGGGCGCAGGTCACGATTGGGGCCACCCATGGGGTCGCCGAGCGGAGCGCCAGCGTCCATGGCGCCTGTGTTCCTCATCTCCATGGCGTTGATGCGTTCATGCAGAGTTGCGACTTCATCCTCAAGCTGGCGGTTGCGCAAGTGAACATTCCATGTGCGCCTCTCCTTCTCCGGGTCCGTAAGCTGCTTCACCTGTTGCTGCAAAGTCTCAATCTGGTCCTTGGTGCGCTGCCTGATGGCACGCTGCGCCTCGCGATCATTAGCACGCTTGCGCGAGAGCTGGGCAGCGGAGAGGCGGTTGACTGAGCGGGTGCCTGCGCGAGAGGCTACGGTGAGTCAGTGGGTGATTTTTCAACGGCTCAAGACGTGGGGTTTGGGCCATGAGGGAAGTTACTCACCGCGATGCCTGACCTGGGTATGGGCATTAGATGGTTGCCGAGACCGAGATCCGCGCGGTTGATCTCTCGCTTGCCAGTGCTCATCCTCGCTCTCAGTCGAGGGCCGGCCATTAGGCCGTGTGTTCGCATTGGTCATTCTGTCGTTAATGGGCAAGTCGTCGACAGTGCAGTTCAAAGAATGTGCGGGGGAAGGAGGGAGATAGTTGTAGTTCGGGGACGCAATAGTGGCGTGAGTGACGTTGAAGGGTGGCGACCGTTCGGGGTTGTGGTAGCGCATTTAAGAGATGGACTAGGCAGACTAGCCGGTGTAGAGAGTATAGAAAGTTTGATACTGCCAGTTGCGGGTAAAGATGATAACTGGCGCTGGTATCTTGCGTTTCTAATATAAGGGAGATGGTGATAATGAAAATGAAGAATCCTGAGTTTGGATCTGATAGTATATTGTTATTCAAGTAACCAAACCCTTTGGTTGGAAATATGATGATGGCAAGTCTCGACCGGCAGCTAGACAGGGAGACTAGGGCGTCCTTTTAGTCTGTTTAGTTAGTCCTCTTAGTCCGATCGTTAGTGTCCTTAGATCCTGATAAATGGGGACCAAAAAGCCTTTGGTACCAGGGATGTGGAGAAGGAAAGCGCGAATGAGGGGGGGGGGAGAGGGAGGCGAAAAGCGGGAGTTATATGCTAGGTCGACCATTTTGGCGGGTGAGTTCCACATGCCAACGCCACCAATGTCCTTGAGAATCTCGGGGAGACTCGGTGGCAGCCCGAGGCCAGGGTGAGAGGGTGAGGTTCGAGATGCGTGGCATCTTGTCGAATTTTGTTGAATATATTGTCTCATTTCACACACTATTGGGGTGGTTTGGGCCGTTTGTGTCCTACGCGACGACGTGTGCTAGATTTGGAATTCCTAATCAGGGCAGAAGGGGGAAAGCAGAGCCCGAATGATCAAGATCTAGTTCAGGGTAGTTGGACCGTTGGTTCGGGGGGAGAGAGCGACATGCCCATTGTTGCCGAATTACTAGGATGTAGGCGGTAGGAAAGTGATACAGGGACTGAAGCTTCAATAGGGACGTGTGTAAATGAGTGTACTATAGTGATGTGTGTAGGATGTATTTAGGATGTGTGCAGGAGGCACTAGGAGACATCCATGCTAGTTTCTAATGTACCCATGCGCGCGTATACCTAGTGCCTAGCCTATGCATATTATAGTGGGATAATGGGTTAATGAAATGGGAGAATGGGCAGATTGTGATGCAAGATGCAGAATGGAGAATGCACAGAATGCGGGCGGCAAAAATGGAGAAGTCGATCTATCCATCAAAGATTGGCATGCATGCCTTACACGCCTGACACACCTTGCAGAGTCCTAAGAGTTACCTGACCCGCAGAAGCTCTATGCAGTGTCTGTGGGTGAAAACAAAGCTAGGACGGGGTGTCTCAAACGCTGATGTTGGTGGTTGGGGGGTATATGTATCTGCTATTATGGGAACTTCCAAGATTTGTCGTCGATGCAACAGATAATGACAGTTGTCAGTTGAGTCAGTTTGTTGGCTGTCAGCCGCCAGTCCTAACCATGGGAGCGGTGAGAGTAAGAGCGACAGCGACAGCGACAGCGAGAGCGGTGAGGTGAAGGTTGGAAGGATCAGTGGACAGATGGATGGATGGATAGATTTACTGGTTGGTGGTAATGGTGATCTAGACGGGAAAGGGGGGGGGGGGAAGATGAGGGAGAACAGAGCCTGTAAAGCGTGGAGATTGGAGGAAAGAACGAGCTGCCTCCTGATGGTTCCTGGTGGTGGCAAGCACGGAAATTACCACGGTGAGCCACGGTATGTACTAGATAGTACTATTTAGTACTCCTACAGGAGAAGGTCATGATCTATCGTCTGTCGGCAGTTCAGCCCGGGGCAAGGACAGGATAGGAGACTTCCCACGGCCCCGCGGAGTACATATAGTACGGCGCCGGTACTCGAAGCCGTGGATGTTCAGTAGTGGCATCGTCGGCAAACGCCCTGATGCCCGGTACCGGGCAGCTGGAATAGATGTCCACAATAAGTGGCGAGAGACGGCAAGATGGGCGAGGTGGCGAAGTGTTAACGTGGTCGTGCACAACTATACATTAAGATCTCCGAGGAGGTGGACATTCATCGAGATATACCTCAGAATATATCAGTAGACATGCCAAGGACGTTGATACAGAGCCCTGGAGAGCTGAACGACCATCACGGCGGAAAGACGTCGGGAGATGGTGGCGATGGATGTCTAGGAATAGGTAGATGGGCGAGTTTCCACGCGCGAGGTAGGGTAGTACTGACGGATGGATGATGCCGATGAACATACGGAACTTCCTCCGTATCCAACCAGCAATACAACCAACACCAGCAATACAACACCAACAACTAGCACCGTGACGAAGCGGCAAGGTGAGCGGCAAGATGATGCAGCATTTTTCCAAGAATTGTTGGCACGGCAAGAGTCTACAACAAGAATGTCGGCTAGAGCAAGAATGTTGACACGGTTAGGAAGAGTCGTCTGATGATGCAGCTCACGAGATATGATCGATGTGATCGATATGATCGATATGAATGTTACGAGACAGGAGAGATGAAAATACAAAAATGTGACAAGAGAAGGGCAAATGGAGCTGAGGACATGCAGGTGCTCCAGAATTTTGCAGAATCTGCAGAATCTGCAGAATCTGCGGCTGTGGATGTAATGGCAACGCAGAGTTAAGGAACAAAGTGAGATAGATACTCGTGCTCCAATTAGAAGAAAGGAGTACGCGTACTGTCAGAACTGTTAAAGGAAGTAGAGTACAGAGAGCAAAAGTATGAGAGTGAGTATGAATACGTTGAGCTCGTCGAGTTAGTGAGTATTTTCATAATTTTTAGTATATTTAGTTAGTATCTTTAGAATGTCCACTTACGTACTATTGCGAACTGTTAGTAGAGAATATCACTTTCATGGAAAGTACAGCACATTATGAAATTATTCTATAATTCATACCCAATTTGCATAAAATACGAAGTACAGTACTCCGGAGCAATGGAAGAAAAGTAAAGAAGCGTAATTATGTATTGTTACGTAGTTAGGAGACGAGAGACGGCAGGCGCAGAGGAGGGATCTTAGGAATCCTTGGGAATCCTTGGGATACCCTGGGAATATTTGTAGCTTGTACATGTCGATGTTGCCAAGTTTGTATGTGGACACGCGCTGCGGAAACTAAGAATAACAAGTCGCGGGTACTTAAATTCTCGTTCGTTCCCCATCAATTCCCCGTCCTTTCCCCATTCATCTCCACCCCCCCTTTCACCTCCACCCCCCCCCTTTACCACTAACAATAAACGCCTAACCTCGTCGTCAACCTCGCTAGCACCTTCCTCACCTTCTCACCGGTTCTAGCTTCTGGCATGAACTATCTAGCATTATTCTACTCCATTCTACTCCTACTGCACTGTCTGCAGTTTATGCGCGTGCTTACTATTTTCTATATCCACAGTCCAACAAACTATACTCAGCTATGACGGGTATAATAGCTCGGGTATAAGACGAGACAAACTAAACTACTCACATATCCAACAGAAAGAGTCTTAAATATCCAACATCGCTGTTCCGTTCTGTACGGTACAAGTGTTAGAGATCCAACAGAATAGTGTCATCCTACGTACTATCAGTCCCACTCGCCATCTCCCCGTCCTCACCTTCCGTCTATAGTATGTATCCCCGGAATCAGAATCTTGGAAAAAAGAAACCGTGGCGCAGATGAAGAAGTAGAACGGCACGCGCATCACAAGTATAGTAAGCACGCTGAATTCACATCTCATTTGAGCACACATCGAGAGAAAGCCCATTCTCCATCCTCCATCTCGTACCCATATCCTATCTCCACCATCCCCAAATATGATGTCTCAACCGGCCAACCACCCCCTAAACCCCCCTACCCCCTTCCTCCACACATCCACACCACCATATTTCCACTCCAAAAACCAAGGCGACGACGCAGCACGTACCACTCCCGCAGCAACTCGCAACACCACCACATACAGATCGAGCCGCGCCTGCATATACTCCACCATATTGCCCACCATCCACATTCCCATCCACATCATGACCACACACATCGCCATACATCACCATCACCATCACCGCCACGTACATGGCCATAAACCACCTCAACACATCACCATCCGCACCCACATAACCACACACCGCACTCCAACCCCGGCCGCCACTGCAGAATCCAGTAATCCAGTACCAGTAAGCCGCTCCAACCTCCCTCCGTCCCTCTCGCCCATCAACCATTCACCGGCGCTTCCCCATCACCCACCCGCGTCGCGTCGCGGCCAAGCCTTTCGCCTGAACCCCTGCAGCGCACGCCGTCGTCACTCTCGCCCGACCCCCTACGCCCATCCAGTAAGGTCGCGATAACGAACGTCCGGACGGGGCCTCCGGCGCCGATCTGCCCCTCGTGCGCGTCTGAGATCGCCGCTACGCAGGGAAGTACTTCGTCCAGTAGAGGCTGGGCAGGCCGAGACCACAGACCGTCACCATGCAGCAAGGGGGGGGTGTGATGGCGGGGTAGCCGGAAGCTGCGTGCCTTGATCTATATATGCTCTACTCAATGGCTGAGTCCTGCTCCGGAGGTATCTACGGATGGTGCCACAATCCCCCCGGCGCCTCAGTCCCACAAACCCGTCGCGTAACGCTGGTTATGTACGTGTAATATGCGACCTTGGGCTGTGATTGCCCATGCAAGCTCGCATGCACGTGTGTGCGCATGCGGTCTCGGTCTCTTCCGTGGCGTTTATGAAGTTTCAAATGGTCACGTGCTTACGCCCTCGTACTACAACAGCACTGGAGCAGCAGCAGTTGCAGAAGCGACAGCAGCGACAACAGCAGCAGCAGCGGCAGGTGGAGCGCTCGTCGCTTCGCCTTCGCCAACCACCGTGACAGGCACTGTTACAGTCTCAACCGGAACTCCGCCCTCCCGGCCACCCTGGTCCCCCTTCTTGCCCTTCCGCCTCGCCATTTTACGCTCATGCTCCTCCTTCCGCTCCCCCTCCCCCACCTCCTCTTCCCCTTCCTCTAGCTCCCTCAGCCTGCCTAGATCGACCACCTCGTCTAGCCCACCCACTTCCCGCGGCCCCTCCACCCCGCCCGGCGGCAGCGCCCACTCAGGTAGCTCGCTCCTGTAGCTCCACTTGAGGTCCTTATCCTCATAGCGCAGCGAGTGCAGGTAAATCCCCATCTCCTGCGCCCCTGGATCCGTGTACAGCGGCGTCGAGCAGATCTCACACAGCTCTCCCGACATCTTCTCCGCCTTCCGCTTGTTATAATCGTCCACCATCTCGTCGTGATAGGCCACCGCGTCCGCGACCTCGGATTTCCCCATCCGTGCGAGCCGTGTAATAACATCCTCGTCCGCCTGCATCGCATCCGCGTCCCCAGCCCCAAGCGACGCGCCCCAGACCCGCTGGTTGCTGTAGATGGGGTCGTTCGTGATCGGATGACCCAGGAACTGGAGGTGCACGCGGATCTGGTGCGTGCGGCCCGTGATGGGCAGGCAGCGCACTATAGAGTACCCCTTCTTGCCCACCCACGGCCGACCCTCTGTCTTGCCCTCCTCCGCTCCTGCCTCCTCGTCCCCCTCCTCAGGCCCGTAGTATGCGAGTCGTCGGAACACCGTGCGTGCTGGCTTGCCGCTAGCACGCACGCGATTCAGGCCCAGTTTCGGTGAGATCTGGAGGATCGGCATCGCACAAACGACGTCTCCGTCGGGAAACTTGCCAGCTACGCGGGCTACATATTCCTTCCGCACTGTGCGTCCGGAGATCTGCGTTGACAGCTCCTCGGCGGCACGCGGATGCTTGCCAATGAACATGACACCGCTAGTGAGCCTATCCAGGCGGTTGCACGGTAGGGGTTTCCATCCCGGGCGCGAGGCCGCCAGAATCTCGATCACCGAGTTATAGTTGTAGCGCCCAGCGGGGTGGACGGGGATGCCGGACGGCTTGCAGATGACCATCATGTCTTCGTCTTCACTTATGACCGTGATGGGGGCTGCTGTAACGGGG